TATCAATGAAGTTTCATACGATTATATGTGGCCAATGTGAATAAATATCGGGGGAAAATGTACGTAAAATGAGGGGGGGGGGATAGTGATCGGAACTGCTTGATTTATAAATGCGGATGAAGAATTAAAAATAAAATGTTACGTGATCATGCGGAAAATAAAAAGTCGAGGATCGAACCCGGGACATCACTATCATGGAACCAGTACGTGTGCGGCAGGGCTCCGGACTCCGCTGGAACCTTTAGGCCGATAAAGCGGTACTAGAGGCTGCTTCAGTGTTGCCACGCGCCGCACGACCAAATCACACGCCGAAAACGCAACTTTTGGGAATTTTTTACGCCCTTCCTATTGCGCATTCGGGAAAACGGCTCAAATTGACCTCTAGAATTGGTCCATAGAGTCTGTAAAAAAAAAATTCAGCCCAATCGGAGGCGGCAGGTCCGTAAGTTCCCCTTGTAAGTCGTTTGTTGAATGTGTATCATCTTCAAAAAGCGCCAACAAATTAGACTTGGTCAATGATAATTTTGAATGAAGACCGAGCCTTGTATTGTGATCTCATACCTCAAGTTTGTGTTTGCATTCCATATGGATTCAGAAGCAAAATTTCAACCGGCAGCAGTTTTTAATCGAACTGGTCGGTTTGACATCTCTTGAGTCCGGGAGTTGTAGGTTTTATTACGGAGATGCTGTTGCAGATTGAAAAACAAATAAAGGACTGCATGACAAAAATGTTTGTCTCAATCTCATTCATCATGAATTTATTATTTTATATTCAGTTATATCTTATGAGAATTATAAGTGATTCTCAATCAATGATTCAAATATTTTCCGACTGACCTATGTCCTTTTTCATGTAACCCTTTTTTGTGTGACTTAGTTTTACTTCATTTGACTTCACTTTATATTACGTATCGAACTTCATAAAAAACAAGAGTAACGCGCTACGCGTAGCCTCTGATCCGCGAAGCGCTTCAGAAGGTTGGACCGCGAATCGGCCAGGAGGCGTAGCCTCCTAGTTACTCAACATACCACAATTAACCCTTAGATGTCCGAGCTGGGTCAAATTTACCCGAGGCTCACTAAAAACATATGCTCCGCGGATTTTATGGGGCCGATACATGCGAGCTTCAGATATAGATTTACAAATACACTGGGAAAAAAACACATTGGATCTAGAGTCCAGACTCTTGAAAACATTGACAAGAAAAAGGACTCTTGATTCAATCAGATTTAAGCTTAAATCAAAAGGAAATCCGCTCAAATTAAAAGGCTTGGTTCTTGATTTAAGCTTAAATCTGATTGAATCAAGAGTATTTTTTCTTGTCGATGTTTTTAAGAGCCTGGACTCTAGATCCAATGTGTTTTTTTCCCAGTGTACATCGTAAAAAAGAACCAGACGTCAAACTGAAAAAGTAAGAGGGTGATGGGGGGGGGGATCGAGTTAAATATATCGAGAATTATAACTGATCGACAAGGAAAACGTGATTGGGTCTCGTTTTTTAAGGTTTCCCTCGAATCGGAGCGACATCTCATATGCAGCATTGAGCGTAGCATTGCCAGTTTACGCCTCGCGTCATCGCGCCTTCAATTTTTCAGACGCAACACGGACATCCATCGAGTACGAATAGTTGTATCACTGCGCCGTCATCAACGAACGTTGTTTCCACTGCTCTATTTCCGTATTGTGTTTGCGTCCGTTTGTATTATTTGTAGCGGTGCTTCAAGGGCTACGTGCGCGACCCAGGAATTCAAATTCAATAATAAAAAATTGAAAAAGATTTCTTGAAAAAATCTATTTTTGGAAAAATGAGGTGTCGAATCTTGAACTCACCAAAATCTACATACTTGTATTTACTTAGTTTCATAAACGGTATTTGGTTAGATCACCGCTTTTTTTGTAAAAAATTTAGTGTTTCAAAACAAAAATCAGTTTCCTATTTTATATAACAAGAAAATGATCGATGAAGGAATGGGTTGGTAAAATTTTTCTTTCGCCATCGACTAACCCTCAAAACCTTGCGCCTTCTTTTTACGAAGATACAAAACACGATCTTTCCGTGTCAAAAATGCTATTAAAGTGGTCTAGCGTGGAGTAGCATCAGGTAACTGCGAATTTTAAAGGAATGAGTAGTTATTTTTAAACATTAACAACAAAATTAAAAACCTTGACCATTAATAAATGTGAAGTATATGTAATGACACGGCGTGCTGCCAATAATTTGGATGCCTCGAACGAAAATTAAAAACATGCGAGAAAATGTAAAAATTACCATTTAAAATTTCGAATTCCAAATGCTCCTTCAAATAACTGAAGGTTGTAAATCAATGTGCATTAATCGAATCACCTTTGCCCTTGAGAAGAAATTCAGTCTCAGTAATCAGAAATAATTTTATTCAAGTACTTATTTACATTCTATACACAAAATCACATTGTAACGTTCAGGTACAGTTTGTGTTCAAAATAAATACAAAATATAAAACATATTTATATCAATTGGAGTCCCTAAAAGAGACAACATCGTTCAACCTCGGTCTTTGTCCATTATTCCTCTTGAACTTAAATTAATATTGTATTGTATATCGAGAGACTTATACGAAGAAATAAGCTGAAGAAAAACCATGCGACTTTGAACTTCATCCGATTTACTGACGTGAGGGGTCTCGAAGTAAATCCATTATATGTACAACTTCTTAGAAACGATCACATTAACGAGCACATCACTAACTTTTTTGGGAGGAAGAGGAGCACAGTTACTTTTCCATTCTGAGAATTTTCCGAAGTTCTTGGAATACAAACCGAGGCTCCGATGCTCCTTAATTTCTAAAATAATATCGGATTCCAGGAACCCTTCATTCTCTCGTATTCTTTCGCCTCGACTCTCCTCTAATGTTTCACATGATAAGACCCTGGACATTAATAATTCTAAGACCGGAAAACTCGCTGGTTTTTCCTTGAAAAAACCTCTGACTCCAGGACTGCTCTCGCTCTTAAAGCCGTATCACTCATTTGCTCACGATAAGGGGTCGGGGTATATTTATCAAACAGCAAGTATTAAGTTCGTAAACACTTTTTTTCTTCCTCTTTATTTTTTTTACACTGAAAAATAATTCTCGGCGTTTTTACCAAGGTCCGTTGGTACCTTTACCATCTCACTTTTTTACCAATTATCGGTAATTTTACTCAGACAAACTGGTAAGCTTCCCTAAAAACCGACATTTTTACTGTTTTTTTTTCAGGTAAGAATACAACTTTTATTGGTGATCATTTCCCGGTAACTTTATCTCGGCAATTCTACCACAGTCGATAAAAAATATTGGCGTTTTTACCAAGGTCCAGTAAAATTACCGAGAAAGTTCAATAATTTTACTGAGATTTCTCGGTAAAATTACCAATTCCATAAATGGTAATTTTACCAAGAAAAAACTGGGATCAAATAGAACCCTGAATTCTTGGTAATTTTACCCTTTTCTCAGTAAATACACCGAAATTTTTTTTTTTTTTCAGTTTAAAACTTCAAGTATCTGGCGTATCCACCTCTTTAGGGGATTTTTTGTCTTTATTTATCAATTAAAAACTCTGTCTTTATCTCACCGAGTATTTTGAACAAAGTTTCGTTTGGACTATTACAAAATGAACAATAACCTAGATATTCCGATTTATACATTTTCCACAATGCAAAATTGATGGAAAAATTATGCTTTAAACATTATTTTTTAAAAAAGAAACAGGCCAACTTAATACATGGAGAAAAAAACTTCGTGCATGGGACTCGAAGTTGAGGTCATAAGGATCTCTGAAGTTTTCTGATCACCCATCCGAAAACTTGAGGTCGAGCTGCCGAAGTTCGGGTCAGACATCGAGGCACTTCGCTATGTACCGAACTCAGGCTGTATGACCCGAGCCCTTCGATATATATCGAAGTACTTCAGATGTCTGACCCGAACTTCGGCAGCTCGACCTCAAGTTTTTAGATACGTGATCCGAAAACCTCAGAGATCCGTATGACCTCAACTTCGGGTCCCACGCACGAAGTTTTTTTCTCCGCGTGTAGCTTGAAATTTTTATAGAATATTCTACTGACAGAGAAAATAAATTAGGGGAGCTTTCAAGAAATCACGTTGTCTAGTTTTCTCAAGAAAATATAAAGTATCACAGGAAGTCTGCAACGTCGCAAACGAAGATACGTGGTTTTGCTGTTTGGGCCATCGATATCTGAAAAGGATTCACTTTTGATGCTCATGTTGACTCTCTGAGCCATGCAGAGTAAACTTCCAGAGTGGGCCCTGTACCTCACTGGAAAAGAAAACACATTGGATCTAGAGTCCAGACTCTTTAAAACATTGACAAGAAAAAATACTCTTGATTCAATCGGATTTTTGCTCGAATCAAAACGAAATCCGCTCAAATTAAAAGGCTTGGTTCTTGATTTAAGCTAGATTCTGATTGAATCAAGAGTACTTTTTCTTGTCGATGTTTTTAAGAGTCTGGACTCATGATCCAATGTGTTTTTTTTCAGTGCTGTGCCACGAGGCTGTGCAAAACATGTGACAAAATGTGATTACACATCAATACTGTTAAGCGTGTCCTTCTCGTCGAACAGCCTCTTGCAAAGCGGTCGAGCTTTTCCATGCTGTGCCGCACGGCAGGGATACAGTGGCGTAGCGAGCTTTGCGATATATCGATTGATCTCCTATTTAAACCTATGGCAAAGGATCGATGAACAGGATGTTCGCAACGGACACCTTAATAATCGATTCATTACCATAGCTCCAAATAGGGAAAAATCGATAATCGGTCATTCACGCCTCGCCGTTTGCAGGATATCACAAAAGCAGAGGCACATCCAGCAATTTGGCAACACCGAATCCCTCAATTTAAACTTATGCTAAATAATCGAATCTTGTCGGAGCACCTGGCCCCTCTAAGAATCGATACATTTCCATAGGCTTAAATGGAGGAAATATCCCCCAACAGGGATGATTCCGGCACTATCCGGGCAGACATGCAGCCGTGAGTTTGGTTTAGTTGGTCGGCTCGCCCTTCGGCCCCCGATCACCCTTTGCCAACTCCTGATCAGAGTATTTCTTAACTTCAGAGCCTAAACCAACATATGATAGTTTAACCATCCAGATGACCACCTGGCCGAAACCCACCCCATGTTGGGAGTGGTAGTGCGAAACAGGTGGAAATCGAAATCCCCGACTTTGTGTAACACAGCCGGTGAAGTAAGATGCTTAAATTGTCATATCTTCGAAAAGATTCGCCACTTTTTCTCCCGGTAGAACTACGAAGAAAAAAAAAAAAAAAAAAAAAAAAAAATGGAGGAAATCCGGTGTTGCCAAATTGCTGAGTCCGCCAATGCACAAAAGACGATCAGTCAAGAATGTAATAGCCATCCTTCATGGTCCTCCTGTGCCTGAACTCCTCCTGGATCTCGGGAAGGGTTTTGCCCCGGGTCTCGATGACCCAGCCGTTGACGTAGTAGATCCCGACGAGAGAGCAGACGCCGAAGAAGAGGAAGTTGACGTACATGTCGGCGAACGTCGTGACGGCCGCGAAGATCTCGTTGACGGAGACGACGAAGAGAGCCGCCAGCGTAACGAGGAGCCCGGTGGCGCGACCCTTGACCAACGGAGGCAACACCTCCCCGATGTAGATGTGCGGGACCGGGCCCAACCCCATCGAAAACGCCACAACGTAGGCGAACACCGCCAATAATGGCATGTAATTGTACGCCTCCAGTTCAGTTCTCTGCTCAGCCGACAAGTAGTACCTGCGGAAAAAACGTCATGTAAAATTAAGAGGAAGTATGAGGAGACGAAAAAAACGCCCAATGAAACGGTGGCTACAGGGGGGTTTTAGAGGAAATGGGGAAGTGCCAAAACCCTGAGGGATTTGATAGGATGGGATGCTTTGGTGGTTGGGTGTCGCAGAGCGCCAAAGAGTGCTGTGAAAGCAGCTTTTAGTATATGAGAAGACGTGGGAATAAAAATCCGCCATTCCTACACACGGATGAAAAAACACTCGACCTTACACTGTTAAAAAATTTGAAGTGAAATTCTGGGGCGGAGTCTATATAGCGCCCAAAAACCTCGAAAGATATGAATGCGGAGCGGACTTTATTCTCCTTACGGAGTGCCTTAAATTATTACGGAGCTGAGTCTACTCTTTTTGCGGAGTGTCACGTACGCTTTCATGGTGCTAATTTCACTTCGCATTCATATCACCAGGAGTTTTTAGGCGCTATATAGGATCCGACATCAAATTTCACTCCTCGATTTTTAACAACATACACCTTGAATATTGTGTTTACCAGCGCGTAGTGCGTCGTGCCCAAGTAGAACAAATTGCACTAAAATGCGATTACGTGTTAAAATGATTGCTGCCTCATTGGTGTGTCGTGTATGTTGCCTATCGTCTGATTGAAGGCACGCACCTAATTGAAATGTATTGCAATAAACTTGAAATAAGTTGCGATTTCTCATTGCATTGCAAAGTGCCTATCTTTCTGATGCATAGAACTCATGATGTTCATCATTATAAATTGAGATTTATTGACCAAATCAAACTCTATAATGTAATATCAAAGAGTTTCGCATAACGCTAACGGTATCTAACTTAACGGGTCTAACACTGAGCGTGTCCGCTACCCCTTCCACTGCATCACCATTCATCCTGTATCCGATACAGTTGCCGATATATACTGATTTAGTGGCTAAGTCATTAGATATGATATCGAACGCTTGGTTCAAACCAAAACAAACTAACATAACCTCATGTACGCATTCTTCATGAGTTAATTGTGTTAATTTATTAGAATTTAATCATTGAACGGTCATAAGTCAATTTAAGACTCATTAAACCCGAGAAATTTCGATTGTAAGAAACACTTGGACGCATTTTACCACCATGCCGCAAAGGGCGCGAATCAGAAACAAGGTTCTGTGTTTGTTTACATTTGAACCAAGGGATCGATGTTACATCGACTGACATAGCCACTAAATCAGTCTTTACCTGATCTCTGAACTTACCAGGCGCCTACAACGAGCATGGCTGAAGCTTGGCCGACGTTTGATATCTGGAGCAAGACTTTGCGTCCGAGAGCGTCCATGAGAAGAGCCGCTACGATGGACATTATTACGAGGATAAGACCGATGATGAGGGTGCTGTCCTCCGAGTAGAAGATCCAGGCGTGGTGCGGCAGGATTATCGTCTGGTTCCCGATCACCGTGAAATAACCGCTGGACTTCTGCAGCAACAGCAGTCCAACGCAACTCACGAACGGCCACTTGTACCTACGGATGATTTCAACATTTTAAAAAACTCATTCGTCACAGGTTACGATAAAGCGAAGCGTCCTGAGATCTTTAACTAAAGTTTTATATTTGTAATTTTTGCAATGTTGTAATTGTTTCAAATGTAGGTATATATGAAGAAAAAAATCTGATTCAGAAAAAAAAATACAAACGAGAAAAGGCGAAAAAAATCTCTCATTTCCTGAGAGTTAAAGTCTAGTAAGATCTATGGTGATATAAGAGACAGCGCCCTTCATTAGTCTAGTTGAGAGAGAAACCAAAAATGCAATTTGGCCTGGAGCGTTGCGGCGCAGAGAGCAATGATGACGAGGACTTGAGATGGAAAAGGCCTCGGCGAGCCGGTCTGCATGAAACACCGATTAGCGCCTACAAGACTCCATGAATACTTCACGCATTGCGTCAAACGTAAAGCGGACAACAGCGGTTGGCGTGAAACTCTTAGTGCCTACAAGACTGCATGAATACCTCACGCATTGCGTCAAAAACAGTGCGGTCAGCAGCGGTCGGCGTGAAACGCATAGCGCTTACAAGACTGAAGGGATACTTCACGCATTGCGCCGAACACAGTGCGGCTGGCGCGGTGGTGGAAATTAAACTCATCAAACCACATTCACTTTTTTTCTTTCATAAATTTTTCGTTCATTTCTTATTAATGAAAGGCCTTGTCCACACGGAGATAGGTTTATGAAACTTTGGCGCATAGTTCCGTAAACTTTTGCTAAAGTTGACAGGGCTTTCACAAAAAAAGTGCCCAACACGAGTCTTATGCACCCCTTCTCCTCCGGCATGTTCACTTGATGGTTTGCATCGATGTTTCACAACGAATGAGAAGGGGCAGCAAAATACAGGCGGCCCATGGGCGACAAGTAGGTAAATCCGGCCCTGTAAAGCAGTAGCTCACCAGACGTGTGGGTGTATCACCATTCCCAGAGCCAGAAACAGCGTAGAGTCAGAAATTGAAAACAGGGCTCCCTTTAAAATAGGGATACACCTTTCCGCCAGAGGAGCGACGACATTGGTGAACCAATCAAAGAGTGACACAAATCGTCGTTTCCTTCACGAAAGAACGTAACTTTAATTCAATGTTGCCAAATTTCTCGTCGCAAATTGCATAGAAACCAGGAGAATACTGGGCATGTGTAACTGAAAAGTTCACTAATTTTTCCTCAGATTTCATGCAAAAATCAGAAAAGTTTTGAATAAAACTTGCACAGATACATTTTTGTAGGATAAACTAATTTTTTGAGTCAATTTGGCAATCTTGGAATGTAGTTACGTACCTTCGTCCGGGAGACGACGAAATATAGAGGTGCACCTCATCGCCTACCCACTTCTAGCACGGCGTGAAGTTGAACATCTAACACTGGAAAAAAAAAACACATTGGATCTAGAGTCCAGACTCTTAAAAACATTAAAAAGAAAAAGGACTCTTGATTCAAGCAGGTTTAAGCTTAAATCAAAAGGAAATCCGCTCAAATTAAGAGGCTTGGTTCTTGATTTAAGCTTAAATCTGATTGAATCAAGAGTATTTTTTCTTGTCGATGTTTTTAAGAGTCTGGACTCTAGATCCAATTTTTTTTTTTTTTTTTTTTCCAGTGAATGATACTCTCGTCCCTACATAGTGTGATGTTCACGATCCCTGTTTTATTTTTCCAAATTTTTTCCATCTTTTTACGAGCTTGATCATTTTCAGTCAAAGCACAATCTAAGTTACAATCTTTAATCTCTTGCAACTTCAGTCATTAATTTAATAGCGCTTTATCGCCCTTATCAAAAGCCTCGCTTCTCGAGCATCCTATTTTTCGTTTCAGAGTTAGAGTTCTCCAGCTACAGAGCAAGAGTCAACATGCTGGGCTACCTCCGGATGCCTCGGCCGGTGGGTACCCTCAGCTCTTGCTATGAGCCTTCTTAATCATTTTTCTTTTGCAGGAACGCTTTACTTTCAGATGCTTTGCATATTTTATTCTATTAAATATGATTATTTTGTAAGTGCCCTCTGCACAAAATTATGAAGTCCTTTTTAGACTTTCTTTCATTGATTCATTTGAATATTATAATCTTTTTTATTTGAGCCTTTGTTAAGCTCCTTATTTATTTAAAGCGTCTTCAACGCAATAGTCTATTGAAACACTTTTACAGATTTTTCATTTTATTTCCACAAAGGAGAATTAAAGATGTATTTTGTTTGTGTGTTACTAATCCTCTTTTTGCAGCATTGTTATTTTGTGCTTTGCAACGACTTCGAGGATGATCCAGTTTTGTACCTCTGGATTCTGATATCTTTGGTGATGTAATTTTATTTTATTTTATATTTTGTCCTCTTTTTCTGTGCCTTCAGCACCTTAAATTTCAATTATTAAAATCTGTCCATTTGAAACGCATTATCTAGTCTTCCATTATTTTCTTGTTGATTTTTAAGTTTTACCTTTTCTTTCGAATTCAGTTTTCTAATCAAGCTCTCCCACACTATTTTAGCAGGTGTAATTGTCCAAATACTTGGATTTTCACTTTAAGGGTGAATTTCAGAGTATTTCGTCAATTATGTCTTAGCAACTGCTCCTCCAGTGATAAGAGTTGATTCCATGTAAGAGTTAGTCGTAAAAGTATGAAATTACGCATTATATGGAATCGGGTCTATCTCTGAAGGAAGGAGAACCATTTTCTTAGTATTTTAAATAAGGGGTGGTTCTTACAATAGGTACTCTAAGCCTGGCTATTTGTTTGGTTTTAGTAGAGGACTGCCAATTACCTCTCGTCGAAGAAGAGATCAGATGTTGTCAACGATGCCTTGGCTTTCTCAGTCTCGATGAAGTTCTGGATGGTGGTGAGCTCGACGGTTACGTCCGATTCACTGGTTCCCCGGAGCCAGGCGAGCGTTCTGCGAGCACCCGCGTAGTCCTTGCGCATGACGAGCAGGTACGGAGTTTCCGGCATGAAGATGAGCGATATTATGAACACTATTGCAACGCAGCAGCTGATCAGAGACAGGTCATTGAATGAGACCCGCGGTCCAAGACCGTACGCCATTAGTGTACCTGAAATGAGAAATCAATGTTTACTTGTTAGACATTGGAAGGGGGTGCACTGGTAAAAAAAAAACCTCTTGGTTAAAGAGTGCAGTTTCTTGTCGCTGGATCTAAGAGTCTGGACTCTTGCTTCAAGCGGATTTTGAATTGAATCAATGCAAAATCCGCTTGCATCAATGCAAACAAGAGTTCAAGACTCTTAAATCCGGCGACAAGAAACTGCACTCTTAAGTCAATGCAACAAATGCCAATGCAGTCAATGGCATTGGTCCAAGAGGTTTTTTTTTTACCAGTGTGGGCTCAGATGCAAGAAAAAGCTGAGATATTTTCTTTCCTGTGTTGTATCTGGAGTATTCTCACCTCAGGATTTTTTTTTTTTTTTTTTTTTTTTTTTTTTTTTTTTTTTTTTTGTGGTGAGGATTTTTCTTTTTTACCATTTTTCACAGTCTTTTTTTCAATGCAAGGGAAATTATATGGTAATCATATGGTTCATTAATTCACGTTTTACTGCAAATGTTTTATAAAATAATTATTAAAATAAATTTTAGGTGAATTCATAATTACTGCATGATGGCGAAAGGAAGCAGTATCAAGGAATGTAATGGAGCGCACTCCGAGTAGTTTTCAGAACAGCTCAAGTTATTCAATGTACCTAACTTTTGCATTTGGGGAACGAAATGGCACGTTCCCGATTGAAAACTTATTTACCGTGCGATAAATGTCTCTCCAATAACTTTTTCAGGCAGGTCTTCCGAATTGGGACCTTCATTCAATTTTTTACTTTTCCGTCTTGTTACAGGGACGTACAGATTCGGTCCTCCTGTTCCTGTTGTCTGGTTTCATTAAAAGTGGTGGTTTCCGACAAGTACACTTTCGTTTACCTTCGTTACACTACACTCTGCATCTCTGCAATGAAGAAATCCAATTCCTGACTCATGTATAAAATATCTACCTGCATAGGAAAACAATCGCACATAATCTCTACATTGAGCAAGAAATTTAACTTCCCAATTTGAAAAAGGAGTCCAGTTGAACTTACCTAAAGTATTCAACAAAGTGCTGCTGGTGCCCAAAAATCCTCGCATATCCGGTTCGAGGGTCTCGGACAAATAACTAGGCAGAATGGTGAGATAAGCGCCGACAAAAACGCCGCCCAACAATCGGCCGCAGTACAGCATCTCCACCGTGGGTGCATAGGCGACAAATATCCAGCTAGCGACGGCGAAGAGACTGAAGAGTAGGAAGCTCGCTCTCCGTCCGATCCTGTCCATGAGCAAACTGGCAGGTACCGTCCCTACGATGGACCCGATGTTCATGCAACTGATGATAAACGCCTCGTTGAAGATGGAGAGGTGGTAAGGGGTTTCGTGGCGGAGGATCTTCGGAAATGCTGCCGCTGGCCAGCCTACCATCAGACCCACTGTCATACTACCTAGACCGCCTGCAAAAAATAGCAGAAGGATATCATCAGGAAAATGTGAACTCTGCCTTTAATGATCGATGACGTCATTAAAATGAGCTCTGCGACCCCCTAGATTTTCATTTTTGTCTCAGCCCGTCATGGGCGGATCCGGCAATTCGGCAACACCGGATCTCCTCTATTTAAACCTATATCGACGGTGTAAGTCGGCAATCACATTACTCGTTTGCGGTGTCTGAAAATCTCCGCCTCTATGCTATTTTTTTAAAGGAGAACAAATTGGCATTATTTCTTCAAGTTTTTGCAGAATTTTCTTGGCATGGAGAAGAAAAATCATGACAGTTTTGAAGAATTGCTGTTGAGTGGTTACCCGTTTAAAAAATAAAGTATGACAGGAAGTCTGCGACGTCGCAAACCGAGTTACGTGATTGCTGACTTACACCGTCGATATGCTAAATGATCGATTCTGGTCGGAGCACTTGACCCCTCCAAGAATCGATGCATAACCATAGGTTTAAATGGAGAAAAGACAATGTCGCCAATTTGTTGGATCCGCCAATGCAGTCCGTTCTACCCCTGCTCCTGAACCGATTTCCATGTTTTTGCGGCACTTAATAGATGATACATAATAGTTCCTCAATGAGCCCACTCTATTAAGATTAATTAGACTGCATTTTGCAATTTATGGAACTAAAATTTCTTGCTCAGTTTAGAGACAACGTATGTATCACGCCCACGTGCTTAAGTTTTTTCCCGGATGAGTTAGAAATTGTAGTTCCTAATTGCAAAATGGAGTCAAATGTGCGGGGTGCACGCGAAGCGTTTCCTGAAGGTATGTCGCGTAGCAGCCAAGGGCGTGCCTCCTAGTTTAAATCTAGCTTCAAGCCATCATTTTATGTATGTCTTTTTTCTTTACCTTCAGTAAGATTGAGCTCAAAAGATTAGAGACGTGGACTTGTAAACTGACAAAATTTCCGACCGTAAAAATTTCCCAGAATGCTTAGTTGAATTCTGAATAGAGGAACGAGCCATAGCTGTGAATAATTTCTTCACAGGTGTCCTTATTACTGGATTTATATATATTTTAATGGAAACAAAATAGAGCATGTTACTTTTAGAAACTATCCGAGCGTAGGGAAAAGACACGTCGTCGTTGATAATAGCGCGGCGATGCAACTATTCGTGCTTTATGGATGGCCATGTTGCATGCAAAAAATTGAAGGCGCTCTCGTGTGCCCACGCCGCGCACACACCGTAGAGCCCTCCGTCGCGTTGTGTGCGGGTGCGGGTCCTTAGAAAGTTAAATGCATTCGAGTGGAAAGTAATAAAAGGAAAACCATAGGCAAAAAAGTGCTCTTTTTTAACAGTGCTCTGTGTAAAAATATAGATTGTCAAGAATAGTTTGCCGTTCGACTCATGAATCTTTCAGACAGAAATACGGTGCAATGCCACTGTATGTTGAAATTAAGAATAAAACTGCAATTCTTAAGATGAATCAAAAGCTCATCCGAGCACACTTTTCCTCTTGGAGATATCTATGATGTTTTGGTGCAACAGTAAACATGGATCATTAGGATTTCCAATCTATACAGAATTTTGACATGCGAAGGCGAAATCACCATCATTCTGTTAACATAAAGTTTGTGCTAGTCTGGCAAAAAAACCGCCGTCAGAAAATTAGACTTCAAGTTGGCAATAATCTATAGGTAACGCCTTGAATATTACACGAGGCTAGAAAATGACCACTCAATCATGTTTCTGTTCTTAATTTAAACCTTTGAACATTTCCTCTCTTCACTGAATTTAACGCTGCGATCAGCACCGTGATGAATCACCAATTCGACGGTGTAAGTTGGCAATCACATAACTCGTTTGCCGTGTCTGAAAATCTCCACGTCTATGTTATTTTTTCAAAAGAGAACGAATTGACATCATTTCTTGGAGTTTATGCAGAACTTTCTTCGCACAGAAAAGAAAAATCACGGCAGTTTTAAAGAATTGTCGTTGATTAGTTTTCCGTTTAAAAAATAAAGTATGACAGGAAGTCTGCGATGTCGCAAACCGAGTTATGTGATTGCCGACCTACACCGTCGATACGTTCAGCGCCTATACATAGATTTTCCCGCAGAAAAACTTTATTTTGGTGGGCCTATTTCATTCGGAAACCATTGACAATAACTTAGCTACGGGAACAACTAAGAAGTTGCGTCTTAGAAAAAAACATAAGTTTTGAGAGGAAATGCATGTCCATTTATATAATAACATGCATTCAGGCATTATACATATTTCGTGGTACATTCGGAAATAAACATGAGTCCTTTTGAAAAAAGAATACAGATTAGCTGGTTGCGTAGTGCAGACGAGAATCGCGTTTATTCTGGTCGGTGGTGGTAACTTTTTGCTAGCCTGGCATGACCCTTCATGAAAAAACTGAAAGAAATCTCGTGATGTATCTCTCCAAAACTATCAGTTTTTTGCTAAAATGTTTTTTTAAAAATGCTGACTTTCCTACATTTCCTTGAACTCTAAGTTGAAACACGTGACTTGAGAGTGTGGTGTCTGTATTGCATTATCGCAGTCTGGTTCAAACTTGTGGACAGGGCATCGTGTGAGGTATAGATATTGTTTTTTATAATCTAATTCGCGGTTTAATCAGGCAAAACGACTATCAAATATTTATTCTATGATGGAGGCGTGTCCAGATAAATTCAAGTGGTACATTCGGCAGATTATGGCCTCGATTTTTGAAAGTTCAAGAGCGAACCAAAAGGGTCTTTCGCAATTTTCTGTCATAGTTGCGGTTATAGTGCTCTAAAGTAAATTTCTGATTCCAAAATTGAATTAGCTAAAAATAAACGCTTTAATTTTCTCGCTTTTTCCTATAGCCCACCCACACGTCAGGCCTTTGTCTCATAATTTTCACAGTTGTTTTCGACACACCTCTAATTAAAAAAATATAATACCTAATATAATACCTATATATAATAATACCTAACGAAGGCCTAATTGTGACATTCCCTTTACTCTTTGAAATATTCGGCAATCCACCCTCTCAAGAATTCTGTGTTTGGACTTGTTTCCATGTGATAATGAGTAAATTGCTGGACAACGGGATCACATGAATGAATTATTTATTTACCCTGGTAAAAATTGGCGATAAGAGCTGCGTTTCAAAATACCGTAGGAATTCTTATAGCCGGCTAAAGAAGGCTACAGAAAATCAAATAGCTGGCTGTAGAATGCGGAGAAAATCATATGGTCGGGCTATACGAAGCGATAAAAAATTATGCAGCCAGGCTATAGTTCCTATCGCCGGGCTTTACACTTTATCCTCTGGCTGTTGCTTTTTCGCCATCGAGAATAAATGGCTATCAGAAATTGTGTAGAAATTCGTGTGCTATGGAAATCATTAAGTTGGATACGGAACCACCTTAATATTTACAAAACACACGTTATATTTTCCTTGGATACATATTTTTTTTCATCAATTAAAACGAGAATAATCCATACAGGATGTGCAAACATTTCAAAATCATGAATTGAATAACGCTGACTCCGCCAGATTAATTATTAGAGCCTAACACAAAGCGGAGCGGCGACGCACTGGCGCCTACAAACCTAACAGGGATACTTCACGCATTGCGCAACGCGTGAAGTATCCTTGTTAGGTTTGTAGGCACCAATGCGCGTTCCGCGCTGGCTGCCCGCCTGCTACACCGCAGCGTGCCACGGCGCTTGAAGCAACTATTTCACACCAGAGGTATTGCACAGTATCATACGAAACTGAAGGCGCTCTAATATATTAGGAATGGCAGGCATCCATCAAAAGTACGGAGCTTTCCTCGCAAAATAAATCAAGATACTACGGCCCAAAAAGAGAGCAGTGGTCCAAAAACTCACTAAGTCTTAGCATCCGTAATTAGTGACGTTTAGCATACACATTATCGCCTGGCTGTGAGTTGCTTAATCGCCATCGGCTATAAAAGGCTATAAGAAATTCTGTAGCCGGCTATAGAAACTATTGGAAATTTTACAGCCGGCCGTAGGTCTATGGTATTTTGGAACACAATTTCTACTGCCAATTTTTACCAGGTTAATATGTGCAGTTTTTAATTAGAATTAAAATATGCTAACATGCGCAAAAATTAATGTCTGCAGCAACAATCGTCTAAACAACAACAAAGAGGTTGAGAGGAAGAAAGCGTTGAGCGCAATCAGATAGCAACAGCTTTGTACTCGTAAGGTAGCCCTGTTGATGTAAGTTTCTGTTATTAAGTACAAACATGTTAGCAAAATATGTACGGTCGGATTTGTCAACGTCCGCGCTCAAGTTATTTTGTTGGCAGTGATTTAACCGCTCCGTTGCGTCGCAACAGATCTTTAAAGTTTGGAATATTTTTTGCCCTCGATTCATTCATCAGACATTCTGAAGTTATGTAGCGCATAATATTATGAACATTGAGAAACCTAACGAACCAATATTACCCGCATTGAACTCACAAGTGTGTAAATATTCGATGTATATTCATCCTCAGTCAGAAATGCTGTATAAATTAGGATTTCTTTTTATAATCTGATTAACGTCTGGGTATTCGTACTTCGCTTACTTAACAGTTGGAGCAATTTCACTCAAATTTTGAATCCTGATTTGTCAAAACCGTGGTTTTATCTGCAGCACGTAACTTTAGAACTGCTCTCATACGAAATGAACCAATCCTTTTTTAAAAATAGTATTGGTAACAAGGTATTGATGTGACTTTTATGAGGTTTCCTTATTTAAATACTAGAAAATGCTTTCTAGAATATGGAACTGTGCACATAAGTATTCTGTTTCTGGACTTTTCATTTTTTCAATAGCTCCTTAAAGCCCATCTTTCACAGAGAATCGACGTGAGGTGGAAAAAAATTGCAATTCCTCATGAAGGAGTCGAAATGGACTTTATAAGGATAACGCGAAAAAGAAGCAGAATAGAAAATTCAGTAAAGACAAAAACAACCCAAGTTGCACAGATTGCAATTACCCGGCAAAATAATTTTTGCTGCATCCGAGTGTTGTGCACGTTGCCTATCTACTGATCGAAGGCACACAGTCTATTGAGATTTACCGCAAAAAAATTGAAATAATTTGAAATTTTTCATTGCACTGCATATTGCCCACTTCACACATGGAATCACTTGGTTGATTTTTTAAAATCGGCATTTATAGACCAAACTATGTAAAAATATTACAGTTTCATAGTAAAGCAATTTCAGTTGTATTGCAATTTCATGGTAAAGCAATTTCAATTTTATTGCAATTTCATGGTGAAACAATTTCAATTTTATTGCAATTTCATGGTAAAGCGGTTTCAATGTCATTACAATAAATTGGAATTTTATTTCAATATTTTCATTGCATTATTGCATTTTGCTCCTTCGGAAAAAAATATAAGATAGCTGATTTACTTACAAAAAAATGCGGCGGTCGTTTGGCGGCGTTTCCCCTTCCAATCCGAGCTGGCCATTTCGAGAAGCAAATTCGTCGCTTCAAAGGCAACTCGAGATCAGGATTTCAAGAAGTCTGAACTTCACAAAACCACCATCACTCACACAGAGCCGAAGTTGCCTGGGCAGCGAGCGCGGGAACTTTTCGCCACGCGATTCAGCAGAAAGCGCCCCGTCCAACCGGGAAGCATTTATGCAAGCGTTATCTCGCGCTGATTATTCTCTCGTCCTTTAAGAGACTGATAAAAGATCCGTTAGAAAAGACGTTTTCTATGGGTCCATGAGAAATGTCCGTTTTAACTTTTGCGAGCTGCGTAGTCCACACACTGACGTCATAAGCGATCACTTGGGTCCCAATTTTTAGATTCTTCAATTTTAGGTAGATTCTTAACATCACAAAAATAAGTTCGAAAAATTGGTGTTTTGTGTTCAAATTCGAAGCTGCATTTAACTGTTTATTACTGAATCAAAAGGGGAAGTGGTCATACGAAAGTGTCCACACACTGACGTCAATCAGTTGGTTCCCTATTTTTAGATCCTTTAATTTTAGACAGATTCTTAACATCAAACTAAGTTGGAAAAATTGATGTTTTGTGTTCAAATTCGAAGTTGCATTCAACTATTTATCACGAAATCAAAAGGAAAAGCGCTCATAAGAAAGTTTTCATTGGAAAAATAATAATGCAAAAATCAGTTGAGGAAGTATCTAAAGTACTATTTTCACTAGTTTACAGTGCAAAAACTTTGGAAAATCATCGATTTCAGCGGAACACAACCTTCACGTCAAACAACTATAACACTTACAGAGGTTATGAACACGCGGTAAACTGAATACAGTTGGCTCTTGACACAAATAGCCCTCACGTGATTGAATCGACTAGATAGAAAAACACACTCACTTCTTCTCAAGAGCTTCTTCAAATTTTAAGAAATTGGATAAAGTTAAACACATTCACTGTTGTACAAAAACCGACCCCGGAGACAAGAGCGAGTGATCTCCTCCTCTTTTACCGATATAGCCCTTGATGATCGTGTACCAACTCCCAGTAGATGTAAAGTCATTTTGCCTACGCCGAATGATGGCAATACACTTGAATGGACGGAAAATTTAAAATGAAATATTTTAGGTGGCAGCCTGCCCTTATATTTTCTTTTAGAACTCGGAACTAAGTACGAATCCGAATATATTTTGGACCGATTGATTGTTAACTGTGGGGCTCCAGAATTGTGATTGAATAGGTATTCATTTATCATTAGCAACATTCTTTTGGCTTCGAGAAAATCTTTGTTTGTGCGGATCTTAAGCAGCAAATAAGCTCAGTTGCCGGCGCAATGAAAGTGCGGACATAAACTTATTCAAACTTTTCTTCATTCGTCGGGAAACTTTTTGAATCTATAGTTTTTTGTAGGTACTTGCTCTTGCACTCAAAATTATCTATGAAGATGACTCAATGATTCATCTCTCCCATGTGATCAATCGGACTTTAATTGAGTAGTGAGAAGGTTTTTATGCCACATTTCAGGAGTCTAGTAAATTAATACATCTGCGCTTATAGTGGCAACCAGGCCTCCTCAACATTTATACACTGACGAAAATACAAATACGTTAATCAAACTTTGAACCTAGTGTCGTGGGAACCTCTCATCTTGCTCCGTCTTGTTTTTTATCTCCTATGCTACCTCTCACTCTTCATCTTTTTCTCTATCATCGTTCTCTACTCTGTACTGATCCGTGTAATCTGCCAAACGAGAAAAAATGCATCATGAGCAAATAAATTCGGTCTACAAGATATACCAATTATATAAACTTAGAATTTATTCACCTTGCACTTAACCGATTATTCTGTCACTTTTTTTCTTCCTCCGTAGACAGAATGACACGTCTCATATCCCTGTTGCCAGTCCCTGGTTTATAAAGACAAGCAGAGCAAGAAAATGAACATTTTATAAATTTCTCGACAACTTTTAGGACGCTGTCTGCGCGCTCTTTCTAATGAGGAACCCTCCCAAGACTCATGCATTCATTCAGGTGAGTATATTTTGACGGCTGATTTATCTTGGTCTTTTGATCTAGCACTCGTCGTGTGTAAATTTGGATTTGTTTTACCATTTTTCCAGATCCAAAAACGCTTCCTGACACAGCAGCAGGGGAGGGGCGTACGCACGGAAAAAATCAAATTGCTGATTTATCAATTATGTAGTTAAAAAAGTATCCGACATGTTTCAATGTAGATTTTACGATTAAAAAATGCTAATTTACCGGACCCCGTGGTTCAATCAGCTTTCCACTATTGTAAAATGTACTTTTGAAGCATGTCGTACATATTTTGTGACAATTGAATTGTTAACTCGCAATCCATTTTTTCCGTGCATTACCCGATTATACATTGCGAATTATGCACTGCCGTCGGTAGATGGTACGTTGTTGGCCAAAAAACTCACAACTGAGAATATGCGAGTGCTGCAGTCGAACGCAACAATACCTGCCCCACATAGCACAGAATCTTATGTCAATACTGATACATATTGTTGGATGTTGACATGATATCACCAACACTAATGCAGTATGATATTAAGATTGTCGGTTAAAAGGTATACTGCGTCAGCATGAATATAACACTAATACCTTCAATATATCAAACAACAGTATTGAGTCAATGCTGACGAGGTAAAAAAAAAATAACACGAAAAGAAATTAACACGAAAAAATGAAAAAAAATATAGGAAGAAACAGAAGCCTAAGAAAACACGGTGTTAATCAAAGTTATGATGAAAGTCGAGCCGCGCACTGATGCTATGCATGCTGTAACAGCCTTGACAGGCGTGATTTTAACCCGAAATACCATCAGTTCCCTGTGGCTAAATGGCAGAGTACTGGGCTAGGAATTCCGCGGTTCGGGTTCAAATCCACCCGAGGGCGTCCGGGTATTTTACGCTACTAAACGTCGCAGGACAACAAGTAAGTGGTTTATAATATTCAATACTTGTATACTTGTGTAATTCATGTTTCAAATGTAATACATGTGTAGTACTATGAAAATGACGGTCATCGTCTGAACTTTCATATCTACTTGACAGAGTTCGCTGAGTGTACAGACGTGTCAGTGTCAAGGTAGTAATGCATACATATTGTCGGTGTCCTGCAGTATTCTGATGACCTTGTCATAACCCTGATTTCCATATGACATCAACCTTTTCGGCCAATACTGTAACAATATTTTGACAGCTCCAAATCAGTAACTAATAAATACTGGCATAGTCTTGATATAATATTAAATCAGGATACATCAGCATTATATAAATACTGACACTACTGACGTGTCAGTACTATTGTAGTATTATATCAATATTCTGTGCTATGTGGGGCTTTACGGCTGTGTGTGGTGCATACCCAAAATAATGAAGGCACGCTAGGTCTGGTCCATTCAAGTTGCTATGCGTACCAACTCTCAGGTATAGGACATTATTTTTACTTCTGGGGGTAGGTGGGCTTTAATTGGCCGCTTTACCGACGTAGAGTCTTGCAACAATACTCACCGGACATTCTTCATCTTGATAAGTGCTCACGGAATAAGGTGAAAGTAATTCGGTATTAGTTGGTTTTCTACTGAAACATCATGAGTATTTGAAACGACGTAATAAAGATTTAGTGTAACTACTTTTGCGATCTATTTAAATTACTTTGCAAGTTTGTTGAAATAAACTGCTCCCCAATTAAATGTGCTGGCAACCAGGCAATTTGTGCTATGAGCAAAATTAACAGCTTTGAGTAACGAGAGACAAATGTTTGCAAAGTTGTATCTATTTCATTAACGGCCTCCACTAATTGCGTGCCTCGAAGTTTGGATGGGATGCAGGGAGCTGACTGATATCCCTGGGTTTAACAAAGGAGGAAAATTACTCCCTGTGGAGGTTGTAGATGGTGTAAGAGCACTAACCGCTCGTTTATCACACGAAAAACAGGATTGGAATCGACATTGCTCATGCTAAAGGGGCGTCAAACGATTCTCACGACTTCAGCGGATTGTTTCAGAGGAAATGGACCACTTGACAAGGTACGAATTTCAGCACTCTGATGTATGATCCTTGACCAAAATTTCACGTAGAGCACGATGCGCACAATGAAAATTATCGAAATCAACTCCTCACAACGATATTTAATGATTCTTGATGGGTGAATTCAAAGCACCCGCTCATGAAAACTCAATGCTCTACGTGATTCACATCGCGCGCTAAACGTTATCATGACAGTCTCTGCGCGATGTAAAAATCTGACAACCTCAATCTTGACGCTTTGGCTCAGCTATAGCAAATTGCCTATAGTTCGAACAACACATGGTGGGAAATGAATATTGCTCGATTAAGAAACTTGCTGAGACCGTTGTCGTGCGCGATTTGACTCACGTAGAGCTTTGAGTTTCTTGTGAGCGGGCAGTTCAAATTCCTCGTAACCAATGTGAAATGAAAAGGTTAATATCTTCGTTAGGAGTTGGTTTCAGTAATTTTCGTTGCGCGAATCGTGTTCTACGTGAAATTTTGGTTAAGAAACATGTACCGGAATGCTTAAAGTCGTACCTTGTCTAGTGATCCATTACCCCAAATTGAAATATACTTACATAGTAATTTGCTTGAATGCATTTTACTTCCACGTATTTGTATTTTGTCAGTTTTGAAATTTCCCATTCTGAAATATGTAAATGATCAATTTTGTTCTGCGTGATAACAATAAATAAAACTATAAATACCCAAGTAGCATTTTTCAACGGAAAAATCGAGATATATTGCAATTTTATCTGCGATAAAATCGCTGAGATCATCAACGTCTGATTAATTATTCTCAAAATTATCGTCAGGCAATTTATCACGATATTTTCGGAAAAAATCGCGATAAATGACGATTTAGTCTCGATTTGATCGACGAAAATTGATCACGATTTTATCGAACCGAAAATTGCTATGTGTATGTGGATCGCCATACATCACAATTTTTAATGCGATAATGTATCCATATATTGCCACCGATATAACCGCGATAGCCAGCCGTTAAAGTGGCTATTTATGGCGATCACTGCTACTTGGAAAATATGAGAAAATATACGGAAATACTAATTCTTCTGACCTCTTCCTTAGAAATCTTGTCTTATAGTTTTGGAAAGTTGTTTTTCCGTAAAGGTATACAGTGACAAATACGACGCATATTAAATATTTCGGACGGTGTGGTGTAAATCTCTAATTTAAGTTTCGAGCTTTTTCAAGAGATCTGTGGTTGGAACGGAATCGTTTCTTTATTTTTTTACCCAGCTTGAGGTTAAAAAGATAATTTCGAATTCCTGCTGGAAACAAAAACGTTTTTTTCTCGGTCAAAAAGATGATAACATCATGATGACAAACTTTTATAGTTTTGAATCGGAACTGCGCGCAATGGTGCCACCATGGCGGACACCATGTGTCACTCTGGAAACCAACGATTTACAACCAGCACTCAAAACTTAAATATTTTTACCATCAGCTACAGCTTAATTTTTTACTTTGAATTTTAACTGAAGTGGAAAAATAAATAAATAAAAAAAAGGTACACGTACAAGTAACAGGTCAAAGGTACAGTCAAAGATATAAGTCCCTCGCAAATACAGTACAACAACCATATTTATTTTGCTTGCGTCTTTTTTTTTCCATTACGTCACAGCGAGTTTTAATCTTGTATGAAATAAAAGCAAATGGTCCTCGGCGTTCGGACCTCCGAAACCGCCAGAGCTCCGATCCGGAGGCGAAGCTTGGAGCTTTTGTGCGCTAATTCAGACGCTAATGAAACCATTGAAATTCCGACCTGTGCTCGCCAGAATCTTCATCGCTATCAGGGCGGAAAGCGCCTCGGAGCTTAGGCAACCGACCGAGCATGGGGACGTTTCCGTAGCTGTGTCACGAGGGCGAGGCGACAAATCCGAGATCAAGTTAAATGGGGTGGATAGTACTCGTGTCACAAGCTCCGGCCGGAAACTAAGAATTTTAGGACCCCTCTTTAAGAGCGGAACTCTAATTCGAACTCGAGGGCTGAGAAGTCAACTCCGGCAGTCAATCATTGAGCATCTTACGCCCGAACGAGTCCTGTAATAGGACGTCCCTGTTCTCGCCTCGATTTTTCTTCCAGCCGCACACTGGACCGAGTCCGTAGGAGAAGTCGGATATTATCAGAAAGCTTTGAAAGCTAATAATGTTGAAAATATGAAAGAAAAATGTTTAAGAGTGATTCCATTGGTTTTTACGTGAAATTTCCCCACAGAAACACCCCTTGAGATTAAATTTGTGACGAAATAAACTTTACAATTTGAAATAGCCAAAAATTTCTTGTTCAAACTCTCCTATGAGCTCGTTCCACTGTACGCTGTACGCCGCAAGCATCGCTCAACTGCGACGTTGTCACAATACTGCCGCACTTTAAATAAATATCTAATTAAAAATCGGCTTATCCTCCCTGAACGGTTATTTTATACGTAAGTAGGAATATCCACATTCGATTTCGCGTGCCTTTTTTTGAAAACATTATAAAACTTAATGTAAAACATATTAGCGAATCGTCACCTGGCTGACAAAAGCGCGTAACTAGGCGCCGAGATGAGCCCGGAAAAGCATTGAATAGTATGGAAAACAGGGTTCATTGCTGAGCAACTTACGTCCTTACGTCAGGAGGGCGACGAATTGGAGGTACCACTCAAAAGAGAAATTTTGCAAGAAAAATTACAGTTTTTTTTAGTTTTTTTCTAAAATCAACTCACACACAAGCTGATAGAGTCAAAGTTAGAGCCGTAAAGTGGATCCGTTTCACAAGAGGTAATCATAGGAAAACTAGACGCATCCCACTTTTCAGGAGGCAAAGAGCAGAACATAATATAATTTTCACCAACATCTATCGACTTTATTGTGCTATTGTGTCGCCATAGCACCTAGGAAATCATGTATACGTATAAACTCAGGCTTCTGATGTTACTGATTTCCTGTTGCATTCAATTTTTTCGAGGGGCGAATGGTTATCGTCTTTGTTATGAATTCCGTGCGATTCGTCAGGATTTGTTCTTTGAAAATGTTACCTTTAAACGACAAAAATAATTTGAAAAACAAAATAATAATGAAGCAGTTGCTTATTACAGCTGAGATATATGAATCGGATATTCCAGAGGACGATGAATAATTTTAAATATACTTTTACATCAAGAATGAAAGAAAGTACGCATATATTATTTTTATTTGATACGATGTTAGATTCACAAAGCTTTTCCTTAAGATCAATCGGTCATCATCATCCGTTAGCCATTGAAGCATGTTCAAACCTGGCCATCTTCACGTCTCAAGACCAAGTATGAATTAATTAATTATTAATGACTTAAAATTCCTGAGTTAGCACATGATTGATGATTTCGGTTTTGGAGTTAACCTATGCTGGTTGTTTCATGAAAATGTCCGAAGTACAATCGCCTCCAGGGTACCTGAAAAAAGCAGCAAGATTAACCGAATGATCGTGTAATAAATAAATGTATTGAGAATAGGCAGAAAATTCCCGAGTACGTGCATCGATGGAAGATTTGTACATCGTACAAATGATGTGAAATGATAAAAAACGATATTTTAAAGGGGCTCCCTTCCATGCACAAATTTATAATTTCTTTGGACGCTTCCAGGGGGCCTTGCCCTCATCCTCAGCTTTTGCCCGCGACTGACCTGGCTGGAACGGTGGAGGGTGATGTTGTAGTGTGCTCATGCAGCTGATCTATTTATTACATTACTTACCAGATTTAATGAATTTGAATCAGATATTCGATGTGCCGGTCAAATCCGTGTTGAGAATGTCCCGGCGGAAGAAGGAAAAATTCTCCCAGGGATCAAGTTCTACCTTATTCTTAATTTATTCTTTTGTTACTATTGATTTAATGTTGATCAAACATCGCCTCTTCGTGTACGAACACAAAGTGTCCGTACTCTCCGTATGAATGTATATTTAAATAATAATACTGTGTCAAATATTGAAAATAGCACCTACAGCTTGGATAAAATATGAACATTATTACTTACCTGATTTCATGAGCTAAGATCGGACCGTTTGGTTCTTTTCCGAAATCAACCAAAAAATCAGGGTCCAGAGTTAGACCGCCGGTTTCTGTATTTACGTCGACTTTCACCATAGTTGATCCATTGCTAGAACAACCAAAATAAAATGAAGATTTAACAATTTTCAGAGAAAATTTTTCTACCGTTCACCTATATGAAAATGCTTGCAGACAACTCGACCAAAAAATTAAAGACGTAAAACTACTTGAAACATGTACGATGTAGCCCGCACGCCGGCACGCATTCTTAATTGCCCACAGAGATTAAAGTAAGATCAAGTTTGATTTAAGAGTTGTTTGAAGATAATTTTTTCAAAGATCTGTATATCTGTTACTGGGTACTACTTATTACGGCTGACTATTAAAACTCTTGCTTCGTTTCAAATCGGATGATAATGTCCTAGGTTTGCTGGCTATATATTGTATATTGTGTACGATATTCTTGAATAATGCAAAAATAAAAATGTAAGTTCCAATATTCTACTCTTTCTTTTAAAATAAGTCTATTCCAACTGCGATTCTGCTCGCTTGTTGTACCGTAAGCAAATCTTTTGCACTACGTATCCGTTGCTGCGAGAAAAGGCCCCAACTTACTTGACATGCTCCAAATAGAATTGCTTGTCCCAGGGTGTGAATACTGCTGTGGAGACGTACAATCTTTTTCCGTCAAGACTTAACTGCATCATTTGTGGCGCGCCGTCTAATTTTCTTCCCTTCACGTATACTGGCTCAGGTTGCTCCTGTATAATTAACGATGATAATTAAAAATTCATAATAGAATAATCTAAGAATGGGCTAAACTTTCAACAAATTCCTTTGAAACAGACAATAAATTAGAATTTTAAAATGAACTTAATTTAAGGTAGAAGTTTGGCAAAGCAGGAAACAATGGAAAATAAACGCATTGTTATGTTACGCTAGTTAAGGTTAGTTTGTTGACAAATCATCGATGTCTTACCCTCTGATGATTGAATATTGGTCGAGGGTATAAAGAACTTACCTAATTTTTCTCGGGAAAAAATATTTACTCGGGAGAAACAAGGCAACGTTGAAATGCTGATGCGGCGTCAAAATACAAAATGGGCCTTTTAAGTTCTATTATTCGATGCCGCGATTATTGTAACGGGAGTTCAGATAATCGCGTCAAACGGTGCAGCCAACAGTGTTAAACGTATATTAGCGCCTGCAAGACTGTAGGAATACTTCTCGCATTGCGCCAAATGCAGTGCAGTCGGTCAGTTGGCCTGAACCGCGGCATATCAGCGCCTACAAAAATGTATAGGAATGCTGTTGGACTGCGAGTCGTCATTTTTGACTATCTGCTCAAGTTTTTATACCATAATTAAACGGAAAATATGTATCCTCATTGTAACGATTCATGAACTCAGATGAGATTTAATTTTGTTTTGGTTATATTAAAAGAAAATAGAAGGAACGAAAACATCGCGTCGAAATTTTCGATACTTTTATTTGAGATCATTTAGGTAAATTCTCGGAAACTTTTCAGAAAAACTGTGGGTAGCTTTTTAAAAACATACATTAAAAATAAAACATGAAATTGGTGCATAACGTTGCAATCAGAGATAAATATACGCTTTCTTTCGGGCGTACCCGTCGTGTTTTGAATCCATCCATCTCTTAAAAAGCTTGAACATTGTTGTTCTACGATTTTTTACGTGTGGTTTTTTTTTCAGTGGTTGGTGGCCAGAGAACCCTAATTCACTTTTTAAATGTCTACGAAAGCTCTCTGAGCCATTCGTGCTGCGAGGGCTATCCATCGAAGAGCGACATGCCCGTAAATGAATAGGGAATGAACAGTCTTCCGCAATGTAGCTATCTACCACAAACTACCAAGGTTGCCAGATTAACGCTTCCTCTTTGAACATTGAATATTCGCGCAAATATGTGAGTTTTCAGTACCAGAAAAATTCGCGCAATCCTTTGCATATCCAAAAATGCAAAAGAGGGGGCATTCGCGCAATGCTATCGCAGCCTTTTGCAAGTTGATAGCACATTTGAGTATATTATACTTAATCGATTTCAGGTGAATAGATGGTAAGGACGTTCGTTCAAAAAATCATGATATCTTTTCAGGAAAGTTAATAAGCCGAATAAAAAAATTATGCTTAAAAAAAGAAAAACAAAAACAAATAATACTTCGATACAGACCTCATCAATTAATTTAAGCGGCCCATCCTTCAACAATTTACCACCTAAGAAAATTTGGCCGACCAGTTTAGGGTGCCGCGTGTCAGTAATATCATACTGGCAAATATCTCCATGCATCCAATTATTTGTGTAGAGAAAACGATCATCCATTGAAATCACGATATCCAACGTCATTCCTGGTGTGAAATATTCATTGTGTTTTGAAATCAGGTACTGCAAAACAAAGCCTCAATCTCCAAAATGTTAAATACTCAGTCGAATTATAATTCGACTGAGTATCAAGCAAAATCTTAATGTGCCCCTCTCAAACTGAAAAGTTTGATCCTCGAAATATAGAGGGCACTGAATGTTATCATTATAAACTCGCAAAACGAGCAAAAAGATCTAATTTTGTACGGAGGCAAAAGAAATTTGCAAAACGCAAAGGACATATTCTCAGCTCGTAAAGAATCTGTCAAAGAAAGGGCCTATATGTGTCTTTTTTTAAAAACGTACGCAGGGATTTCATTAAAGTCTACTCTGATCAAGACCTTATGGTGAATGGTGACCGTCAATGCAAGTTCAAGCAACTTGCGACCAAGAAATGCACTTTTTAGCACTGTTTTGTCAAGACGAGATCTAATCTTAAGCTAAGATTTTCATTGTAGGATTGTCTCATCCATAATAAGGTTTCGCTTGGGATAAATTTGAAGAAAATCCCCGCGGTTCCAAAAAAGGGCAGTTTTTTGACAGACTATTTGTTTGTTGCACAGCAAAAAACTTACAGCACGCCAGTCCTACTGTGATCATTTTCTTTTCTTCATGCAAAATATTCCTCAAGTTCGTGCATTTTCCGTTAAGAGAAATTTTTAGCATGAACGCAGTTTATTTAACACAGATCGACGATGAAACTACCAGATCACGTAGCTCGGTTGGCGACGTTGCACACTTCTTACCAGTCTTCATTTTTTAAATGGAAAACTGCTCAACTTCAATTCTTGAAAACTTCCGTGATTTTTCTACTCCAGTTCGCTTCGTGAATTTTTTTCATAAATGGAGAGTGAGGGATAATGTGTTTTCCTTGGAAAATGAACCAATTTGTTTGTTTCTAAAAGTTTTGAGAATTCCAAAATTTGGAGGCGTTTTGCCCAATATTTCATCGTATGTTTTATGTTTTGCACCTTTCATAGTGGATTTTTGCTGTTTTACTGTCTATCTTACCTCCAATTTCCGGCTCTGTGTGACCGATGACCTTCTTCTTTGCAATGTGTATGACTTTTTCTGCATCCCAAGATCCGTCATCCTTCCGGAAAAACCTGTCAAAAATGAATCGTGAATAGAAAAATTTCAAACAAATTAATAGCTTCTGTATCGTTAGTCTCAGGCCCGGACTTAAGGCGTGTGCAGGGTGTGCGGCGCACACGGGCGCCAGCCTTTGGGGGACGCCACGAGAGAAGAAGAGAGGGAAAAAAAGGGGGGAAAAGGAAAAGGAAAAAAAGGGAAGAAAGGACAAGGGGAAAAAAGGAAAAGGAAACAAGGTTGGGCAGTGAAAGCAAGGAAGAAAGGGGGAAATGGAAGGAAAAAGGAGGCAAGAAAAGTGAAAAGAGAGTCCGCGAGAAGGGGGGGGGGATGCATAAAAACCATAGACAAAATATAAAGAGAATTGCCGTCTAAAGGTAAATTTTCAGGACAAAAACTCCACCTGGTCCATAGACGGTCAGGCGCCCCTTGACCCTAAATTTGCGGCTGTACAGAAATACAAGAGTAGGCATGTAGTAAGGGGGCGCCATAAATCCATCGAACAGGAGCCGACATAGAATTTTAGGCCACGTCCGCCATCTTGGATTTGAGAATTTTTAAACATAGTAAAAATTCGAGTTTCCGGTCGAAAAATACCCTCAGTCACCGAGTTTCAAAAAAATCCAGCGAACATAGGAGCCGACATAGCATTTTAGGCCACGTCCGCCATCTTGGATTTGAGAATTTTCAAAAATCGACTAAAAATTCGAGTTTCCCGTCAAAAAGTACCCCTGATCCCGCGGTTCTCAAAGCTCTAACGAACAGAAACGGAGGCCAGCGAACCAGGGCTCATTTTAGGCCACATCCAACATTTTGGAGTTGAGAATTTTAAAAAATTGACTAAAATTTCGAGTTTTCCGTTGAAAAATACGGTGTGATACCGCGTTTCACAAGACTCGAACAAACAGAAACCGAGATAGCATTTTAGCCCACGTCCGCCATCTTGAATTTGAGAATTTTAAAAAATGGACTAAAAATTCGAATTTCCCGTCGACACATACCTCCTGACACCGAATTTCAAAAAAATCCATCGAACAGGGGCCGAGATAGCATTTTAAGCCATTTCGGATTTTCGAATTTTGAATTTTTTGAATTTTGACAGATTTTGATTTAAAACGCGTGATCCCCAATATCGAAGCTCAGATTCGGATTCCTCGTAAAAAATCGATGCGATTTCATGTATCATACCCTGACACCGAATTTCAGGAGAATCCATCGAACAGGAGCCGAGATGGCATTTTAAGCCTTTTCAGTCATTTCCGATTTTTGAAGTTGAAAAATTTTACTTAAAACGCGTGATACCCAAAATCGAAGCTCAGATTCGGATTCCTCGTTAAAAATCGATGCAATTTCATGTATCATACCCGAGCACAGCGTGGAGGAAACAGACGCAACGTAGGCATACTGATTCGAGCATATGAATGCAACGTGGCAACATGGGTAGTGCTCAGTGGGTCAGCGGAGGTCGGAGGAGGAAGAATAAGAATTTATCGTGAGGAATTCCTCGGGACGAAACCGAACGTAAGCGCCGGCGCGGCGTAGTTCAAAGGGGCAGTATGACAGAATCTATACGCGTCGTTAAACCTTTTTCCTTCACGCTATTTTAACATATGATACATGAAATCTCATCAATTTTTCACGAGGAATCCGAATCTGAGCTTAGATTTTGGATATTACGCGTTTTAATCTATTTAAAATCGTAGGAGAAATTACAGAATTGTCCTTGAAAATTGATCACACATTAGTGACTTTTTACCCCGTTTTTCCTCTACGTTCACGTAATGAAATTAGATCAACAGTTGACTCATCGACTAGTCTAGCCTAACCCCCCAGAATCGGTCTAAAGGGCGAACGCTTTTATCAGATAAGATGTGCGGTCTTAGGCCTTGTCTCCACGGGACGTTTTCATGGGATTTGTCCCAAGTTCGAATCGCAGGAATGAAACTTCTGGGATTTTTCCCAGTTACCGTCTCCACGGGACGGGGCTCATACAGTCCTGCGACTAGTTTTCGCGGGAAGATAAATTGGTTAAAGTCGAGTGTTTAACCGGGATTAAAATAATAATTGCACTAAATTGACAATTAGACACATTATTTTAACTAAACAAACATTAACAATGTAGTAATGAATAAAATATCGCACAATTCGTTTTCACTTCTTCTTCTTCTCTCCTAGGGGTACAAGTGCTACAAGTACCATACTTGGTACTGGGAAAAATATTGATTAACTCAATATTTTTCCCAACTTCGTAAGTGGGATTTTTCCCTGGGACAAATTTCGTGAAACGGCTCGTGGAGACAAGGCACTAGTTTCCGGGCAATTGCGGTTTGATGGAAGCTGCGATGAGGAGAAACGGAAGATATGCGAAACTCGGGCGGATATTAAGTGAGAAACCAGGTAGGGGAAAGGCTTTCTTCCCGAAAAGTTAGTGCTCGGACCAACTTACATGATCACTGGAGCATTGTATAGCAGGTTGTGGTAAACTATTTTTTTGCAGCAACAACCAATTGGATCGCATTTTGCAAAAAGGAACTAAGAGCATTTCAATGTTGCTGGGATTGTGCAACTTAGGTACATTCTTTGCAAAAAATAAACTTAGCGACGGTAATTATCGTCTTGAATTCATAGTTTATTGGAAGTAGAGGTGAAACTAGTTTGGATGATCGTTTATGTTTGCGAGGTTAGCGACATTGGAATGCTCTTGTTAGTCTAAATATAGACGAATCGACCTCCGATTAATTTATGTTGCATCGATCATATAAAAAATCTCGAAAGTTTTTTTTTTTTCACGAAAACTAGTCTACTTTGAACAGAAAAGTGGTTTGGTAGTCCCACCGTCGATAAGGCACGTTAGTGCATTTTTTGACAAATTTGAGCTATCAATGATTTCAACTGGACGTATTTCTGTCAAACGGAACTAAGCGCCGATTTGAGTTATTTTTGAGGAAATTAGAATGCCGGATAGAGCGTTCTGTCAAACGGAACTAAGCGCCATAGAAAAGCATTGCGAGTATAGGACGGAATGAGCCCGACGCCCGATTCCGCCGCCAATCCAAGCCCTCCTCTCCCTTCCTATGGCGCTTAGTTCCGTTTGACAGAAATACGTCCAACTGAAACTATCCTTAAAATATATACTGTAAAAAATTCACGGGTAAAATCCAATTTTTATGAATTAAAAAGTGAGTTTGAACTTTCTTTCCACCTTAAGGCTTCGTGTAATTATTTTGGAACTTTAAACAAACTTTCCTTGAAATAGCATAAACTGCACTTATCCACTTTGTCCTCCAAGCCCCACAAATGACAAATACCTGAAAATATGTCCTGGGTAACCGCAGCCGACGAATCCCTCAGCGGCGGTGGGCTCGTGAAGAAACCGCAGTTCTAGCGGCGTTATCCCCTCCGGCCCTAAGTCGATAATCTGTGTAAGCTTCCTTTTTGACCATGAGAAAACGTTCAGAGATCTGCCGTATATTTCTGCAAAAGAAATCATCCTAGTACACTAAGAAGTTTTCTATACAATAGCCAACATTCCAAGGGAGAGAGAGGGGTCTGAACCTGTGTCATGGATGCGTTAAGCCCGTAGGTATCTGGACGATCAAAGTAGAGCTCTCAAAATGGCGTCACGTGGGGTCATGTGACCCTCCATTGGCCCTCTCATTGCCTCATTGAAGTCACGTGACCCCACGTGACTCCACTTTGAGAGCTCCAATTTGATCGTCTGATGCCGGCTTTACAGAGGAGAGGAGGACTCCCAAGCTGGGTCAAATGAATTTCCGAAAATTTAAGATAAAAAATCGATGAGAGTAGGTAATTTTTATCCAACATTCATTTTAAAAACCCAATTTGAGGGGCGGCAGACCGTTACGTAATTTTTAGGGGTTGCAGACTTGCGTGACGGGAGAAAGGGTAGCAAAAAACGAATCCGATTCTCAGAGACAATATTTAAGGCATCTTAAAGCAAAGGAATCAAGGCCCATTTTGCGTGTGAGCCCCATATCACTTAAGAATTCTAGCGTTGCGGGATTCATCAGCAATATGGACTTTGCTTCCTTTGCTTCGAGATGCCTCTTTTTATGAACGAACCCACAGAAAGTAGGAACATTTGTCTCGGCTAGCTTTCTAAACTATAAAATTTACTACTTCACCCTTTTTAATTCCCTAAATTGAGGGGCTCAGAGGACAAGGCGCATAAGTGCAGTTTTGGGGGAAAAAATGAGATATTAATGATTTCATGTAAAACTAGTCTTAATGCATACTCTAAGAAAAATTCACTCCAAAATTCTAATTTTTAAGCATCAAAAAGTCAGTTTAAACTTCCTTTTTGCCGTGAGGCTCCATGTAATTTTGAAACTTTAAACCCGTATATAAATGTCTTGAATTAGCAAAAACTATAATCATGCCGTATGCGCCTTATCCTCCAAGCCCTTCAATGTCTTCTTCTATTATGGATGCAAACTCAGTCCGCATAGAATAATATATGAATAAAAATAAAATAGTGATATGAATCAGTAATTCCATGACAGCAGATGCATGAAAAAAGCATAAATGCATAATCTAGATCTAAGTAGGGTCGATTTTTATGACGTTCTGGTCATTTTCGCTAGATGACCCGCTGTCTCAGCTTTCCGGATTATAGTTCACACTCTTCTCCGCCGCAAATCGATCCTTTGTAGAGACAAAGAACACCAGAACTGCCGAAAAATCACCCAAGCTGTCACACAAGCGTTCAAGATTTGCCCATTTCCTCCAATATAATGCTCATTTTTTAGGAAAGTTATGCATATTCTTCGTTGGACTTTTCAGATACTTTAGATTAAATCGCAAATAGAATTGTAAACCAAGTAAATTACGTGTTTATTGAAGGAAATATGGTAACATCTGAAGGCTCGCGTGGCGTTTTTCCTTTCGCAGCAATAAACTACACGGTTTATTTTACAAAATCTTAAGATATGCGCTGTAGGGTGTGATACCACTATTCGACCTCCTGGGAGCTCATCTTGCCTATTCAATTTATTGAAGGCGTTTTATTTTCCGTCGCCTCACGCTGATGTCCTATGAACTATCGTGGTAACAAGCAGATTTTCATTTGAAACGAAACTCGCATGAGATGTACAATACGATGCTACTCTGCGTGCATATATGATAGAACTACATCTACACGTTGCCAAATTTTCTCAACGAATTTACACATTTCTTAGAGAACTAATGTTTTAGTGCATTTTCCGAAGGAAATGCACTATTTTTTTTTTCTTGGCTGTAAACTTTATAGAAAATACTCATACTTTGATCTGGAAAATTTTAATAGGTTTTCATAGTTTCGAAGTCCCTCAGCTCCCCTTGGGATCCATTCCCTATTGAATCCACTGGTCCAAAACATCAACTGACCAAAAATTACCGAGAAAAAAGTCTGACTACGGTGGTCTGTGCTGTGACACTTTCTATAATATTTGCAACGCTTCATTACGCCTGATAGCCCGATCCTATAGTGTCAACGATAGTTTTAATTTCCCAATTAAGATCAGCTGATGAAATTTAGCCCCATAAAATCAACTAAAAAATCAATTAAAGTTTTTTTTTTTTTTGAAAAAAAAAACCCGCAAACAACTTCAAAATATTAGGAATATTAATAGTAAAATTGCAAAATTTGCAATGCTGTATGATGTCAAAACGAGTTTTGATCTCAAGCTAAAACTTTCATGGGAAGATTGTCTCTTCAATTCTTCATAAGGTTTAGATTAGGACGGATTTAAACGAGATCCCTGCGTGTCCAAATTGAGGTTCAAAAAGGCCCTTTTATAGATAGGCTCCTCGACTGAAATATTGTTCAGAAGGTAAAAACTCACCAGGATCCAGGGCATGTTCCTCTACGAAACACGGTTTAAATTTATTTGGAATGCCCCACTCTGACGATATCATGGTGTCCCAGTACGGTTGGTACCAAAAATCGTAACCGAACTTTGCTGGTTTGATGTTTTCTTGGTCAGTCCAAACACCTATAGAAAGGAGGAAAAAAGGACCCGTTATAAAGACCTAGTTTCAATTGTTTACTTGTAAAAATTACTCTTGAGATTTTAAGTGCATCATCCTAACATCTTTGAATCGAAGTTCGCAATCAACTTAATTCATTAAATAAACATTTAGGCTTTCTTTTTTCCCTATACCGAGAAAAATTAATTTGATTAGCGAGAAAAACTGCTCATCTCAGCAGTATGTTTGTTTATTTGTGGAGTGATTTGAGATAACTCAATGTGAATTAAAATGCCACCGATGAGCGGTAAATCAATCGAAATAAATAACTAACCGAAGTATACTTTTTAAAGTACTTCTCAAAGTAATAGCATTTTCCCGGTACTGAGTGGCATCATCATAGCCTTAAAAATAATAGTGAGCCAATTTCTTCCTATTATCTCGACTGTAAGTTGAATTCTGACATAGCTCCAGTAAGTTTCAGCACTTTGAAATACATCCACTATGACGCTACCGCATATACTTACATCTAGAAAATAATGTTAGTGTGGTGGTTATACGAAATTTACGATTATAGGCTTAACTCCAAGACCACGTATCTAAGCTTGCGACGATGCAAAATTCCAGGCACTCTTTATTTTTTCCTTGGAAAGTTGGTCAAAGTAATTCCTCGAAAACTTCCTTGATTTTCCTTCCCCGTCAGTAGAATATTCTGTACAAAATTCAAGCTATAAAGTTGACTTTTTCATCTCCGGAAAAGTAGACTAGGAAGGGAGATTATGAAACTCTGCAATGGAGATACGTGGTGTCACCCTTTAAAGCCATCGATATGTGATCCCAAGAAAACCCACGGCATACTGGCATGTTAAGCAAAAACGCCGTATGAACCTTCACGAGTTGCCAAATTTCCTCCCATAAAATACGAATTTATTGGGAAATTTGTAAAATTTTTTCTTTCAATATTTCAGACAATTTTGTTTGCAATTTAATCTGAAAAATCTGAAAATATCAAGGGAAAAAATGTTTTAGCAGGGGAAATTTGGCAACATTAGAGTGTTCATACGGCGTGTTTCCTCAGCACGGCAGTATAGAACACCGTATTTATTGTTCTTAAGACCAAACTTTTCAACTTGTTTCAAACTGGGCCAACTGTCAGCAGTCAGCTGCTCGAGACATACCTTTCAAAGAGTTGGTTTCATTATCGATTAGAATGTAATTACAGAGCCCCTCTCCTGTGGCATCCCCCATTGCCGATATCATGATATCGCCTGACGGAAGACAATGCGTCGTGTGCAAGGCCGATGCATTCAAGGCATGCACTTCCTCCGGCTGGATCACCTGTAACGCGGATCTGAATCAGTCAACGAAAAAGAGGAGAGGAACAGTCAAGGAAATTTTAATTTTGAGAAAAATGAAAAAACAAGAAATCTCCCATTATTGGCCGTGACAACTCAATAGTGCTAAAGATAAAGTGAAAATTCATCGCGCAAACCGAGAAAACAATTGATTAACGACATATTGTCTGAGACCGGGAAAAACCAGGATTCATCGGTGAATGAAATATTGCAGGGAAAATCAGGGGAAAATCAGGGGAAAATCAGGGATCCTGTTCCAGAAATCAGGAATCTCTGCTTCTGTCGCTTGATGATATTGGAACTGAGATTATATAAACATCAGGAATTTTTTTGTTTTTTTGTTTTGTTTTGTTTTGGAATTAAAAATTTGAATATTCTCCAAAGAGTCGCCTGAAATAAAGATGAAACAAATTCGAATATTCACATCTGGAACTCCGGCGAGTTATCAAGTTTTTCCTAAGAAAATCCCGGGGAAAAGGGAGAAAATTTCGGTTCCTCACAATGAAATTAGCTTCTGAAAATCAGGAAATTAGCATGGTCAAGACTGCTAGCCACCATGATTAACAAGGAAATCAATATGACTTTCAGCGAGGGGTAAGGTATTGTGTATTGATAAACAGATAATATCCATACTGTACATTTGCAACCAACTTTAGCTTCAGGCCCGTGTCAGCCTTAGTTAATTTGGGATCGGACCTGTTTCGGCTTTCGGGGGAACTTTTTCTTCAATTTTACGGCATTTTACGAGATTGTTGGAAGTTTTTCACCCTTCCCCCTCCCCTCCCCCCGGCCAAACGAATTTCATCCCCACTATGGCCTCTACCTCTCTACCTCCTGAATTATCGGGTGAAAATGGCATAAATGAGAACTAGTAAAACATAGCGTCGTTAGTGGTTTCGGATGCGGTCATCCAAGTTTTAGTAATATTGTTTACCATTTTACCTTGATCAACTTCGGAGCCTTGGGATCATCAACACTGAAAATGTGAATTCGGTCGCTACCGAGAGCTGGGACAATAATTTTATTTCTCTTTTTTGTTGCATCGTTGCAACAACTGCTACATGAGTTCCATCCAAAATGGTGGATTTCATCTCCAACTGCGCTCATATACGCACGGTGGATTATCTGAAAAAGTAAAAAATCTCAACTTCATTCATACTTCAGAGAGAAAGAACTGCGCTAAAATTATTCATAATAAATTAACTCCTGGTAAATGTATCTGCGGCGTTCCTCCTTCAGTTGGTGCAGTTTTAAATACCTGGAGGTGTACGTTACAAATATGTCACGTTTATCATTGCTTGTTTCGAGAATGGAGCTGCTGAAACCGATTATTTTTTCAAGAATGATAATAATTATCCCCCCCCCCTCCTGGTCATGATATGTCTTAACTCATATTGGCTACTTACAGAAGAAAACCATTGTTATCAAACGTAGAATTGATAACAATTGTGAGTTACCCTCTTGATATTAATGAAAACGTTCCCGTTGGACGTTTCCTAGAATTTCCCTCTTTTGGTATTTTTTCACTGACGTGAGGAAATCCCTCGCTAAAATCTTGTATCAGTGGATTTTATTATCAGTGGATTAATTACTCTTTTGGCGTCCTCTTCCCTCCCTTCCGTATCAGACCCCTCTATCCTCCCCCAAAAGTTCGTTCATCGCATCGAAGGTTTCATCGTTAGCATTGAAAGAACATATCTTTAGCGTATATTGTATTTAAATCATTAATCGGTAATTAATCGTAAAAGCTCTCAAATGATAAAATAGGTTTTGACTCAAGACTTCAGTATTTTTTCTACTTCAGTATGAAAATTTTGATGGTCCGCTCGAATACATTAGATATCATCGCAATAGATATCGCACAATTAGATATTCTATACACTGCTTAAATACATTACAACTGATTATAAGCTTGTATAGCATCAAATTGATATTTTCAAAGACACATAAACTCTCCAGTTCAAAAAACAGAAGAGCACGCATCATGGGGCTTGAATCTAGAACATTATAGTACCTATCACTATAGCCATTACTTTTGAACCTTCATATTTTTGAGCCCAAACTCCCAAATAGTCTAAAACATGACGAAAAAAAGGAAAGATACTCAAATGTCATTACTCATCGTTCCGTTTAAAAAATCCCCAACAGATATATCTGTCACTTCTTTGTGAAAATAATTAAAGTATAAGAGCTAAAATACCGTCATTTTAAACTAGATGCGTGGTATCTCGGTCTCACCATCGGGACACTGCCCCGTCTCCAGGCTGACTGAGAGCCAGGTGTAAAGCTGTAAGAGTAGAACGGTGAAGCGCCTTCATTTTGTGTGCACGCAACACGGACGTCCCTTCAGTTCGAATAGTTGCATGAACTCGGTTTCAGCCCAATGTATGGCCTGAGGTTACCACGTATGTACTATTTCCGTACCTTGTAAGTCAGAGTGTTTGTTTAAGATTTGGTTCACTTTTCTTTATTCCAAGATTATTGCGCAGAAATTTTTACAATGAGTCTCTCTTGCCAGAGGGTTGGAGGGTCTGTATAGTAAACTAACCTGCATATAGGATGGACTGGAAGGATCGACATCAACTGTGGCTATGTAATCGGGAGATTTCTTCTCCTCTGGGTAGGGCTGGATGCAGGAAACATAAAGGATTTTTTCTTTGGGACCCTTCATGGCATCAGCCGGCGTCTTGTACCCAGGTCCACTTGGCTTTGCACAACAACCTGATCGAATTTTCATGAGCCATTATGAATATATTGAATTCGAAGGTTCATTCCCTCATTTGGTCCAATGTTTATAACAGACTTTTTTCATAGATGAATTTCATAGAGTCTGTATGCGTTTATTTGTGAACTTTGAGGAAAATTTGACTCATCTTGAAGAAAAAAAGTGTTTCCTTGCCATCTTTTTTAAGAGCGTTCGTTGCGTAAAGGGGGAAATTCACAGCGCCGGCTAAAATTTTAGTTGTGAGGACCGAAGTTTCTTTGTAGTGATAAAATTTGTCTGATTGCCACAACCAAGGAAACTGATGGTTCCGTTGTCGCAACTAAAATTTTACTTGAAGTAAAAATTATTTTCTTTACTGCAACAAGAAACAGCCCAGGAGCCAGTTATTTTCGTCGAGATGAATCTGATTTTTCTCCAAGCGCACTCGCATGTACCCACCCGATCGATTGTTATCTTGACATCGTATCGTATGCATTATGCAATTTATTAGTTTCTGCAATATTGAATACAAAATATCTAATTGTAAATAAATAATTTTCCAAAAATTAAACTTTTCGACCCGGTATATAAACGTTAAATTTTCATTCTGGCACTGAAGTTTTTCTAATTTAGGCCGAATAATGCATTATCACAACTCGCCGATGTCAATTGTGGTTATTTTCACACAATAAAAGACGCAAAAGGCAGAATAAGCAAACCAATGATTCTTATCATGACGTAATGTTTTAAACTGCTCGCCGTTTCATCTTAAGGAAAGAAAGCGCGTATAGGTATCTTTAAAAAATCAAAATTCAATAATACTTACCGCTTATTGGCGCCATTCTCAATTAAATCTTAAAGACACTCGACAATAACAACACGTCTAAAACTTAACAGAACGACTAAACTGTTCCCCCGGAGGGCACTTGCGTAGTCCTACTCATACGGCAATTATCGATACCCGGCTTCCCACTTCTTGATTCTTGTTATATTGTAAATTCAAAGCTGGCAAATCGTGGAGGAAACTTCGTATATGCCCTACGCAAATATGCGTTGGATATTTATTCTTGTTAAGTTGAGCTCTTGGCAGCAGCGGGAAGCTATGTTAGTTAGATAACCAATTTTATCGCGCACTTCGTGATGAACATCATATCTCGCACGGATGCACAGATACCCCTTGTCCGTTTACATTTTTGTCGTGCTTTGCGGGTCGTCTACCTCGCCGGGTAGATATGACCAGATCGGCTGTACGGCCGTGCTAAGTAAAAACGCCGTATGAACCTTCAGGCGTTGCTAAATATCCGTTGGTAAATCACGAATTTTCAGGAAAATTTGTAAACATTTTTCTCCCAATTTTTCAGATAATTTTGCTTGCAATTTTATCTAAAGTTCTTGAAAATTTCTCTGGAAAATTTTCATAACTTTCCTCAAAAATACAAATTTTATGGAAGGAAAGTTGACAACTCTTGAAGGTTCATACGGCGTTCTTCCTGAGCACGGCAGTGTAGTTCATAAATGCACTGAAACTGAGATTTATAGAAACGCAACAAGTCGCATTGAAATTCGACCGAGAAAAATGGGCCTGAACCTTTAGGCAGTACTCCATGTTACTCTATGTTGACTCAATGTTAAGAACAAAGCTCGAAAACCACGTTCACGTTCAAAATATTTCTTCTCGACTTCGGATTTTTGGCGAGCAAATAAAAACGACTATAATTGAATTCAAATAAACTAATCCCAACACATTTTGCTTCAAATTGCGACTTTGCGTGAATTTCTGTTCAACTGTACAATACACTAACATATAATTTACCGGTCACAAAAGTGCTTAAATAAGGTCTAATAATATCAAATTTTTCAATGAAAATCAATTTATTTTTTAATCATACAAGTTGTAACTTGAAAGCGGATGTTGCAACGTCGCGTCGTCGGCCGGAGCATCAAAACCAAAAGTTACGTTGATAAATTAGTTTTTCCAGTCACATTTTCTTCGATTCTCCACGGCGGCCTTTCATTGGCTCATGAACCTCAGGCACCTGTTGTTCGCACTTGATGGAGGTCATTCCGATCTCTTTGTCGAGAAGGGCATTCGGTTTGCTGGCAATGCTATGTGTGGTGCCGGCGGCATTTTTGTGTTTAAACTGGGAGGTTGGTACAACGACTTTGACGATGTTGTCCGTGTCCTGTTCTGGGCCAGCCGCGTAGATGACGTCACCGTAAAGGGTGGCTACCACGAGAGAAACGAGGGCGCCAATGGCAGTGTAGTGGGAGAGTGACCACCGAGAAAGTCGCGGAACGTGCGATGTGGGCTGAATATCCTCGCTACTTCCATGCAATCTGCAATAAAATTCCAGCATAAAAATTTAGCACTTAGAATTATCGAATGACATATCGACGGTGAAACTACCAAACCACGTATCTCGTTTGCGGTGTTTAAACATCTACGCTCGCATTTTATTTTTTTGAAGTCGACCAAATCAATATCATTCCTTGAAATTTTCACAGAATTTTCTCCGCACAAAGAGGAAAAATCACAGAAATTTTCAAGACTAGACGTTAAGTAGTTTTTCATTTAAAAAATAAAGTATGACAGGAAGTCTGCGACGTCGCAAACCAAGATACGTGGTTTAGTAGTTTCACCGTCGATATAGTAATAAGAGAACTCTGACAAAAAATAGACCCTTGGTAAAAATAGCTGACAAGTCCATTGCAGATTAGAGTGCCCGTGAGTCGCGCAGCTGGATTGCTATCTATTATGAAAAAAGTAGTTTTTTTTGCACAAATGGGGCAAAATTCAAGTTATTTGCATCGTAGAAGATTGGCCAATGTACAGATATGGTTAGTATAATTGTGCAGAAGGACCAGAGACAAGAGACCCTTGGTGTCTTGGCCGCAGTGGAAGATTTTACTTTCGGGACTCCAACATTCAACTGTTGACCTACCTACGAGGTGGATGTTGAATAACGTGCTGGGTATTTCGTTTCGCAAACATACCGAAGCTTGGCAAGCTTATTTGGCTCATTATATGTGCGTTACCCGAGGCTCGTCATCCACCAAGTAGGTATAATGACTGTTACTCCCTTATTATTATCCATGAGGAAGTGTTAAGTTCCCGAAAGTAAAAGTTTCCGCCTGAAATTTCCTTCCTAAAGAATTTAATACTAGTGTAAAGGCAGTACCAAGTAACATAAAATTAGTGTGAATCAACGCTGAGGCTGGTGAAGGCAAAGTGGACATCAATCAAAATAAGTGTCAACGAAAAGAAATCGCCACATCCGCCATCTTGGATTGTGGCATTTTGAAAAGTTCACCAAAAATTCGAGTTTCCCGTCGAAAAATACCACCTGATACCAAGTTTCATGAAAATCGATTGAAGAGGAGCCGAGATAGCATTTTAGGCCACGGCCGCCATCTTGGATTTTGAAATTTTCAAAATCTCTTTATAGAGCTTTATATAGAGTAATATACTATGCCTATCACAATAACAAGAACTTTAAAAATGCATACACTTGAAGTAGTTTTCAACTTACAAGTGAGGCTTGGCACCTCCCTCTACTACTTGTTTCATGAGTGGATTCTTCTGTATGTTCCCGGGACAGCCCACTGTTGACATAGGTTTTGTCGAGAATTGAATGTCACCAGATTCAAGAGACCATAAGACACAGTAAACAATCAAAGCAGTTGCACATGCTCTTGCCAGGAGCCAGGAGCCTGTAATAGTCGCCTGAGGACAAAGATTATTATCAAAGGTATTGATTCATAATTTTTTCGCAATCTCAAGTCTGTCCTCATAGTTGAGAGGGCACAATCATTGTTACCCTCAGGAACCTGTGGTGCTTCCTCCAGTTTCAAGAAACCTAAAAATCCTGTAAATTTTGATGACATTCTCGAACAAATGTATTAATACTCTAAACAGAGCGTTAAGTGAGGTGAAATAAGTAAATCAGAATTTTGTGTACCACACTGAAAAAAAATATAGTAGACTTTACCAAACTTGGACACAGTGAAACCAGTATGATAATAAAGACTGGACTGTATGGTAGTATTTACTATACTAGGGTAAGTATCAACAGAATTCTAGTGAATACTACCATAATTCTGGTTATTTTCACTAAATGGTAACACTGTGTAAAAAATCAAGTAGGCTTCTAGTAGATGTTACCATACTTTTTTTTCAGTGCATAAGCTCAATTCAGAGCAAAACTAGGCAGCATGAATGGTCTCGTATAGGTACTAAATTAATTTATAAACCGTGCAAAAACTGACGCTCTTTTTTCATTTTTCAATCACATCAGTTTCAATGCAGCCATTACTAGGTCTATGATTTTACGTTGACTTACACACCTTTGATCTCATTATCCGAATCCGAAGAAATCCGATGAAAAATATTGCGACTATTACACCATCAGTGAATCTGAGAACACTCAGCAAGAGCTGAAAGAATGAAAGTACAACATTAATTTTTAGCATTACATTACAAAGATCCCGATGTGCATTTACTAATTTCTTCACGCGTTTATTTCACGTAAAGTAAGGAAAATGAAAAATCTGTGTGAATCAGGTTGCAAATGAACCGGAAATGATGGACTCGCCGGAAGAAAAAAAAATATGTTTACTCTACTTTTTCATCGATTTTTGTTTAGAGAATTGTATTTCCTCCTTAACAATACCTAAATCTACGTCAAGTTATAGAGACAAACCCTTCTTGCCGCGAAAACTGAAATGCAAGTTCATATCTTCATAAAATTTAGGTGTAGACTCTTACTTAGAGAAACCGATGTCCATGAAAAAGTTTTGTTGGGCTAAAATAGTCTTCTTGATTCTTATATTGAAAATGTTAGTCTTCCAAAGAACCAAAGAACTTGGTCCAAAAACACTGAAAAGTCAACCCCCATATTCAATTCAAACACATTCAAACCTGAGATAAAACTGGATCCAGATCATTGTAGAATAAAGAAAGCAATGTCACCAACGCCCCCACTAAAAATGTGATTTTCCTGATGCATGTGGTAGCTTGCTGCTCCGTAGGTTCTTTAAGATAAGACCTCTTAACGAAGTCCTCATATATGATGCCCGACACTGTATTCAGGTTTGATGACATGAAACTGTTGAATTAGAACAAATATTGTATTTTAAAGGAGGTTTGTGAATACATCCTACCATTCCTCCCCTACAACAACAAAGCAACCGGACGCATAAATAAGTGAAGAATTGAACTTCTAATCCTGGTAAGCGTCATCAGAGTTAGATGTTAAGAAACTGCAACCGTCTCTCTTAGTTATAAGGAGAATCCAATGATTATTATGAAATTATGAAAATTAGATCGAGGAAAAGGAAGGAAATTTACCGAGGAAAATCGAGGAAAATTACCGAGGAAAATTATCGAGGAAATTTACCGATAAAAATTCCTTGTAATTTTTTTTTTTTTTTTTTTTTTTTTTCCTACAGTTTGGCGTTCCAAACATTATGCACAAACTTGATAGATACAAAAGCTATCAAAGGAGTACTATCCCTTTTCGTTTTTTGAGAAAATTAAAGTAGCTATTAAAATGCAAGTTATGCATATTCTTAATGTCCTCTCAGATACCCTTACAATAAGATGTTGTAGAGCTGTGTAGGTAAGTAAAAAATTGACTGATTGGCGGAGTTTTGAAAACAGTATGTTCAATCTACCCTTCCAGGATTTTCAGCATCATTAATTTTTATTTTCCTTTTTTATCTTGCTCGAGTAGGAGGGGAGAAAAGTAACAAGTAAATAAATTTTATGCCGAGAAAAATTACAAAATCAAACGTAAACTTAATGACAGTCAGTTTTCTTCACAGGATGACTAGATCAGCTTCTCGATCTTTTTCAAAATGTCTTTCATCTTTTTTCACGCAAAGCTATAAACTATCTTCCCACTCCTATAGAGTCGTTTCTTCAAATTCATTCGGAATGGGAGGTATGACTAGAACAGCACAGATTTGTCTCCGTGCAATTATTGGAAAGCCTCACTGCCACCATATAAAAGGCCTCATTAAGGCTTTTACCTCCTTGGAGAAAGACATCTATTATTTATTCTCAATTTTAGCATGATCCAATCAACTTTTATAGTTAGAAATGATTAAATATGCTAAATTCCCGTAGGTTAACTATAGAAGTTTTATTATGAGGTCGATATTTTTAGTGAACTTAAAGTATAATGTTTTACCTGTATGCGACACACATACTATCAATCATAAATATTAACGCAAGATAATTGTAACGCTCATTTGATATTTTCCAGATATAGTGAAGTACGAGGAACGCTTTGCTGACTTCCTGCAACAATAGACTTGAACTGTTATATTATGTATATTAAAATGCATAATCAATCAACTGGCAAGTTTTACTCAGTGCAGTCAGAAACAGAAGTTGAGTCGTAAGGAATCAATGCTGGTCAATGAATTCGAATATTTTGCGAAAATAAATTCATCTCATACACAGTATGTCCCAGACCACCGGCACCAGGCTTTTTTAATCGGGTATCATAGGCCGTATTTGGCCGGATGAAGTCAAAGACGGCAGGGATGGCGAAGAAATCAATTGCAAGAAATCCGAATTCCATGGTCTCGAAGCCCCCCCCCCTCCCCCTCCTTGAGTTCCGTAAACCTATCTCTGTGTGGACAAGGCCTTCCATTCATAAGTAACAAACGTAAAAATTATGAAAGAGCAAACATAAATATGGTTAAATAATTTTAACTTCCATCGCCGCGCCGCGCCGGCCGTACTGTGTTTGGCGCAATGCGTGAAGTATTCATGCAGTCTTGTAGGCGCTATGTGTTTCACGCCGCGCCGACCGGCTGCTGAACGCACAGTGTTTGACGCAATGCGTGAAGAATGCATGCAGTCTTGTAGGCGCTAATATGTGTTACATGCCGACCACCGCACCGAGGGCTTCTCTTTATCATCTCAAGTCCTCATCATCATTGCTCTCTGCACCGCGCCGTTTCAGGCCAAATTGCGTGTTTGGTTTCTCTTTTAACTTGAATAATTAAAGGTGCTGTCTCCTGTATCATCGAAAGACGACAAAGTTAGAAATTACAATACTATCAGAATATTAAAGATATTGTCGCCTTTTCTCGTTTGTAATTTTTTCTTTGAATCCGATTTTTGTTATGTCTGCATTTAAAGAAATTGCAAAATTTGTCGTTCCCCTAAATTTGCCGCCATGGGCTGCGGCCCATGTGGCCACCCCCTAAATCCGGCCCTGTGAATTAGACCATCGCAAAAATGAACTAATGCCGGCGGCTATTCGATTAAGTTACCTTATTCGAAAGAGGATCACAGCCGCTAAACTCAGCATATAATGTGAGCCCTAGGAACACCATTAAGAGTTTAACGAAAGTCAATCCGACTCCAAACCACACCAAAGCTCTGGAAAAATGCAGCAAATAACCGAGCATTAAATACTTTTATTGAATCTTTGAGAAGGTATTTAAATAAATCAACACTCTCTCCTCTATTACCTCTATTACCTTATTTACCTTATTTACACTTTACTAAGTTCTATGGTACTCAAAAATTTGCTATTGGAGTCCAAACTCGCTACTTCCAAAAAAGGGCGTTTCCACAAATTTTCCTATCTGTGTCAACGACTTGGTTCATGATATTGGCTAGCTTTGAGGAGCAAGTAAACACTAGACAGAATCATATGGACTACATTTTGCAATATAGAACTATAAATTCTAGCGCGGTTTAAAAACAACGTATGTGCCATTAGTTTCCCTATGCACATAAGTGTTTTCCAGAAGAGCCAGAATTTATGGTTCCAAATTACAAAATGCAATCCATCTGGCGTAACGTCGGGATTGCAAGGTAGTATAATACAATTGGACTGCATTTTGCAATTTGGAGCTATAAATTCTGGCTCATCTGAAAAAACACTTATGTGCATAGGGAAACTAATGGCACATATGCTGTTTTTAAACCGGGCCGGAAGTTATAGTTCCTAATTGCAAAATGTAGTCCAATTTATACATATTGAATTGGTTGCCACCCAAGAGCCAAACTTGACCACAGCATGGACATTGTCGAAAACGAGATTTGATTTTATGAGAAAAAGTTCCTTCAAATTGCCGGATAGGCAAAAGTGAAGCATGAATAGTATTTAACTCATTGTCAGTGTTCATTCTCTAATAAAGCCTCACAGCTGGTAAAACCTAACCAACCCCTGCTGGTTCGCTTATCTCTTGACGAAGTCCTCGGACACTAATATCAGGTCATTGCTCAATAAAATATTTTAATATTTTTTGCTCGGAGAAATGTGATATGAAAAATATTTCTGTCTCGCTGCATGTGTCCACATTACTTGTAAGGAGGAAAAGATGATGTGATTATAACCGGCCGTTTACCCCGTGAAATGAATAAATAAATTAGAAAATATTTTAATGGAACTTACTCAGCAGCATTTTTTTCCTTCCGTATAGAAATAAGTTTTTGGTATGACCCCGGGTTTGCGCCAAGGTAATACAACCAACTGGCGCTCATTCCAATGATTGTTGTCCAGAAAGTACTCCACGCAAAGGAACTTGGGTTTATGCTTCACAAAATGTAAGCAAAAAATCAATAAAAGAATGAAATGCAAATGATAAGTAGGGAAAAATCATAGAAAATAAATATGGGTAGTAAATTAAAGCCATTTTATGGACACTATAAGATATAGAGTAAAATGGTAACAATAACTTAGAAAACCTAAACAAAATATCAGGTACATAGATTTAATTAATCAGTTTTCCGCAGAATACAGATATTAAATGGTGAAATTCAACTCTCTTGTCAACTGCCATAATACGTTGAAAAAAAAAAGAAAAAAAATCAACTGAGCTCAAAAGGCTGTTCGAGACATACTTTTATTCAATTAACTACCACTGAGGGGCTTGGAGAACAAGGCACATAAATGCAGTTTCTGAAAGAATCAAAATATTAAAGATTTCAAGTAAAACTAGTCTTAATATATGTTCAATGAAAAATTCGCCTCCAAAATCCAATTTTTGACCATGAAAAAGAGTTTTAACTTTCCGTCACTAGGCAACTTGTAATTTGGAAACTTTAAACACGTGTTTCTTGAAATAGCAGAAACTGCACTTATGCGCTTTGTGCTCCAAAACTCTCCATGCTGGCGCAGTTCCAAGTTCTATCATTGAATGCAAGGATGAGACAACCGTTAAAAGTTAGACTAAATGAGAGAACTGGGGTTTTTTTTTACGTTAAAAAATATAAATTGAAAAAATCACTCGAAAATTTCCAGGCGTCCACCACTACTTGCAATCTCAAGCACCTCATTGAAGCCGCCTACGCTATGCCATCCGATGAAAATCGCGAATGCCAAGCCAACCACTATGGACATCATGCTAAGGCACTGGCACCAAACAATGCTCTGAAATCCGCTCTGGAATCACAATTGAGAGGCTTGGAGGACGGGGCGCGTAAGTGCAGTTTTTGTGAAAATTGAGATATTAATGATTTCAAGTACCTAAAACTAGTCTTAATGCATATTCTGTGAAGAATTTGCTCCCAAATTCTAATTTTTAAGCATCGTAAAGATAGTTTGAACTTTCTTTCCGCCATAAGGATCCATGTAATTTCGAAGCCTCAAACACGTATTTCTCGAATGGCAAAAACTACACTTATGCGCCTTGTCCTCCAAGCCCCTTAATTTATCTGCATGATTAGGGTTTGGTGATTTCAACGAGGAGGAAAGAGAAAAAAGAAGTTCTTCACACATTGTGCGTGTACACTGTGCAGGAACTGTCTAGTTAAATCAGTCAAAATCTTGATTGCCTGGTTCATCATTACGATGACCAAAGTGCAGAACCACGTGCCTTCATTGTGGTGTTTCAAAACTTTCGCTTCATTTTTATTTTTTCGAAAAGGAACTAGACAACTTTTTGGCTTGAAATTTATACATAATGTCCGTTGTAAATCTACAGTGGTCACTCATTGTAAATATCCTCACTTCACAATGTTTATTTTCTTGTGGCTTCAATCGCAAGATCGTTCAAATGAATAATATACCTTTAATTCAAGCGCTTGTTTTCTCATTATGTCTCCTTTCTTGCATTAAATTTTATTTCAAACACCTTTTACTTTTTATGTCTTCTATCTTGTCCTTTTTAAAAATGTTATTTTCAATTTTCCCTGTTCATTTTTGAGCAAGCGTGGAAAAATGACGATTACGTTCTAAACTTTACATAACTATCCTTCAACCGTCCCTCCTTCCGGAGGCTGCAAAGGCCCAGTTTCTTGGGGGCATACCCCCTCCCCCCCCCCGTTTGTCTCAAAAATGGAGGAAGAAAAAGCAAGTATAGAAGAAGGAAGGAATGACGCTTATATTTGGTACTTATTTATGACGAAATTGACTCAAATGCATTGTTGATGCTTTACAATTTCGAAAATCTTCGAGGGGAAGCCCCGAACCCCTCCTGGATCCACCTCCATCTTCGCCCCACCCGTTCGAAGTGGCTGAATCCGCTGACGTAGCTTTTATCTAGATTTTAGGAATCACCTCGGAGACCCCGTGAAAAAGTAGGCTAAAAAGTACGGTACTTACAAGTACGAGATTAAAAGTCCACAGCCCATTTAGCAGAATCAGCACCGGTTTCGGCGATACCGCTGCAACTTGCGTACAAAAAGAAACAGGATTCAAAATTACAATCGCCCGCCTGGCAAAGCAGGAAGTATCGCCGGAATTTGAAGGCGCCTCGAGGTCGTGCGTCGTGCTATAGAGGTTCTCCACCCGAGAAACTTTACTATGTCGGTGCAACTTTTTATAATAGCAAATTGCGATTACTGCTTGTCATGTACTTAAAAGACGTAGATGTATTGTGAAAGTGCATATCGACGGTGTAAGTCGGCAATCACATAACACATAATTGCGACGTCCCAGACTTCCTGTCATACTTTATTATTTAAACGGAAAACTACTCAATGGCAATTCTTTAAACCTGTCGTGATTTTTCTTCTCTGTGCAAAGAAAATTCTGCAAAAACTTCAAGGAATGATGTCAATTTGTTCTCATTTAAAAAAAAAAATAACATATAGGTAGGCGGAGATTTTCAGACACTGCTTCAAACGAGTTATGTGATTGCCGACTTACACCGTCAATATAGATGGCTAAAGTTGAAAAATGCGTATCTGGATAATAGCAACGTTTCAAAATATCGGATTATGTTTTACTTTTTTAAAAGGAAACCTTCCAAAATATCTCCTTCAAATTTTCTGTAAATTTATTCGAATGAGCAAAGAAAATTCAAAGTTTTCAAGGATAACTATTGGTTGGTTTTCTTAAAAACGAATACAGAACAAAACAATGGCAGACATTTGTAACATCGCAATGGAAGAACTGCATTTTTCGAAAAACATGAATGTCAAAGACACGAGGACTGTACAAGTGCACATAATGTGGTATGTATAAGATCTCCTATAGTTATTGCCATGGGGCTGAATCGTGCCGCCTTTCAGTGGGCAATTCGACGTGTGCCAAAAATTCGAATTAATTTGAGCGGTGTTAAATTGTTTTGAACTGTGATCCATTGAGTTGATACCTGAACCAGCTGAGAATTGTTTGAATCAATATGGTTTTTCCCAGTGTATTTCATAGGCACGGCTGTAAGCTGAAACCCGAGTATTGTTATCTTTTCGTCATTTGGACTTAATTTTGTAGTTAAGAACTCTATATCTGACTTATCTACATAGGATTACTAATGCCGTATACGATGCTGAATTTTGCGCGTATCGCGCAAAATTCAGCAACGAGGCTCAGCGACCATCGGATGATGTCGGCATAGGCGGCTCTAGACCTTCATGCTTGGGGGTGCCCAGAGGTGCCCCTCGGAGACCGGCTCCGAAGGGGACGGTTGCTCAGGGGAGGCCCAAGTTTCGGCCCTCAAGTTTTATCCCTTCCCTACCCTGCTTTCTCTTTTTCTTTCCGTCCTCTCTACTTAAATACTTATAAATTCAATGTAGGAAATTTTTAGCAAAACTTTCCATCAAAACTACAATCTTACCATAAAAAAAAAAAACAGGAGAATCTTTGTAAAACACGGCTATCAATATTAATTCTGTTTAAAACATTTTCAATTGATTGCTGGGATTTTTACTCAGTGTGAGCGAATACAGAGTCTTTAAAAGCAGTAATTTCACGGCTCCGATAACCGTACTTAATTTTTGCTTGGGGGTGCCCGGCACCCACTGGCACCCCGTAGAACCGCCTATGGATGTCAGATTGGTCTGAACTATTCGAATAGATTTCATACAAATTTGGATGAAAATAATTCGAATTTGCGAAATGTCAGCCGTTGAGCGATGACTGTTGACTTCCATATTCAGCTGCCAAATTCAGTGTAATTCCGGCATAACCTACTTTGACTTTAATTTCTTATGAATGTACGAATATTACAAAAATTATGTAAAAGAGCTTACTTCTGCTAAACCTCGCCACTGGAATGGCGATCACAAACGGAATGTAAAGTACCTGGAAAATTAAATGAAAACAGGTCAAGTTAAAAACATCTTTCAACGAGAATACTTCAAAACCCTGGTAAAAATTGGCAGTAGAATCTGTGTTCCAAAATACCATAGACCTACAGCCGGCTGTAAGATTTCCAATAGCTTTTATAGCCGGCAACAAAATTTCTTATAGCCTTTTATAGCCAATGGCCACTAAGCAACAGCCTGGCGATAAAGTGTATGCTAAACGTTACTAATTACGGATGCTAGGACTTAGTGAGTTTTTGGACTACCGCTCTCTTTTTGGGCCGCAGTATCTTGATTTAATATGCGAGGAAAGCTCCGTACTTTTGAAGGATGTCTGCCATTCCTAATATATTGGAGCGCCTTCAATTTCGTACGATACTGTGCAATACCTCTGGTGTGAAATAGTTGCTTCAAGCGCCGCGGTGGGCGGGCAGCCAGCGCTGAACGCGCATTGGCGCCTGCAAACCTAACAGGGATACTTCACGCATTGCGCAATGCGTGAAGTATCCCTGTTAGGTTTGTAGGCGCCAATGCGCCGCCGCTCCGCTTTATGTTAGGCTCTAATATTTAATCTCACGGAGTCAGCGTTTTTCAACTCATGACTTTGAAATGTTTGCACCCTCTGTATGGATTATTCTCATTTTAATTGATGAAAAAAATATGTAGTAAAGGAAAATATAATGTGCGTTTTGTAAATATTAAGGTGATCCCGTAAAAATTTAAGGATTTACAAAGCACAAGAATTTCTACACAATTTCTTATAGCCTTTTATAGCCGATGGCGAAAAAGCAACAGCCAGGCGATAAAGTGTAAAGCCCGGCGATAGGAACTATAGCCCGGCTGTATAATTTTTTATCGCTTCGCGTAGCCCGGCCGTATGATTTTTCCCACTTTCTACGGCCAGCTATATGATTTTCTATCGCCCTCTTCAGTCGGCTATAAGAGCTCCTATGGTATTTTGAAATGTAGCTCCTATTGCCAATTTTTACCAGGGAAACTTAAATATTTAATGTTTATCGATTGGTTCATACATAATCGATATTTATAATTTTCATGCAATTATTTAATACTATTCAACCTCGAAAAATCTGAGGTAAAATTATGTTTGCCATCTTCTTGAACTTATTCTCAATAATGTTTATGCTCGGGTCGCTCTGTCAATAACTTTGTAACTCTTCGAAATTGTTATGCGTTCACTGTTTTCCTACTGTTGGACGCTATTGCTGTACCAAGCCACGTCAAGCAAAACTAATTTTTTGACACAAAGAAAAAATTTTAAAATAATTAAAAACTTGAACGTAAAACAATTTAGTACCTACGGTTTTTAAAACAAAAGCAGCAGCGATGATAGCTCGGGTATTTTTACTGAAACGAATTTGGAGAAACTGGAAGTGGAAAAACAAACAAAAACAGAGGAAAAAATAGTTATTGGCAGCTTACTTAAGAGTCCAATTTGTACTTCAAACTAAAAATAAGGCTTTTGAACCTCCCCCCTCACACACCTGCACTTTAGGTAGGCTCCTTTCTCTCTCAAAAATTCATGCCGCGTTGTCCCCGACAACCCCTCCCTCAAAAGTAGAAAAAGCACTCCTTCTCAAGAGCAGCTCTCGCTCTATACCAAATGCGACTACTCGCTGCAGTTTTCTTGTGTAGCCAGACTGAGTGTTGTATTTAAAAAAACCCATATGGATGGGACCAATTTGTCGCAAAGACTTTAGCAGCAAAACAAGCAGAGAGATAGAAAAAAAAAACAAACGAGAGAAAAAGTATCTACAAATGTGGTGCCTCGGGCATCCTACGAGCACATGTATTACTTTTCAGTGGAAAATTATGAAATGCATTGATTGAAATCTACGACATAATTTAATCTTGCAGCATGAACCCGCTGCAAACGAATCGAAAAGCTGCCGAAAAACGGAAAAAATTGTATTAAGCGGGATGTCACGCACTGCTATCCCCCCCCCCCCCCCCCCNGAAACTAATATCTCGTAATTTTCAGTTGTTATGTAAACCACAAAATCTGTCCTCCCCCTCTAGATTGTGGCATGATTTATGAACGGCTTCAACCCTCAATCTATATTAGTGGTCATGGAGCAAAGGAAATGATTTTTCTCTCCGTAAAAATTACCCTATTCGCTTATTTTTCAAGTATAAATCAGACACCTAGAAACCCTCTTCCTGATTGAGCACGCCTCATTAGTACAGGACATTCTATTTTTGAAAAGTAATTAAACCCTTAAGGTTTAAGTACTGATCAATTAAATGATCCTAGACAACTAGAGTAAAGACAGCATTTCAGATTAATTTTTCGTCTGGATTTTTAGTCCTCATTTAAAAATCTCCCCCATCTTGCTGAGCGAAAAGACCCAGTTTTTCCGTTCATTAATTCAAACTTTCAAGTAATGAAGTCTACGTTTCTTCGTGTATGTTAGGACAGACGGACAAAAAAACACTAAAAATGGACGTGCGCTTTTACCTCAAATAATGAATTATATTGCTGATTGTGTATCTGCGGGAGGATGAAACGAATGACGACGATTATTGCAATGTATAGAGAGATCAAGGCACCAAGCAGTTGCGTCGTCCCATGGAGATATACCTCCATCGGAATTTCCAATATTTGCAGACTCGAAACGGCGCTGTCCATTTTTAAAAAGAAGGAATACTTTGTAGTAAATAATAAAAAAGGCGTTCGCTATTTTATTGCCCCATAAATAATAAAATAAAAAGTAAAAATAGGATATAAGTGAGACGGACTGTGAAGGTATCATACCTCTCTTTGACTATACGTGAGAGCTTGTGTTACCTTACCGTACACTAAAAATTGGAGGCAAACTAACATGGTGTTAAAGTAACCTCTTCTAGTTTGGTAAAATTGTTAAAAGCTTCTGTTTGGATGCGTTCTGACTACACGGCAGCTCGTGTTGCTTACACCGTAATTGAAGGCAAACTGATATGGCGTGAAAGTGACCTCTCCCTGTTCGGTAAAAACTAAAAATCGCTTATTTGTGTTTTCTCTGCGTAAGAATATGCATTTTCCCAATGATATTACTATTCTGCTTCTCTCCTATTTCTTCGTCCCTTTTTTCTTAAATTCTGAATTTTACAAAAAGACGTGTAACTACTAAAATCAAATTCATAATTGGTAGCGTTTAAGTCGATGTAGCGTAACTAGTGTGGACTACTACAGCCAGTGGCAATTTTAAAAGTTGGCATTACTATTTGTCCTTTATTTAAATGTGCGTTATACAGTCGATCCTTGGTGATGGCCTCGCCGTGAGGCAGAGCTCGCCTCACCTAAAAACGATATTTTTGATGGATGTAAATGGAGGAAAATCAGTGATGCCAACTTGCAAAATCGCCTCTGGCCATAGCTTTGTCTACTTCAGTCCACACCTACCGCACCAAAATCTAATAAAAATAATTTCATCCTTTGCTTGGAGGTCTTATTGATCGTAAAGGTGATAAATAGCACTGGGTCCACATTATTTTGCAGGGAAGACCAAAAAGTTCAAAATTTTCAAATAGAGTCAAAAGGTTTTGAGTTCTAAAGAGAATCAGCACAAGACTGGGGGGGGGGAGGGTTATGTGTTTAGCCCTGAGGCAGTTAGCCTTAGGTGCACTGGAATATTAAGCTGGAATCACGCCGAGAGATTTATAACATTTTAGGCCTATTTAGACCTCATCAGTAGTTTTAAAGTAGTGCTGAGCCCACACTTTTTTGCAGGGAAAGCAAAGCCAGAAATTTCAATTAGAGTCAACAATTTTTGAGATCTAACGAGTGGACGCAGCACAATTTTACCACATTGTTACATACAGCTCGAACCACATTTTTTTGGCGTATTTTCCTTAGTTGTAAATCGAGTTAATTTTGGTAGGAACTATTTTCGAAATGATCCAACCTTGCGATGAAAGAAACTGCAATAGGTGAAGTTGACATCTTCTTCCCACCAAATAAATATTGATTCACTGTCTGCTGTTCCTTGGTGCGTCCAATCCAGGAGAGCACCGTTGCCATTGTCGCCATAATTAATATAAAAAATGCTGTGCCGCTCAACCAAGACAGAGAGCTTGTGTCTGGAATGAAAATTAGACAATTATTTAGAACCCAGGGGGCTAATTTGCGAATTTCTAAAATAAATATGATCATTCTTCATACAGTTTTTTTCGTTATAAATGTTGGGTTTTTCTAATGATGAGTGTTCCTACATATATTTAAGAACGGAAAAAAAATTGCAGATTTTGCCTCAGTATTGAATTTTTTTTTTTTTTTTTTTTTTTTGTTTTTTTTTTGCGCCCATTGGATTAGGTAATTTTTCCCTCGCAAAGACTCTCATAAATATACCGAAGACGATCAGTTGTCTTCTCTGACCCTTTTTTATGCGTTTTCTTTCTCATTGCAGCTTAATCATGCCGGATACTTAATACCCCGGGCATTGCACACATCTCCCTGAGGACATGAAAAACCAGACCGCCTTAATTGTCATGTATATGCAACCCAAACAGCCGTTGAGTACGAATAGTTGTATCAAGGCGTTATCATTGGGTATCCAGCGATAGCCGAGGTATAAACGGAACTTGTGCTTGAACTTGTGCCGACTTGTGCTGCATCTCATTCCCGTTCATGAATGAAACTACTTCATCCCATTTATAATACTGCAGAAGACATTTTTTAAGGAGAACCAAACACTATTGTATAGGTACTAAATTATGCCTCCGGCTGACACTGCGATCAACGTGAAACGCAATAATCATAATTTGCCACCCCTTTATTTTGAAAGTGCCTCTATCCCCCTTGTTAATTTGTTTTCTTTTTTTAATATTTTTTATGCTCTTTTAAAAAGGAAAGCAATCCCCTTAGCCCTCCTCCCCCCCCCCCTTTGATAAGCCGAAAATTTGTTGATTTCGCAATAGGGTGCCTCCTGGACGCAGGAGGCATGCGTGCGTAATGCGAGTATATCTCCGATTGCGATGTCACTAATCTCCACGCGTGTTTCACTTTTAATTTTAATAAGAAATGTAATTAACAGTTTCTCTTGAACTTTCCCCTAAATTTATCTCAGTCGTTGAGTTACTTACACTCACAAGAAATTTTAAGGAGCTATTTTAGTTTTTTTCTGGTTGAAAAAAATAAACACAAAGATTTTGATATTTGAGCCATCCATTTTTATATTCTCGGTCGATTTTGGCTAGCATTCAATCGAAAAAAAAAGTTAACATTTAGTGAGCGAAATGACCCAAGCACTTACCCGGAGGATCCATCATGGATATCCGTTCAAATTTGACTATACCTGGCACCTGTAAGTTTTCTATATTCAGATGAAGTTGTTCATGTAAAAACACTGTTAGCACTCAAGGTCTTTCACAAAGTGATGAGCTGTAAAAAAAAAAAAAAAAGATGAAACCGTTAAATTTTGTATGACACGAGTTACTGTAATGAAATGGTGCCGGACATTGTATGGGCTATCAGCGCGGAATCAACTCAAAGTGGGGGAAGTGTAAACTGCAGTAAAAATATAAGTTTGTAGGTATACTCATTTATTGTTCGAACGAACGATCTAGAACTAGATTATAGATTTGATAATGTCGTGTGATTAGTTTTTTCCCCTTACTCTATTCAATTGCACCTACTTCATCCTTCATTACCTACTAAAATATCATTAGTTGATTGATAAAAAGCTAATTATCCTTATCCCCAGTAAAACAAAATTAGTTCTTGAAAGTCTTCGTCACCTCTATTAAAACCCTCGTGAAATTATACTAGTCACTTACTTCCTTTATTTACTTTGCTTCTTTCCCTCTTAAAGGGGTAGAAAGGCTGTGAAAAATACATACATTTTATGGAGCTTGCTAACGCAGTTTTTGATGATAGGTATGCCGATTCGTGGCCCTCAGATTTTTACGTTTTTGTAGTTTATTGCATTTTCTCGTCCGACAGTGTTTCTCAATAGATATTAACACTCAGATCAGTAGTTGTCATTCTTAGGTGGAGGGAGAATGGAGGGCGCCTCAGAAATTGTTTTACTTAAACACTTGAAAAATATAAAGAAGAGTGGAGGGGGGAGGGGGTGTCTCACATCTACTGCATCCTTAAAGTTAAAATCAAATTCCTAGAGCCCATGTTACATACATACCCAAAGAAAAATTGAATGCGCGATGGCGTAAGGCGTGAACTCGCGATGTTCCGCTCTATGTTGCTAGTGAGGTGTCGCTTGGATTCGGGAGAGAAGTTAACAAGTAAAACCGTCTACGTCTTTTCTAACTTCAGCTGTGTTGCTCATGTAGATCTCGAAGCACCGCTACAACAAATAAGACAAACGAAACCAACACAATATGGAAATATAGCGAGGGAAAGGCAGCATGTTGCAGACGGCGCAGAGATACAACTATTCATGCTTGATGGATGTCCGTGTTGAGTCTGAAAAATTGAAGGCGCCCTAGCGCAAGGCGTGAACTCGAAATGCTCCGCTCGCGCTCCAAGACTTGTCGCTCAGATTCGGGAGAAGAGTTTTACAAAAAAAACGAGGCCTAATCGAGTCACTCTTATTATCTTCGGCTATTGTTGACCTTGACACTCGATTTTTCTTTATTTTTTTAATTCGATGTCTGATTATTTTATAAGTTGTATTTGTTGGGGCTCGTATTTACCGGCCCCCAAGAGGTATATGAACCAATTTGGCCCGGCTTGGGATTTATGGGGGTATTTATCAAAAGAATTCTCTGACACTAGATTTTTTCCTTTTTTTTAAATTGGATGTCTGGTACTTTTTGTGAAACTCGTGGGCGCCAGCCCCTTACAACCCACAGGGCACGTAGTTTTAGCAAGCCTCGAATCAACTTGACCCGGCTAGCTTGAGCATCTAAGAGCTCACCAAGTGAAATGCCAGGGTTAATTAATTTGCGTGAATGACATTTAGCGACGAAAAAGAACAGCGAGTACATCGATAGATACGTCCTCGATTATGTTGAGATTCCCACGTTATCAGGCAGAAGCTTTCCGGTAATTTCCGGTTCCGGCTACGCTTTCATTTCCGGTTCGATAAATTCCATTTATTCCTACCATTCTGATGTATCCTCCTGTAAACGTGGAACGAGTTATTGAATCGAATGAAAGCCAATAGAACGCTTTGGTTCCTTATCACAAGCGTTCCTTCGTTCCTTGTGTTTTGATGGCTTCTCCTCTGCCTGTTTTCGGCTCGCTATCTACTTGAACTTTGTAATTTAATTCGTGTGAATGTATTCTATTTCATATAAAGTTTGTTTTAAATGAAGTATAAGTCTTCTACCATCATTGCAACACTCTCTAAGTGGTCAGTTTGTCGTGATTGTCAATAGTCCCATTACTTCCTGATGGGGAGGTACGACAGGAGGAGGTATGTTTCAGTTTTATCTTTTCCAGACACTACATTTCAACCATTACTTACTTACTTGGCAAATGAAGCACTCTTGTTTCCTTAATTTCCAAGGAGTTATCTTTACACTCATCTACCTTGCTGCTTGTCAAGGAAACTCTGGAATGTACCGAAGTTGAAGGAAGGTTTCATAACCTATTGATGAGGCATCTACATATTTGAACTGTATTAATTTTGGTGAAAGTATGCCACCCACACTGTAATTCATTGCCATAAACTTTCCCTGGCCAACTGCAGTTTGGTTGAAATGTTTTCAAAACATTGTCACTATCAAATAGGATCTTTTCCCAACGTGAGATCCTTGCTTCATCAATCACGTAAATGGTACGCTGAATTGTTACTGTGCTCACAACTTTTAGAGATAAAGCACAACTGTGCTGTTGTAATGTAGCAAAGTATGATTACCACACTTATCTCATGGAGCCTTGATTCTTTTTCAGTCGATCACGGGACCGTGACAGTAGGCGAGACCGAAGTCGAAGCAGAGATCGAGACAGAGGCAGAGGTTTTGGTGGTGGCAGAGGAGGTAGAGGTGGACGAGGTGGCGGAGGAGGCTTCAATGACTCAGGACTGCGCAAACCTCGCTGGGATTTGACTCGACTGGAGCCATTGAAGAAAGATTTTTATATACCATCAGCCTCTGTTACAGAAAGGTATTGTGAATGTTCCTACTTAACTTCCCTATTTGTCGAAGTAAAGTGGATGCATTGTATGTTGAGACTAATGTCAATTTCTGATTACCTCCAAATCAGCACCACTCAGCAGGTTAATACATTCAGTCAGATGGCACTACTGATGAGTGGTGACCTAAAAATTACTGCAATGCGTCCGCTCATGCATTGCAGGACATAATTGTGCAATCTACTTCTGTGTACCCTCTTTTTAAATCCAGAGAAAATCAACTTTGAAGTGTTTTACAGTGCGCTGAACTCTTTTATGGCTGCCATGCAGTCAGATATTTAATATTAGCATGTAATCATCATTACTTAAAATCCTTAGTAGTTACTCATTGTAGCATTCCTTCGTCATTGAAAATAAAGTAAAAAATGTTCTCATTTTAGGTAGTTTCAAAGAGTGGTCAGGCTGCACCAAAATATAGTAGCTCTACAAGACTACCATTCATTTTGTAATCTTTTGACTGCCATGCAAGAGCTGAAAGCATGAATTTTGATCATGTTGATGGAGTTCAGAAATGAAAGAGGTTTTTCCTCTCAAATCCCACCATAAGAGGGCAAGTGCCAAATGAGTGTCGCGAAAAATTCTTGCACTCTTAGTGCTATTATTATTTGGTCAGATATTGCGCTACCTGTTATGCTGATGCAGCTTTATTTCAATGATTACCCGAAATACGCGCTAGACCTGGGACTTCAAACTGTTTGTAGATTACCCGAAATATAAGATTCAAAAACTTTCAATTACTATATATAACTGTTCGACTGTCATCTAAATCTCAAGTTTATGTAAGTTCAGTTTGTTAATTTTCTAAGTATCTCTCAAAATATTATAAATTGTGATAATGTAATTGATGCTCAAGAAAATTTTGTTACACAGTTTGAAAACAATTGTGTCACTTCAAGAAGTCAATTTTTGATCCTGGGCAAATGTTACGAAACTTCTCTAAATTTGCCAACAAAGATACTCTCATGCATGACTCTGTATCACGTCTGGAATTCTAAATTGACCTCTTTTTTCCCCTTTTTTCAGGAGTAAAGAAGTCATCGATAAATGGAGAGAAGAAAAGGAAATAACTTTAAAAGGCAGAAATATTCCTAATCCTATTTTCACTTTTGAAGAAGGTGGTTTCCCTGACTACATAATGAAAGAAATTGAGTAAGTATTCATTTTAAATTGAATAGTTTCATTCATTCATTTTGATTGCTCTCAATTGAAGGAGTAACAAACTCATTTTGTTCTTCCGTCCTTACTATTCGAACATGATAGGACATCTGTTTGTTCTTAGGATATACCTACAATGATATTTCTATACCTGACTGTGCTTAAAATATCATGCAAGTCATTTTGAGATCGAAATATGGAAAGCATCATTCGCAGAGCCGTATATTTGTCTACCTTACCTTTACGTAGGGTCATATTCATAGTCATTCATTGTCATAGGACTTAAGGTCTCCTTAAGTCATAAGAAATGCACCGGTTGAGGAAACCTCAAAATTTAAGGAATGACCATGAATATTGATTATTACCCTGAGGCTCAGTTTGACTGAAAGAAAGTTGTGACTGCTGAGAAAAGCGACCGCTAGAAAAATGTATGTAAAGTTCCCCCCATTTCTAATGTAGCAGGCAATTACCTGCAAATTTCCATCTAATCAGAGAATTCTTTTTTTTCTTCTCCCTCTTGCTAACCAACAAATAAATGATAGACTATTACTTTTAATCAGCCTGAAAAACAAAATATTGAGGGAAATCGTACCATGATGGTACATTGATGGAATACTAAAAAAAGCATTATATATGCAGCTTACATTAATCAAACTTGCAACTGACTTTAAGCTACGAAATGTTGGCCCTGATTCACAATGCACCCTAGCTATGTTAGTTAGAAGTATTCCTTTTTTGTACTCTGTTTAATTTTTGATTGATGGTTTATTAATTACTAATTTTTCGTTTGTTTGTTCAGGCGAGCTGGATTTAAAGAACCCACGGCTATTCAAGCTCAGGGTTGGCCGATAGCTTTAAGTGGTCAAGATATGGTTGGAATTGCGTCAACAGGATCTGGCAAAACTTTCTCGGTATGTATCGGCATTACACTTATCGTACATTGTGTATACTGAAAATATTTTCACTGATGCATGTGCAAGCTTGCAAATATTGCTAGAGAAGTGTAAGTTGTACGAGCTAAAAGATCATTTCATCAGCTATTTACTGCCACCTTGTTGAGGTCATTTCATCAAAAATTTGCTGAGTTACAGCTTTATAAATTTTGAGATCTTTAACAGAAAAAAAGATCAACAACTGAACATTCTCAAGTAGATTAGCACCCTATTTAATTAATTTTACCAAGAAGGTCTGGAATTTTAAGGCTGATTCAATAAATGTGATAGCTAAAAACTTCCAAAATCCCGTATCTAATCATTTCTGAATTTTGTTTCAACAGTGGTATCTAGAATAACAAACAATTGTCTATTAAAGTGACAAATTTAATTCTGACTCATGAGTTTTTTCTTCTCTTTGTAGTATGTTTTACCTGCGATCATTCATGCCAAAAATCAACCAAAAATTCACCGAGGCGATGGACCTATCGGACTGATTTTGGCCCCAACCAGAGAGTTAGCTCAACAGATACAGCAAGTCGCCACTGATTTTGGTGAACCTGCTGATGTCATCAATTGCTGTGTATATGGTGGTGCTCCCAAAAGCCAACAGGTATTATCTAATTAAAAATTCTAGCTTGAAAATCAGATATTCAAAATAAAAATTTGCAGTATATTACAGACTTATATTGATAAAACTTATATTAATCAACTAAAGAAGGACATTTGAAAATATGGGGCAAGGGCTAATTAAAACTGCACCTTAAAGCGTCAATTTTACATTTTTCTAATTTGCTAACGGCAATACGTGCGAGACTTTACCTGTTTGAAGTCTACTCCACCTGCTGCATCTTTCAGAGCCACTGACCCTTTTTTGGCTTACTGATATTTTTATGTGTGGATTTTCAGTAATTTTACTTTTCATTTCTTGCTTGATAAAAGTTTTATAAAATTGGTCAAAAAGCATATCACGCTCTACCGAAAAGAGAGCCTCAGAGCTATGTGTCTTACAAACAAGAAAGATAGGAGGTATCCCTGTGTCCCAAATATACTTTAATGCAGAAATTCAGGAAATTTGAATGAGTATGTGGTTCACTCATGCAAAATTGCCACTCCTTTTTACATTTAATATTTTATGTAATTCTACAGAAGAGGGGTAAAGTATGACTGATCAAGCAAAAATCACATGACAATGAAAGTATGTATATTTATATAGAAAAAATACTTTCAACAATCTTAAAAAGAAATTGGACATTATTTTACATATAATATTGCCTTGAAAAATATCTTTGAAGTGCATGAGATGCTCCAAATCTTCACATTTCTTTTGTGAATTTAACACTTTTCTTTTCTTTTTCTTGTGCGCAAACATAGGCAAGGGAACTAGATCACGGTGTTGAACTTGTCATAGCCACTCCTGGTAGATTATTGGACTTCTTAAAATCTGGTCGAGTAAACCTCAAAAGGTGTACATACTTAGTTCTTGATGAAGCTGATAGAATGTTGGACATGGGTTTTGAACCCCAAATTCGGAAAATATTTGAACAAATTCGTGTAAGTACCTATCAAAAGATGCTCGCATGACTATTTGTTCTACCTCCTCTTATGCAGTATGTGAGTAAAAGTGTTAAAAAAAAAATTGATTACCCTTGTCACACTACCAAAACCACTTTATTATCTAGCCTTTTGATTTAATTGGGCTATAATCAGTAACTTCGGATACCTCTGAATCGTGGTAATTCTCATCTAATGATGCTGGAAACTCGGACATTGAACTCTCAAAATTTTTTTTGTCAGAGAACAATAAAGAACAGCTTTAGAAATCCTTTATTTTGCTTTTTTACGTCTGGCATAAGCAAAATTAAAGCAAAATCACTAAGAAAATTAGATGAAGTATCGGTTTACGATGAAACCAAATTATTGTATGAGAGAAAAACTTACATACAGAGATGTGTTGGGTTCATAATGCGTTTAATATATGTGTTGATGAGTACCACCTTTTGTCAAAAAATGACTGAAGTAACAAAAATATTAGGGCCGAGTCTCTTGACGAGTCTACTGATATATTAGTATTTGTCCCAGAGCGCCTTTATAGAGCTCTTAAATTTAAAGAACTGGACCAATGGGCATTGCAAGATTGTTGATAAAAAAAAAAAAATATCAGAATTTGTCACTTTAGTTAAGAAATTTTTTCCCTACAAGTCTGTAGGTGCCATGCCAACAAAAATGTCAGATTTGTATAATAACCATGCATATTGTCCACACTGCCCACAAAACTTTTTTTTCCCTTTAATTAAGAATTTCCCACCAACTCTTTGTTTGATTTCTCTTTATTTATTTGGGACAAGTCCTCAAAAATCTGAATCGTCAGCACCCTTTCAATTTTAATTTTTTTTCACTTTGTCCATTTCAGCCTGATAGACAAGTTTTGATGTGGTCTGCAACATGGCCCAAAGAAGTAAAAGCTTTAGCTGAAGAATTTTTGAGGGATTACATTCAAATTAATGTTGGTTCTCTACAACTAGCCGCTAATCACAATATACTGCAAATTGTCGACGTATGTCAAGAATATGAAAAAGAAGAAAAGTGAGTATTTGCCTTTTCAGTTTGTGTTTTCCCTAAAAAAATCATGAAATAATGTTCAAAATTGTTGCAATTTCTCTCTCCCCAAGAAAACTCAATCATTAATGTTTAATTTTTTTTTTCTTTAATCATAAATTTCAAGAAAATACATTAAAATCAATGACTGATACTTGGAAATATTTTCAAGAAAATAATGTGATATTCTTACTGATCCAGAAGCCTTTTATCTTTGCATTTATGGGTTTATACCACACGTTAAAGAGGTTCTACAATCTGTTTTGACTGTTTTACCTCCAATTACTGTAGCACCTTTTTTTTAATTGATTAATGATTAATGATATTTCTGTTAACCTTGCTTTGTAACTTTGAAAAAAGATAGAAGGATACATATTTTAGTATCATGTTGGTTTTGGATTCACCCACTGATTATATCCTCTTTTTTGTTCTAGATTGTGTGCCCTTCTGAAGGAAATCATGGCTGAAGAAGAAAACAAAACAATTATTTTCATTGAAACAAAAAGAAGAGTAGATGAGGTCACAAAAAAAATTAAAAGAGAAGGGTACGAACTTTCTTTTAATCTAATTTTTAAAAATGTACTGCTTGCAGTTTCAATCCTTTTCCTCCTATAGAGAGAACATTGCAGAATATCATGGAATTGCCATTGATTTTAGTTACTTCAGTCAGTTTTTCGGCTCATCGAGGGTAATCAGACTCTCTGTACTGCATCCACGTAAATTCAAGGGATGGGTAGTTTGAGGTTGAAGTCAAAGTTTGAGTAAGATTGCATGATGTTTTAAGGAGTCCATAGGATTTTTTTGGATGTCAGACTGGTCGGGAAATGGAGGTAGGAAGTAATCAATTTTAGAATCTGAAAATGATCTCTTAAGCCTAGAAGCTCTTATTTCACTTAAAAACAAGTAGCTTACTGATGTTTTGTGGAACTCCTACCACTCAAGATATTAAAAGCTATTACTTCAATTCCGCACGCATTTAAAGATCATCACTAATGCATTCCTGTGCCAAGGAAAAATGCTGTATGAATAATCAAATATCACCAGATTCGTTCTTATGATATATTTATCTTCAGGACAAGTTATAGATGTTTTTTCTCCAAAATTTCAGAAACGCTTCATTAATTTCTGAGTTAAATTCTCCGAAAAATTCTTAAAAAAACATGAGCCTTTCAGAATAATTCCAATTTATCAGAAGAAATTTGGCAACTTCTCAATGTTCATATGGCACTTTTCCTTTGTATGGTGATGCGTCCCCCTGACTGTCTTGGTTGAATGATTCTTAAATATTTTGATTAGCCGCACAACTATTCTTGTCCCAGGACTTTTGAGTCTCAAACTTTATGGCGCGTTTACTCAATAAACTTAGTGTTTTACTCTATTGTAATCTTCAATTAAGTATTATGATTTTTTTTTTTTTTTACTCAATCCTGAGTATGGAAAATGATTGGCAACTAAATTAAACCTTGAAAATATCACTAACCATTCAAAAAACATTAAAAGCTCTTTGACCTACTGAGTAACTTAGTTACTGGGATAATCAGGCTGAACATCCTAAAAAAATAAAAAAAGCTCTCTTACCCCTGAAAAGACGATTGTCCGATCTAAATTTCTGTATCATTTGTGACTGAATATTATCTCTTATTTTAGGTGGTCTGCCTCTTGTATTCATGGTGATAAAAATCAAGTTGAAAGAGGCTATGTTCTTCAAGGTATGTGCTGTATCAAGTTTTACTAATAAACATATTTTCACTTACATATATTTTCAACATTAAGATTTCTCAGAATTTCAACTAATGCAGATTTTAGTTCGTGGACGTAGAGTGAAAAATTTTCAACTAGACCAAAAATTTCAAACGGTAGACAAAGAGAAAATTAAACTGTAGATAATGAAAGTCAGAACTGATTCATTACACGTACATGAGAAACATAAGCTAAGATTATGTAGAATATCAAAATTACAACAACCAAGACAAATTCTATCAGGTACCAACAAATACTATACCATAAATGTAAATTTTGTACTGATCAGGGTTTTTTCCCCATTTAGAGTCCTCGCCAACTAGGTTCAAGCACTTTTAGACCTCAATGGAAGATCCACCATCTTGATTTTTGCATTTACTTTCCATGAAAAAATAAGGTCTGACAATCTTCTGTCGAAGTCTGAAAGTGCTAAACTTATTTTACATAGACTTTACCAACTTTTATAAGTAAGTGACAATTGGATGTTGAAAATTGGAAGATAAAGGTTTTACCTTTTCCTAACTCAACGTTCCCTTGGGGNNNNGGGGGGGGGGGGGGTTGTTTATTTTAATTTAAAGACATGAGTTAAAGTCATCAAAAGACTATGTTTGCATTTCAAAGAATCACTATTGATTTCGAGTAAATCAACAAAATAAAGAATGACCCAACATCTATCATTTAAAAAATAAAAACAACAATCGAACAAAAGTTCCCTCTTTTTGTGATTGTGTAATGTTTGTGAAATAATTTGCAGGTCAGTTTAATTGAGTCATTTTGTTTAATCTATTACAGATTTTCGTAATGGGAAGTCTCCAATTTTGGTAGCAACTGATGTTGCCGCCCGTGGTCTCGGTGAGTTTCAGTTAATATATATAATATATTTCGTTACTTTACTCTCAATTTTTTGGGAAAGCTCTCTCTGCCTTGTGGGAAGAGGCTCATTTGAGGAGTAATTTTCAAATCACAATAAGGACCGAGTTCATGAAAATATATCATTCAATCTAACCAATATTGATGATTGAGATGTTTGAGTTGATTCGGTTTTATCATCTTACTAAAAAAAATTTTTTTTATTTTCATCACTAATATCAATAATTATGAATATTTTTTCATCTCATAAAGATGGTATCAGCTCCAAGTGTTACGAAAGAGAAAAACTTCCAAGAGAAATATTTTGCAGTTTCCTTTGCATGACTCATCAATAATCGAGGAGCCATCTCTGTTATATCACCACAATCCAGCTAGCGCTGTTAATGTTAAATGTTTGCAAATTCATATTAACATTACAACCTAACCTGAAACTGCCATAGAAATTTCCAAAAAGCGTAGATATGAATCAGTTAGATTCATCATTTCTTCAAAAGTTGATCTAAAAATTAATTTTATGCAAATAGCTGTCTGAATACCAGTAATAGCATAGTTCCCAATGTTTTTTCGTCCACGCCTCTATTTCAAAATGAAGTATTATAAAATGGACGTTTTTAAGTCTCGCAAAGTGAAGAAACTTTGCTCCGTAAATAATTTTTAAATGCATAATTTTTATTTTAAAAACAGCTATTTTGCGCATTCTAGTCTTATTTAATATGTCTAATTTGAGCGTCTCTTACATGACCTAACTTCGATTCGTCCTCAAACCTCCATCCGAAGTACCCAAAAAGTGGAAGTTGAATGCAGCAAGGTCAGCTAAATATATTTGGCAAGTTCGTCAACTTGAATGAAATCTGCATTTCAAATACAGCTCCTTCAGTTCAACTTCAGTGAACAAAACAACATTGTTTAAATTCTAATTTTCTTTGAAAGAGATTTTTCAATTTATGGTATACCCCAAATAAATCAAAATGTATTAAAAAGACAGTGAACACAAACCAGTAGTGCATGTATATTTTGTAAAGCTCTCGCATCATTTAAGTGGCTCCATTAACATGTGTCACCAACACTTCAGTTTGAGTTGCATCTCCTTCCTTTGTCCTAGACTGAATGCTTTTTTCAAGTTAATTGATCCTACATTAACCAGTTGAAATGCAACTAAGTGATACTTGCCTGCATCCTTCTCCTTCAAAGTACTATAGAATGGATTAATCCCAGTTGGGTCAAGTAAACACGCAATTCTTGTAGGTTGTCTTTCTTCGTTTTCAAATGCAACATTATTTTGTTGAAAAATTGCCAACAGGCTGAAACAGATTTTTTGTTGCTTGCAGAGGCACATATAGTTAGGTGATAATGCCACCAGAGTGTGCTGGCGTGCATTGTCGCTCTGAGTGTGCCTCTTTCGCCGCGGTCGGTTGGGTAGTTTGCAGCATAGCTACGGCAAAGGCGCTGCCGTCCATGCTTGCCCGCCCACCGGCTAACTTTCACCTGTTCGTTGTTGCATTATTCCACGTCTGTTGAGGGGTTGTCTCTTTACGACCCTCGACAATGGTGTACAATGGTGTCGACTGATACCTGTTGTTTCTTACATCATTCTGTATGTATTTTATATTACAAGGGTGCCTTATATTATTTATTTATTAAGTTTATCATCTCATATCCTCTCAGCAATGCTCATTCTATATTTTCTTAATTCATTTATCCTTCTCTGCCTTTTTATCATAATATTTCTTTCATTTCTGCCATCTTACCACACAGCAGCTGATTACATAACCCAAAGACTCAATTATGTCAAAGCATTTATTAATTCCAGAATAGACCAAGAAATTGTACAAAGAGTTTTTTCCTTTATGGAAAGTACATAATAAGTTTTATAACAGGTCTTGAAGATGTTCATGGCCGGACACAGTCAACTAATCGTGTTCTATCAGGTTGACTAACTAGTCTCAGTTCAGATAAGACAAAATCATCGAAGCCTAAAGTGTGGTCAACTTTTGGCTGGACTCAAGGTAGCTTGAAGTTTGTTAGCCAATTCACTGAGAGTTCAATCATAGAGACAGGGTCAAAATAATATAGAGAAATACATGTGTGCTGATTTATCACTTCTACCAAAAAAAAAAAAACCACTTCTATGTCGAAAAGTTATGATCACAGGAACAGGTCAAAACTTCCCTCATTCTTTCGTGATTTGAACTATACAGTAGAATTCAACAATTCAAGCTTACCCAATTGTTCCTTTCGTTTCGTCTCATGAAGTTGTAAACCAGTAAAGAATATAAAACAAATCTTGAACGGTCTGTCCTAAGTGTGCTAAAAAGAAATGAATGAATTAACATCTCTAGATTTAAAAGAAAATTTTATCTTTCACTAGCGCAGTACTTTCAGTCATCATCTTTGGCTCATCTGAATTTCATCCATACCCTAAATAGAAAAAATTGGCCAAATTTATAGGCATCACTCTAAAATGAAATTTTTTTTACCATTATGCATCACAACTTGACATCACACAGTCAGATTTTCTAAGTGTCAATTAGTAGTCAAATAATTTGCCTGGAGAAAACTACTTGGAAACTTTTACCTTATTTTTTTTTATCACTTTTCCTTTTTTGATTTCTTTTCTCTCATTTTGTTGGAGTGCAGAATTTTTCTTCTCCAACCAAGTTTCATGAAAATAAATCACACATCCAAGGTGTAACGAAATTTTGTGGTGTTCATGAATACGTCCACAATAAAGAATATTTAAAGCTTCCATTAATTAATCAAAAAATGAATTTTACGATATATGTACTACATTGAGCCAGAGTAACTACTTTTTGTGGTTCTTAAAACAATATAGCTGTCTAACTTTTTACGATTTTATCATGTAGATGGATTATGTGGATTACATTGAGAAACTGAAATTATTTATACATGAGTGAAGTTCTACATATGTGACTGCCAAGAAGTGAGGCCTTCTGAATGTTCCCAATTGCTTTTGCTTCATAGGCAGTGTTATTATCTTGCTCAAATTTGTGGAGAATTAAAATTTTGCACTTCCTGAACATGCTGTATGAGGATCATGAATTTATCATCCTGTATTTGATTTTTTGTTTAAATTCATTCGTGATTTACTTTTGATTTGACTTCCTCATCATCTTTCACTCTCCCTCTTTTTCCAAATATTTAAAATGAAAGATGTGATTTCAGCCATTGAATCCCACTAAGTATTTGATACTTATTGTCCAATAGCTATTTTACACTCAAAATTCAACCGTCAACCCCAATGAGTCATCCACTTTTTATCAATTCAAAACCTTTCCCAGTCCCATTTTTAGTATTATCAGAAAAACGAAGTCAAAGAAACGTGCTCTAAGTAAAGCTTCATCTAAAGTTCAGAAATTTATATCAACTGGTTTTGCCTGCTTTGTGTTGAAAGGATGTATAATTTACCTGAGCGTTTCCTGTCCAGTTAAAGATAGTTTACCAGGCTCAAAAGAGTTTACGTGTTGTTAGTTGTGAGTCCGCATTGCTCTAACTAAATTTCTTGTTTTTAAGTTGTGCACATGCTCTTCCTTCAGATATTTTGAAATTATTTTGATGAAAAAAAAATTTCTTCAGTGTTTTCAAGTCACAAACGCTCATTATCTTAGTATCATTTCTCCTAAGCATTTATCTCCATGCTGCACTTAAAAGTGCAACAGAAAGACAGGAGAGAAATCAAATTTAATGTATTATGATCAATTGAAATGATTTAACTCTGAAGATCAAAGTATTGAATTACTTTTAAGTATTTTAATGCATGTATCTTTATAAGTTCAATAGGTCTTTTGTTCTCATTTATTTTCTTGTCCTTTAGTATGCCTCCCCCCTCCCCTTTCCCACCAATAAATTTTATTTGACTTTATCAAGTGGCTAAGATTTTTTCCCAAGAGACATAGTTTTCAGTAACCGTAATTTTGCTTTACATTTGGGAATTGAGACTTACCATCCGGGTGCGCTGGTGGTCCCCCTTATTTTTTACCGTCCCTTAATCAACTTTCAAAATCCTTTTAAGGATTGTAGACTTCCAGTTTAATTTATGGACAAGAGTTTTTCTAGTAGACAAAAAAAGCAAAATTTCTGTTCTAAGTCTTAGAAACCTAATTTTAAGCAACCATCTTATGTGAAATTATATTTTTCAGATGTGGAAGATGTTAAATTTGTCATTAATTTTGACTATCCTAATAATTCGGAGGATTATGTTCATCGAATTGGGCGCACGGGGCGATCGAAAAATACAGGCACTGCTTACACCTTTTTCACTCAAAGTAATGGTAAACAGGCAGCTGATTTGATCAACGTATTAAAAGAGGCAAAGCAAAGAATTAATCCCAAACTGTTGGAGGTGGCTGAAAACTGGAAAAATAATGGCCCTAGCGGCTTTGGCAGAGGAGGTGAGTTTAAAGTTTAATTGACTTTTCTCTTTTTCTGTCTTTCCTTTGACATTGAATAAGTCAAAAATCCTGATCTAGTTTTTGAACTTCAGGTTCACCAAAATAAAAATAATAGAAAAGTATGATTGGAAGAACTGTTACACATATTAAAACTTGTGATGGATAATAACTCATTCTTACATGATACACTAGTTAACATCCTATTTTGGATGCAAAATTGCACTCATGCTTGGGTGGAAGGTTTACTCCTTGTAGTCCAAAGCCAATAAAATTCTATTCTGCAGAAGACAGTCACAAATTGTGCAACTTTTCCAACTAGGAAAGTAATAATGTTCCTAAATTATGTTCTAATTGATTGTACATCATGTCAAAAATGATAATTACCCCTAATAAATTTAAAGTTGGCAACTTTGGCCCAACTGAAAAGAGGTCATGAGGGATTAAAGGTCAATTGCTTTTCGTTTGATCTTTTAAATGCCATTGAGTCAAAATTGTGCCCCCCCCCCCTTCTCATCTTCCATGGAAACTCCAAGAATTCCGCCAACACGTTTTTCCCGCCTTTCTTTCTTTTTCTTTTTTTCTTTTTTCTTTTGTAATCGTTTGACCTCAACAAGCTAGGTCAGTGGTCATGACCCCTAAATATGCAGCTGTGACCTCGTGGTATCTCTTCACTGCCTTTTAACTTACTACATTGTGAGCTTGTTAGTGATAAAAACAAAAAAGGATTCTTACTGATAACTTTCGTAAGCGGTGTCAAGTTGTTTTTAATTTTTTCCGATAATCTTTCTGTTCTATCTCTCTTGAGTTGTGCAGTTTTCTCTGATATGTTTTGCAATTCCTCCCTCGGTTTATTTACCACCAATTAACCATTTTTTGTTGCTTTTCTTTACCTACTTCTTTCCGCGATTACCTATTCCATCCCACAAAATCTAACCCGCTGACCGAGCTGTTCAAAGTTTTAACTTCAACAAAATTCTGTAACAACAGAAGCATGATAAATACTTACTGTCCAGACCTTAATTTTCTGCTGTTTTCTGATTGGAAGCCAGCTCAGTCAAAAACACTGGGAATCAATGTTGAGTTCTTCTCTGTATTCTCAGCATACTCACAAAACCTCTCTGAGAACCAGTTAAAAAAATTCTGTCAATAGTAGAACGTTTTCAAAAGTTTTACTCTAAATTTTTCTATACCTGTGTATTACAATCCAAGATTCTCTCATTTTTACGGTTTATTGAGAAATTCCCACAATTCCCTGGAACTCTTAAAATAGCGACAAAATTACCGTACACCTCTACTTATCAGGTTTTCTAGGTGACTTGCAACCTTGAAGGTGCAATTTAAACCAAGTAATGTATTTGATTCTTATGAGAATCAGTAAAATAAAGTCGATTTTTTACTCTAAAAGAGAAAACATATATACGTATAAAAAAATTGAGACACGCATGACAGTGTCATCATTACATTGACCCTATCATATTTTTGTATATTGCATCATTATGTATCCCAGCACTCTCATTTCAGGAGCACTATTCACTGAATAATGAACTCACTCGTTTTTGCAGTTTTTTTCCCTCTAGATTATGAAAGATAATACTTATATTCTATTTTTCTTCCAGGTCGAGGCAAGTGGCGAGGTAGAGAGCGAGATGGAGATAGAGATAGGGATAGGGACAGAGATAGAGATCGTGACAGGGGAAGAGACAGAGGTAGAGACCGTGATAGGGATCGAGGTAGAGACCGAGACAGAGATAGAGATCGTGGGAAAGGAAACCGCAGGAGCCAATCTCGAAGTCGCTCGTGGGACCGCAGGAGGAGACGTCGCTCCAGGAGCTACTCACGATCCTCAAACTCTAGTCGCTCCTACTCACGATCCAGATCGCGGGACTCCAGATCAAGATCCAAATCCAGCCGCAGCAGGAGCCCGACGCCCCCCAGGTGAATATTCTAAAAATAAAATATCTTGACGGCTAAAATATTTGTCACCAAGAATTTGCTGTGAGTGTCATTAAAGAAAGCTAAAAATCAGGGACCAACAGCTTCAGTTAAAGACTTATGAAATATTCAATAAATATGTGTTATTGCCAGCACACAAACCATTTTGCTCGGTGGGAATTTTCATTCCTCGAGTCAATGAAGCAATGTTCCAAGAATGGAGCCCATGCCAAATTAGTCAACGCACTTAGAGTGCAACAGAAGATCATTCTGCCGTGCTAAGCAAGAACGCTGTAAATCAATCAAGATTTTCTCTCGTTTTTTGGAACTTAACTTTTTATAAAATAAAAACCGTTTTACCCATGCACCTAGAATTTTCAGGTTAAGTTCTTGATGATATTTGCAAAAGAATTCTGTATAGACATTGTCCCAAGGTACACAAGTTTTTCCGCTATGATACCTTTCTTCCCAAAATATAAAAAAGGCGTTTACAGCATTTTTGCGTTGCATGGCAGCATCGTCCTCAGTCTAGCATTGAAAGTTAATACGTACAAGATTCTAGATGATAGACATCTAGTAAAAGTAGTTCAGCGGGGGGAAGAAAATCAATCCTAATAATTTTTGTCTGAAGGTATATTTGGAAGATTTCTGTAAAATTTTACTGAATTCTACTAGCTTCAAATTAAAATTGATCCTTCCAATTTCTCTAAGCAATATTATCAAGGCTAATTCTCATCCTCATTTTGCATTTTTCAGAAACAAGCCCGTCAGCAACCCACCCATGACCAAACCAGTAATAAAATCTGATACTTCAATCCCGCCTCCTGTGCCAACGAATAATTTTGTTGCCCCTCCGCCAGCACCGCCCCCTGCAGTACCTGCCCCTCCCCCTGGTCCACCTCCAGCCGGACCGCCTCCTCCTCCCCCTGAAGCGATGATCATTCCCCCTCCACCAATGCCTGTCCATCCAGTCATGTTTTTCCAGCAACCCCCTCCGCCGCCCCCCGATGCATCTGGGCAGATGAAAGCCATGAACGGAAATCACTATTATGGACCAGTTCCTCCGCCTCATCTAGCTAACGGCTACATGATGATGATGCATCAGTAGACAAGGTATAAATTGTTTCAATCATTTTATCACTGCTCAAGAAACAGTCTTGTTTTTCAGCTTAGTTCAGAAGATTTCATGGAGGCATGTAAGAAAGTGTGTTTTTTCTTCAGTCTGAATCAGAAGTAGATAGATGGTACACCTTCAGTTCCTCGAATCATTTTTTAATGGGTGAACCAGAAAAACCCACAAATTAATGCTATTTTGTCATCATGACTCATGACTTAATGATATGCAGGTCTCCAGAGGTAGAGGTGGAGAAATTTTGGCTAAAATTGAAAGTTATATAACAAGATTATCCTATCAATTATCTCATTTGCTTCAATTGCATTTTACAGTGAAACCTTACTGAGTTGGTACTCATATAAGCCGGAAACCCGCATAAGCCGGCACAATCGGCCGGTCCCGTTTATTGCTCATATACCACAATGCCAAAACAACCCGAATAACTTGGAATCGCGCAAATTGATAATCCGCCTAAGCCCAGCCAAAGTCATAGCCTAGTCACATCATCACGACTATTGGCCTCCGTTTGGTTAGATTTTAATCAGGTTTTTTTTCTTTAGAAGTGCCTTTTTCAACTTTTTAATGAACTTTATGATTTGCCATGAAATTTTATTGTCAGAATATTTGTCAAACACTCTGCAGAAACGTTATGCCATTGATCTATTGGGAACATTTTCTCTCTTCAGTCTCCATATAATTTATCTTACTTTTCCCTTTTTTCTGTTCACAGACACAACTACACCTAGTAGTATCTGACGAAAACAGAAACCATTGAGTGAAAAACGACAAACTTATCAGCTTGAAATCCTGCTGCTTCATTATACCTTTTTTCTTCTTGTTGTCTCTCAGACTTTCTTATCAATTGTTATTTATTTTCAGTATCTTTTCTCTTAAAACGTATATGTACATACAACTCAGATCATGCTCCATTTTATTCAGTATGGAGGTCAACATGGTTCTTGATTTTGTCAATTATTTATCTGTTTTTTGGGAAAGTCTCTTTTCCACATTATTATTAAACATATGACAGTTTTTCAGTAGGTTTGTTTTGAGGATTTGATATCAGATTCTCCTCCACTTTTACTTAAAATTCTAAGGTTTCTTTCTATATTGATTTAATATCACATTCCTTTTTATTTTGAGTTTCCCAATTTTTCTGTATAAATGTAGCTCAGAAGTTCAGACAGTTATATTAGCATCATCCTTTGAACTACATATTTATGTTTTAGTCATCATGCAGGCCTCATCTCATTTTAAGTCTGAATCCATCGAATGTGCCCAAATGGAACAAGGTTCCACGGACTCAGAGTTGTAGCACAATTACTTTATCTGTCTTAAATTAAGTTTTCCCAAGGATATATAGATTAATTTTATTTGCCGTTTTTCTTTTGTAAACATAATTCAATATTTTTCACCATTAAATGGAGTGCTTTAAATTTTTTAATTTTCATTTCATTACTTCTAATGAGGTTTCTAATTCATACGTCAAAAGCTAGTTTTAAGTTTGGTTTATAAGATTATTAACTAAGAAATTTTTAAAATCACTTTTTCTTGTTCTCTATTGCTATCAACATTCGTACCTCTGTCCTTGCTTGCTACCCATACAATTAAATTAAAAGAAGGAAGGTATATTACAACATAAAAAAATTGAGAAATGTTACCTCACCAAGCCAAAACTTAAAAGTTGAAGCATGTTTTTCTCTCACCTCTTCACTGTATGTTGAATGTCAGGCTTGTAGGATGGCCAGAACAGGAAATACTCTTAATTTGAAGAGAAACGTCAGAATTTTCTGACCAGTTGTATCTTCTCAAAATCGATAAATAAGGAAGGAAAATAATCGTATTCAGTGAAATAAAAAAATAAGTGCCTAAAACAAAGTCCAAAAAAATTTAAAATTTGGAATCGAAACTTAAACTCAGATATGTATTCCTAGGTTTTAATGGTGCTCTTAAAGGCCTTATTCGTGTATTTCTCCTTCTGTAATTTGATTGTGTCAACTGTAACATCGGGTATTTTTCATCAATTTTCTTGTTATAAAAACTTGAAAGCCTGAAAAATTATGATGTGTGAACAGCTGGTCATCCATCAAAGCCTTTGATTTGAATTAAGTTCATGAATATATTCATCAGAGTTGTAAATAAGAATTAACCTATTAAAATTCTATGAATAACTCTATATCAGTCTTTCATATAACTGTTACAATCATTCAAGAGTGGTAAGAAACTGTATTGCTATCCGATGTGTGTAGGTAGTATGAGAATCTGTCCTCTTTTTTATTTTTTTTTTTTGAAGTTTTAATCAAAGTTGCACTTGAATGAATTGTAATTGGACTGCATTCTGCAATTTGGAACTATTAATTTCGGCCCGGTTTAAAAACAACGTATGTGCCATTAGTTTCCCTATGCACATACGCATTTTTCCAGAAGAACCAGAATTTATAGTTCCAAATTGCAAAATGCAGTCCAATTATTAGTTTAAGTTTGATGAGAAAACAGGAAAGCCCAGATAAAGCTATCTTTTCAAAGTGCTTATGATCTCACAATTTGAATTCCAATTCCGTCAGCAGAGGTATAATTTCTAACAATGGAAGCCAATACCTCAGAAAACGCTTTTAACTAAAATTCTCACCCGCGCATATGTCTACTGTCTTTATATGTGCAGCATATCTCGATCATCATCGTCTCTGAACTGAAAGAATAACATTTACGTCACCATTTGTTTCGTCTGTATATTTGTAAGAAAGTTATTGGTAGTACCCAATAAATAGTTTTAATTATTGAAAAGTTTTTTTCCCTTTCCTTCCTTCCAATATTCCCACGCAACCTGTTCATGAGATTCTGGGGGATTATAGCTCTAAGTTTTTTTAGAAACTAGAGGATAAAAATAGCCAGAAGTCGAAGTTACAAAAAAGAGGTGAAAAGAAAGGAAGGTCACAGGTTTTTCAGTTTTAGCTCAATTACTTATCTCCTGTAATTGTTCCCTATGAAACTGATGAAATTAAAAACTAAGGAATACTTCAGTAATTAATTCTTTGCTCGCTCACACCTTTGTAATTTTTACATTAAATGTCCAATTTTAAAATGGGAAGATATTTCTGAAGCGTAGGATGTACTTAATGAGTTCTTTAAGTCCTTGATTCGAGCAAGACATTTTTGCAATATTGCTAATCTCCCATAATGAGTTTTAATTCTATAAAAAGACAACTAACCTACAGATTTCTTTAACTTTCCTGTAGGTATGAAAGATTCACAGAAAATTTCCCATTGATATTTTGGCTTGTTTATAAAAAAAAACATGGAAAACTGTTATGTACTTAAACATCATTTCTTTTAAAGCTCTCTGATTTTTTTCCCCTCTCTTAGTGATGAATCTTCTATAAAAATTTTCAGACATGATGTTTATTTGATCTTCTTTAAAGAGTAAAATAGGAGTGGAGATTTTAAAACATTGCAACCGAGTTACGCATTTTTGCAGTCGTACTTCTGATATAGAACCGAGTGGAGGTTCTAAGAACTTTATTTAGGCCCTCTCAGTTATCTCAGAGGCTGTGAAATGTAAAAAAATGTCAAATTTTTGGCCTCAATTATTAGACATTTTCTAATAAAGAGTACCGTCTTTCTATTGCCACTCATCTAAATTAATATATTGAAGAAATCAGCAATTACTCATTTTGATTCTAATTTGGTATTCAGATATTGCATATCATTAATTTTTTTCTGCAAGTCATAGGTGCTCTCATCAGCAACCGCAGTATAAACGAGAATATAAGTAATTAGACCCCAGAAATAACGTTTATAATTATTTCAGGAGGCATAGTCCATGAAAAAGTTCGTAGATTCTCACACAGTAGCTTTTATCAAGTTTTTAATGGTTTATTAAATTGAGGGACTATTAGGGCAAGGAGCTTAAGTGCAATTTTTGCTATTTCAAGAGATGTATGTCTTATGTCTTAAAATTACTTGAGGCCTTGAGGAGGAAAGTACCTAAGTTTAAACTCATACATGTGAGTTTAAACTTACTTTCCTCATCAAACATCAAAATATTTTGATGCGTGAAAATTGAATTTTACTGGTGAGTTTTCCGTAAAATATTTATCTTGACTGTAGTTCTATGTAGTTGGAACCACCAGTCCACACCAAATAAAAGTGACGTCAGACGATCTTCTGTCGCAGTGTAGAAATGCGTACTTAAACTTTTCAATTTCAATTTTTTCAAAAACTGCACTTCGCGTCTTGTCCTTCAAGCCCCTCAATTTTGCTGCATTTAAGGTTTCACATATCTAGAATAATTTCCTAGTGAAAGTAACGCTGAGCAATTTACTTTTTCATTTTTGTCACTCAAATTATTTCAGCAGGGTCTGAATGGGAATTTTGTATGATTATCAGATGTCAATGCTCACCTCGGGTCTCGCTTCAGCGCGCCAAAAATTTGAATGTGGCGTGGGTGAGTTCTAGCGCTCTCTATAGCATTTTTCGTGAAACTGCTAATCCCCGCTTTTGATTGGCTGTAGTGTTGTATGCGACTTGGCAAGCAGCCCAGCGCCCTTCTCAACTGGAAACCCGTTTGGGCATTTTATTCCCGTAATTTCGCCATTACATTTTCAGGCAGTCCGCCATTTTCTACCAAGGATTCTAGAACAAGGTAAAGCGACCGATCACTTTTTTAAGTTTTTACTAAATATTTCGATTAAAGTTTTGACCCTCGAATGCCTCTTTCTCTCATTTAACCCTTCCGTAGTGATTTTTAGTCTGAAAAACTGTGTTTCATCTGCTCTCGTCTGAATTTCAGATAGTGTGGTCGGACACTGGAACATCTCTTTTTGCCTGAAGTATCAGCTTACGTGGAAGTATCAAAATGATGAAATATAGGAACAACTACGAAAACCCCAACCGAAACGGAGCCATGTAAGTGTTCTCATTGACACTGCAATCTTCATTTTCTCAGTTACTTGCGTATTTTGTCCAGATCTTTCCTCTTTCACTCTTCAGTTGCTGGAGCCTAAGGTAATCTGGCTTCATTGGTACCGAGGGCACGGCCGATGACCTTTTGTATTGTTATGCAATATTCTGAATCCTGAACTCTTTCTAACACTTATCTGAAGTTCTAGTCCTCTTTCTAAGTCAGTTCCGAGAACTTATACTGTAGTTTTTTAGGAAAGCCTCCCTCAACACCTCTTCCCTCTTAATTAGGTCATTACTCCTTGCAGGGTGATTCCCATGTTTCCCTTCCTTAGGCTTTGTCCAATGCTGGAACCAGTAAGTATCCAAATGAACCGTGGCTTTCCCCTCTTAACCAATCCTTGCATATTTTTTAAACAAACGATATCCTAGTAGACCCCTTAGAGTTCTGCAAGTTGACTTTTCTAATCCTGATAAGTGGTTTGCAAGCACATGAAACCTACCCTAACAGATAGACGAGATAACTTTCACAAAGTTATAGTCTACATGACTCTCTGAATTTACAGGCATCACCTGAATCGTCTCGTATTTTTTAAACTCCTCTATGATATCACTAGAAAGAATGACGATAGTAGAACCTGTGTGTATGGTAGTGCTTCTTGCTTGACAGAATGATCAATTTTCTAAGTCATACTGTTCTCTATTGAAGCAAACATTATTTCTGATAACAATGTGTAGCCAAAACTTTTGATTTCATTCTTTGGTCTATTTGTATCAGTACAGTCCCTTTATCAATTTGATTTTTGTACAAACCACAAGCAAGGAGAGTTGTCTCAGCATTCATTTAATGGATCCTTCAACAGTTTTTTCTCTGCCTTGCCTTAACAAACAAGCCAAAAGTGGGGAGAAGAAAGCTTCGACAAGAGTCACATCAACCTGAATGCATCAATTATCAGTCGGGCCATTGGCTAGCATATAAATTTCTGTTGAACAGTGCTATTTTCTGATGTGACATTTGTCCATTCTTTTTTTCCCCCGTTCGAATTGCCTTTGCCGTGAGAGGCCAACCCATCCAAGACAGGGCAGAGTCAATTTATGTTGAGACAAATGTCAATTTCTGATCAGCTCTAAATCAGCACCACTCAACAGGTCAATTCATGCAATTAGATGGCACTGATGAGAGGTGATATAAACAATACTTAACTTTGATCTCAACATATGATGACTCTGCTCTAGGTAGTCTAATATTTTTAAGCGATACACCATCAAGCTCTCTCGTCGAGACAAAAATCAGTCTGACTGACTGATTTGCTCCGAGTTATTACCATGCGGCAGCTGAGTGCCAAGAGTAATCCTCAATTCCTACACCACCTATCAATCCTGTAACTTCTGAGCAAACTGAGATAGAAACTTGAAATTTAGTGATTGCACCTAGGTCAATGGAAACGACTATTGGGACCCTCCCCCCCCCTCCTTAAATTTTAAGGGGTTCATTCCATGCCAAATCAAACCAAAATTTGACCTGACCTCTTAGAATTTGATAAAATTTGGTACACTCACTCTACTCATTGGCCTGATTCCAAAACTTCGAGTTTTAAATGTTTTTGTTTATTAGTTGAACTTTCTTTGAGCTTTAAAGTTTGAGTAAAATAACAGAGGTTATCCCCTTCAATTGGGTGTATTTTCGGAGCCATTAATTTGATCTGTACCGTTCTGGTGCTGATTAAAAGCTCTTGAAACGGTCTTACTATGTATCAAAGTTGAACTTATATTTGATTTATGTACGTGGAAAGACTGTTTCAAGAGCTTTTAAACTGCACCAGAACAATTCAGATCGAATGAACGGCTCTAAAAATATAGGCAAATGAAGGGGATAACCTCTGTTATTTTACTTGAACTTTAATTAATTAAAGTTCAACTAATGGGCGAAAACATTAAAAAATCAAAGTTTTGGAATCAGGTCAATGAGTAGAGTGAGTGTACAAATTTCATCAAATTTTGAAGAGGTTGGGTCAAATTTTGGTTTGATTTAGCATGGAATGACTCGGGGATCACTCTAAAAAAGAACAAGGATCCTTCGGGGTGGTGCGTGATCTTGTATTACTCTGCATACATCCAGATGGCTTTATTGATTAATGGTAGCCTAATCAATAAAAATTTTGTCCCCCCAGACAAGAAGTTAGTCAGAAATACTCGTAAAGTTGTATCATAGGGTTCTTCCAGGAAAATAATGACTTTTTCATTCCAAGTCACATAGTGGAGCTTGAGATTGGTTAAAATTAGGATTCATTTGCTTTCTTAGGGAAGTATTTTTGCAAAATTTCAATGGTTCAGCAGTTTTAGTTCAGCATGTAGAAGAAATAATATAGAAAATATGCCCCCCCCCCTTCCCTCACTCTTACTACAGCCACTAGCAATGTGAGAGGTCTACAGCTCCCTCGCAATATGATCAGTAAGAATTGGAAGTATGTAGGGCTTAAGTATTTTATAACCCTGATTTCTCTGCAAAATTTGAGCAAGATTAGACACATAGGACGTATTTATGCCCAAAGGAACAGTGTTAGTCGCTATTCCTATGCACATAGTTCCTCATAGCATAAATATGTCCAATTGTTTCGGAGGTATGAGCTTTGAAGAGAGAAAGAGAGATAGAGAAATGGGGAAAAAAATAATGAATTTAAAATTCAAGTTTCTCAAACTGTGTACCAAACATATTAAATTCAAGGAGAATCAGAAAATAAACCAGAAGGGATAAATTTAAACTCAGACTGCACAAAAACTCTTGGAATAACTGATGCAATGAGTAAACAATCTTGTTCGGTCAAATATTGTGAAAATTTTGAATTCACCTAGTGGAATTTCTGTCAATTTATTCAGTGAATTTCAGAGGGGAGATACTTCTGAAACTAGACCATGCATTTTCTTACTGCCTGCAGTAAGTCTTAAAGTGCAGTAGAGAGAAAGGCTGTTCAAGAGTAACTAATAAGGTATTTTTAAGAAACAAGTGATCGCTATTATCCTCATATCTTAAGCTCCCAATGGTTTCAGTTTGATTTTTAAATTAAATTCAACTTATACTTACCTCTGATGGAACATGTTTGAAACTGAGTTCACAAAATAGGTCATACTTACAAGCTGGTTCCATCCCACCTGTTTTTATGATCCTCGCCGGAATTAAGTGGAAAGTTCAAGAATGAGTCAGGATCTGTTGTTGAAATCGATTGTTCCTAATTATGCCATCAGAGAGCTTGCAAATCCATTTTTCCTCATCGCCCTGCTCTCTTATTGCTCAACTTTATCTGAATGTTAGAAATGATGAATCCGTAGTACCTAAGATCTTCTGATCATTGTGTCACCTGACACCATTCCTCAGAGATCAAAATTTGCAATATCAAAGTAAATTTAATCTTTAAAGCCAACACTATAAGGAATGAAATGTTAGGTATTCGATAGTTTCTACGAAACATATCCAAAGTCAAGGCTCACTCAAAATAAGCAATTGTGAAGTTAGTGGCTGTGTAAAAGTTGGGATCTAGCACCAAGCTTGAAGTCATAAGTCACAGAGCCAATGTTGAGATTGGCAATCTCCAAAGCAGTTAATGTAGCTGCTTCCGTCACTCAGATTGTCCATCTCTGTTTCAGGTATCGCGGACCAAATGACCAACAACAATACCCTAAAAGAACATGGATCAACCAGAATGGCTTTAATGGAGTAGAATTTGGCGGACCAACTTTCAAGAAAAATTTCAACAACAAAGGACCCATGATGAAGGGCTCATTTCCAGGACAGACATTGAAAAAACCGATCTGGGATTTATCTGCCCTTCCCCCCTTTCCTAAGAACTTCTATCAACCAGCATTGACTGTTGCCAACAGGTACACCTCATTCTAGAACTGTAGAAACTGTGCTGCGTGTAAGACCAATGGTCGTAAATGAAAGGTTTAATAGGAAAAATGTGTTTCTAATTAAGGTTTTTCAAAATTTCCAACCTCATCTAATTTAATAAAAATAGAACAATTCAACATCATCATTTGAAATTCTCAAGGAATATTCCTCACGCTATCTAAGCAGAGAAATCGAGGAAATTTTAATAAAATGACGTAGTATTTTCGCCATTAGATAACTAGTTACAACAAGAAGTTTTGCAGTCTCTCAGTCAAAATGTATTCCGGGGATCTCATAACTGGAAAACACATTTGTCACTAACTTTCAGTTCATTTTCCATTGGAAATCAATGCACCCGTCTTCGTCCAAAGTGTTCTCTCAAAGAATTCGATAAAGCTCTTGAATTTACAATACTTGATCTTAAGTGATTCAATCATGGTTGACACTCGTAACTGCTCAAGGGAGTCTCTTTTTACTTTTTTGGGGGGGGGGGGGGATTGAGGAGTACTTAATTGATGAAGTTCAAAGGAAAGCACCTGGTCACCACCACCATGCTGAAAAAGTACACTGAATGGACCGCTCAATTAATTTATTAAAATGTACACCTTGGGTTACAAGTTAGTTTACATGAAAAGTATAACTTTAAATAGAAAAAATGAAATAATCATCAAAGCTAGAGACTAGTCAATGCTCTCTAACCTCTATTGATTTCTGTCCACAGATCTGATCAAGAAGTAGAAAGTTACAGGCAGTGCAAAGAAATCACTGTTAAAGGTAACAACATTCCCAAGCCGAGTCAGTTTTTCTCGGAACAAAGTTTCCCTGAATCTGTCATGCGAGAAATCATGAAGCAGGGTTTTGCTGAGCCAACAGCTATTCAAGCACAAGGTTGGCCCATTGCGCTCAGCGGAAGGAATCTTGTTGGAATTGCTCAGACAGGTTCTGGCAAGACTTTGGCGGTAAGTTAACCCTCTACTTATCAGATCTAACAATTATTTTTGGCGAAAAAATTCTGGAAATAATGATCAGGATAGCATGTAATACCTGTTTAGTAACAGGGGCGAGGAACTCTGTAATTAACTTCAATAGGCCTTACAGCAAGGTAATTTAAACACTACACAGCGTTGTTTTCCCCAAACAGTTTTGAGAGAAAAACTACAGGGAGTCTGACAATAAACTCCTAATACTTGAAAGTTAACAATCAACAATGGGTGAGTGGTCATAATTCAAAATCTAATTTCTATCTGATCTGTTTTAAAAGTACTTGTACTTACTTAGTGTCCAATCTCTTATTTCCCCAGATCTATCGGTGTCACTATTATTAACAGCCGTTAGAGCCTCCAGTAAAGTATTTTATTTGAAGATGCATTTGTCCTACAAAACCAAGCAAGTTTCCCTAGGAGGCATTGGTATGCCAGAAGCCCTAGCTATGATAGTTCCACTGTTAAGTTTCCCTATTTTTAATTTTCATATATTTTTTTTTTACAGTACATGTTGCCTGCTGCTGTTCACATCAGCCATCAACCTAAGATTTCTCGTGGGGATGGACCCATAGCACTTATCTTGGCACCAACAAGAGAATTAGCTCAGCAAATTCAGTCTGTGGCCAGAGAGTTCGGAAACCTCCGGCACACTTGCTTGTTTGGTGGAACCCCCAAAGGGCCGCAGGTAATTTACTCTTTTCTTTTTTGAGTTCTCAGGGACAGCGATATTTATTTACTGCCTTTAGATTTAATCCACTTTTTAGAAAATTTAAATCACAGAACGTCTTCAAGGGATCTATTCAAAGTGAGTAGAAAACGTAAGAAAGACTATTGACATCATAATATCTCTTGTTTGTTCAGTGTGATACCTGTCGGTTCAAAAGAATGAAAGAAAAATAATTTCTGAAAATGAATATTCTTTACAATCTCAACATGATTTTCAAGTCTTTCCCAGAGAACAAAGCACTATTGAATTGTTTGTAGTGAATAATTATGGGGTTCTTAGCATTAATGTATAGGGTTGATGGAGGACCCTTAAAAATTCGATTTTTAGGTTGAAATTTTGTTTTGAGTTCTTTAACATACCTGAGAATAAATTTCAGTCTGGGGAGCACCGATTTGCAAAATTCAATTTCTTTTCAAGACCCTGCCCCTCCTTCCCTCCCCCTCTCCATGAAATACACTAATACCAGCAGAATCTACTGAATTTTAGCAGCCTACTAACCATCTTTTTGGCAAGTTCATTGTTTTCTTACCGGTATTTGTTTTTGATTCTCTTTCAGGCAAAGGATTTAGAGAGAGGTGTTGAGATTGTTATCGCTACACCAGGAAGATTATTGGACTTCTTGGAGCACGGTACATTCAACCTCAGCAGGTGCACCTACTTGGTCCTTGATGAAGCTGACAGAATGCTTGATATGGGTTTTGAGCCCCAGATTCGCAAGATCATTGAACAAATAAGGGTGAGCACACTTTCTAGTCAAAATTTTTGATGTATTTTTTGAAGAAAGTATATAATTGCTTTACCTCCACACTTCTTCTTTCTTGGACTCTTCAATTAGAAGTGCAATATTTCTGTGCTTTGAAGTCATGGTGAATCACTTTACTTAACTGTCAACTTGAATCTGCCAGGCTTATTGCATTGTGCCTGTCATTTATGATCATAATTTTATGTATGTTACCCGAAACATATCCAACAGATGTAAATTACTGAAACATGTAAGTGGGGAGAAAAAATTCATTGACTCCAAAAAAAAAAAAAAAAAAAAAAAAAAAAAAAATGTCACCCTCTTGTGATAGCCTCTGAAAAAAACATATCAACATGAAGACTTTTTATTTTATAGAGCTCAAAAATGTTTTTTTAACAGAATTCATCTCTTGATTGTTAAAAGCCTTTTTGAAAATTACTATTTTGTTTAATTTCTCACATATCTTCCCAAGAACAGGTCTTCCTGTATTTAAATAGGCTTGTTTTTAACGGATGCTGCAGTAATTTCTCTCCTTTTGACTATTTTTTTTTAGTGACATCTGCAATATAACAGCGTAAACCTTTATCAGTGTCAATTTTTCACACATTATTGGGTGAGCAAATTATGAAGTGATGTATTGGATCTAATAAGTTACTTGTTTTTTATTGCAGCCTGACCGTCAAGTTCTGATGTGGTCAGCAACTTGGCCAAAAGAAGTCCGTCAGTTGGCTGAAGAATACCTGGACGACTACATCCAAATCAACATTGGGTCCTTAGAATTATCTGCTAACCACAACATCAAGCAAGTTGTCGAAGTAATCCAAGATTATGAAAAGGAAGAAAGACTTATCAGTCTTCTGAAAGAAATCGGCAAGAATGGCCCCTACAAAGCAATCGTTTTTGTGGAGACAAAGAAGAAAGTCGATGATATCGTGAAGGTCATCAAGCGTGACGGAATTGTTGCTATTGGTATTCACGGTGATAAATCCCAGCAAGAACGTGACTTCGTCTTGAATGAATTCCGAAGTGGGAAAGCAGCCGTACTGGTTGCTACTGATGTCGCAGCCAGAGGTCTTGGTAAGAATTAATCATTCATATCACAAGTATACATTCTAAACAGTAAAGTTGAGCTTATTAAATCGAAATTCCTCAATTCATTCTTCAATATAAAATTTTGTTGAATTTTCATGGCATGAGCAATGAAGCTTATTCATTGAGCCATTAAATAAATTTGTCATGATTCTGTGGGCTGATATCCCTAGAGTAGAGTGTAACATTGTATCAATCTGAAATCCTTTAAACCTCCCTATAAATTCATAATCCTCCATAAATAAGCTCATGAAAAGTTTCAGCCACTGCTAATTTTTTTTATAAATTTTACATTAATTGTTGTATATCATCTATTGGAAAGAGATTCCTTTCTTTTAACTACTTTGCTGGACTCAAGTAATATACCTCTTTATCCTCTGTAAGATCTTTCTCTTACTAACTTAAGCTTTTTGTATTGCAGATGTTGAAGATGTCAAGTATGTCATCAACTTCGACTACCCTAACTCGTCAGAAGACTACATTCATAGGATTGGCAGAACCGGGCGCTGTGAGCAGAGTGGAACAGCATACACTTTCTTCACTCCTGATAACCAACGCCAGGCTAAAGAGCTCATCGCTGTGCTCCAAGAAGCCAATCAACAAATAGACCCAAAATTAATGGAACTGGCCAGTAACTCGCGGGGCAACCTTTCCGGTATGTGAACGTTTTCTTCCTTACTTCATAATGATGTAATTTTTTAATTTCAGCAATTTTATAAGGTGTAAAATATCATGGAAATTTTTACCTCCTACTTATTCTGTTCATTCCAGCTTGCCTCAATCTATGTGATACAATAATGATGAAGTAAATTGTTTTTTGTTGCAATTTTTTTGACAGGTGAGCTGTAGATACCTGCAAAGAGTCCCAATACAAAGCATTTATCAGGATTGCTAGTTAGGGTATTTTAGAAAATCGAAGAAAACCTCAAAATGTTAAGGAAAATGACTAAAGTGTCAGGGAGATATTGCCCAGTCATCTTTATTTGCTTTCTAGAATAGGTTTGATGTTTTGAACAACAAATTTTGCCTGGAAACTATTTCAAATTATGTCTTTTCAACCATCTAGTGCATCTTCGATTGTCAAAGAACTTTACCAAAATGCATCAAGGAAATCAAGAAATTTCATTCTCTAAATTCTGTGGCAACCCTGAATTTAATCAATCATTAATTAATAGCATGTCTGAGTGTTCCTGGTCTTAGAGAAATGTTTTTTACATGAATCCTCAATTATTGAGCATCGTTTAGCAATAGCAGACTTGTACTCATATGACCAGGTTTTTATTCTAATTTCCCTTGTACCTTGTCAAACTTAGTTTTTTTCCTCGCATTTTATCATATTAAAATTAATTTTTGCTTTTATGGCATCGGAATGTATGATTCACAAAACTAAATTTATTTTCCCATATTTTTACTGAGTCTTTTTCTCTGTAGAATTCACGAATTAATTTTTTTCTTGTTGTTGCAGGCCGCAACAGATGGAACAACCGCAACCGACCTGAAATGAACGGCGAAAACAACTACAAACCCTGGATGAACAAGATGCAAAACGGACCAGGAGGTCCTTTCAACAAATTCAACGGCCAAGGAAATAACTGGAGTAATGGACCCCAATACCAAAACCCAAGGTACAACAACGGTCAACAAGTCCCACAGCGCTACAACCAAAATCAAAGGACTCCAAATCAGATGTACCCGAAGACGTACCAAAACGGCAACGGATACAACAATTCATATCAGAATTCTGGCAATCAACCTGGTTATCAGGTAAGCAAGATCTTAAAATTCGGTACCTATCCAAAGGTTTAAGAAGAAAAGAATGAGATATTTCAACTGTACCTACAAAAATATAATTCTGTAGGATGATCTATCCATCATGTGTCGGTTTGCCAGTGACCAAGTTTTTATTTATTTGAAGAACTGAAGCATGGCTCCCCGTTTCTTCGGAGTAATGTCTTATCTTTCATTTTATTTCAAATTATGACTGTCACTAGTTAACCTGATAAAAAACAAAAGCAATGTCCAGTAGTATGTAATTTTCTTAATTTTTTTGTCCTATCATTCTGAGTTTTGATTCTATTAATACAATTTCAATAGTGTGAAGTAAGTAATTATGGTTTGGGCTACTATTTGAAAACACTTGAATATTCTTGACTTAATTTTTAACAATTTTTTGTCACTTGCCAACTTTGGAATCCTGAAAATAAGCTCTTAATACTTTCAAATATGCTTGAGAATTTTCACAGAGAAGACTAATTTTGTTTTAAAGAATTGCTCATGATGTCACAACTAATAATTGAACAACCCGGTCTCCTCATCCCTCCCTATGTGTTTCTCCTCAACCAATTTGAAGTTAATTTTCAAAGGCAAATATTGAGACAACTGCTAACTTCTTGACAAAAATTAAATTTCCATAACTCGAAATGTCAATGCCAACTATTTTGACATCATGAACCAATGGAGCAAACCCTATTTTTACAGAAAACTACAGGCACTGGGTTTTCGTATACTTCTAACTAACGTCTCTTGTAAGGACTCAATGGCGGTGAAAAATTTTGATTTTCAGCTGTCTCTACCCCCTCAGCTCTTACTGGTACTTGTTTTATGAGGATCAATTGTCAAATATCCTAGAGTCGCTTCGAGCGCCACCAAGGTATTCTTCATTGTTGAATAATTTGGAAAACCACTCAACATTGTAGCATTTATGACTCTGATTTGGTCCTTCTGTTCTAGGGCGGTTTTGGTGGTGGATACAACTCCAACGGCTACCAGAGAAACAGCTCTCAAGGATATGCAAATGGAAACTACCAACCTAGGCAGTCATACAATCGCAAAAACAACTCGAACTACGGAAATGGTGGTGACATGTACTCGTTGCCCCCTCCATCTGCATCATCTTACTCGGTGCAATCCAACGATGACTCAGTCAATTCCCTGGTGAACCACAAATTTTTCCAACCCAACCGTCCACCCCCAATGAATGCATGTGGATTCCAAAGTAGCTACAACCACCCACAGTTCGCTGCGCCCATGTCGTACCCTCAGTATACCTTCAGCCAACCGCAAGCAGTTCAGCAGTGAAGGAACTGTCCTTGATATTTTTGAAGTATAACCTATTTCATTAAGAACTCACGTCTGTATTTTATTTTCTCCTAATTACTATTCTTTCTATGGCTATTATTTAATGTGTGCACTTTATTCATTCATTCATTATTTATTTTTTTATTTTTTATTTTTTTTCAAATCTAGGTGTGGGATTTATGTCATTACATGTAGTAATTGTGTATTAGTTTACTCCATTAACGCTTCTTTTATTTATCGCCTTCCCCCCTCTTTCTAAGTTCAGATAAACTTGAATAACTAAGCTCTCCCTTTCTTTTTCGACTTTTTTAACATTCCAGATTTGTGTCTTGTCTAAGTCCTATTTTACTCCTCAGTCTTTAATGTAGGATGAAAAGTCGATAATTTCAACTCCATCATGTTGGTTAGAAATGCACATAAAATTGATCAATTTTTAAATTTTAAAAGCCAGAAATCACACAGTTTCATTTCCCTTGCCCCCTAAATTTTTAATTTTTTTTCCCTTTGGTGCTGTTAAGAGGAACTTCCAAGTAGTCGATATTCCGTTTTCTGTAGAGCCAACTTCATCGTTCATTGTTTCTCAATATTTTTTCTTTTCTTGTCATGTACTTCAGAAGAGAAAAATTCTTCACATATTATTTTAATGCCTAGTCTCATGATATCTGTTGAAACCGTTGTATGCGATTTGCAACCATTTTCTGCGTTGGAAGAAGGTTCTTATTGTAAGGTCTGTGATACGTTAAATGAACTTTTCATAGATTTATGAAAAGAAAGATCTAACTAGTTGGTATTTTCAAAATGTTCCGGTAATGGAAAAAGGTTGAAAACGGTTTCTCTGGTCATTAGAATGAACGAAATGTATTTAACAAAAAGAAAGATTATTTATAAAAATGAAATTTATTTTGTTGAAACATTTTTGATGTTCCTCTTGGTTTTAAACCAGTACCAAATATCGTAATGTCTTGTATGTAATATTTTTGTCGCTATGGTTAAATATCTCTTAGTTAATAAATCCACCGTTCAAGGGTCGTGCTTTTTCCCCCCCTCAAATGAAGGAAATTAGCGTTAATTTTTCAAACAACTTTTTCATGTGGGTAGCCCTCATTTCTTTTGCTCGTAGGTATAACTTTTGTTACCAAGAAGAAGGAAAGGTATACGAATTCTCTGTCGATCATTCATTTACTTTTATTTTTTTCCTTTTTGTCTTTGACTCTCTGACTGATAATCTAGTGGTTACTCTCGTGCAAACATTTTTTTGGAGATCATACAGGTTCGTACATGAAAGTTCTACGAATTTAATCAACTAATGCAAAGCTCATTTATTTTCCACATTAGTCTTAGATTTTTATGTTTGACATATCAAGTTCTTCATCCTCAAGCTAAAACGTTGAGGCCTTTTTTCTTATTTTTGTGAAAGTCAGTTCGATTTTACTCTCTTTGTAACTTGACTAGTGTGATTTGTAAATGCATTTCTTTTTCGAATTATCTCATACTCTCCATTTTGAGCTTGGAAGTAGTCTAAATTGAAAATAGAGACTCGTAAGGTTTTTTTTTTCACATCGGTGATTTATACCCCTTTTGAGTCTTGAAATATTATCAGTTTTATGATTATTTTAGTCTTGAAACGGTCATTATCTAAATCTCTTCAACAGTACTTTTTCTTTTCTCTTTCAACATTATTTTTAGCATTGAGATCATAATTGCATCTTTGAAGGTCTTTGTTACTTTTCTTCTCAGTTTATTTTTGTATGAATCAAAATTTGTTTGTACTTAGCTGACGTAACCAAGTCGGAAGTTTTTAATGTCTTTTATATTCGGCAGAGAATTTTGCAGTTTCTTCATCTGGTGTTTTTCGTAAATGGAAAAAAGTTCTTTTCTTTACTCTCAAGAAATATTGTTTGAGATCCATTAAGATACTGATTTTATTTTTTTAAAATTGTTTCAAAGGTGTTTGCAATTCAAGTATTTTTAAAAACAAATGTCGAAGTACAGGGTTGGTTTTGTAAAAAGTTCCATGCGTTAATATGTAAGTAAAAAGTATTTCTTGCAAACCTTGCTCAAGGAACTCTCTATCATATTAATTAAATGAAAATTGACTAAATGTGGAGCTCTTGTTCTAGTGTCTGCTTGAGTCATGTGTACAGCCAGTTTTTGGCCAATTTTGATAGTTATAAAGCCAAAGACTTGTTTCTGATTGTTACATTATAAATACCGGAAACGTGTTCATTGAATATTGTACATAGGTCGACCTTCAAGCTACCGTTCATTTAATCCGTCTATTACCTCTTTACATCCTGACTCCATCTGTGGTCCTTGGTCGTACGAGTTGATATCTTTCTACTCCATTTTCCATCTCAGTTTGACATTTCTTGACTTGTAATGAAACTTATAAGGCAGCCCTGTGCTCATGTATGAGACAACTGATTCTCTGAAATATTTTTTGTCTTCTATTTCAATTGTACTGTTTACTGTTTGTGATTTCCACTGTTTTTTATAGCCGTTGATGTTAGTGTTTTCACAGTTAAATCTTAAAAGTTTTTTCGAACTTAGTTTCTATGACATGAAAAAGCAAACATCACTTGAAAGAGAAGGAAATTCTATTCGTGCAAATCAACTAAATGTTGAGTTTTCCTCTTTTTTTATTTCTTCATTTTTTGTTCCTTGACTAATTGACAACGTAAATATTTTTTTTTTTCCTTTTTTCATCCGCCCTCGAGTTTCAACTTGATTTCTTTTGTTAGTTTCTTTTTTTTTCTTTTCTCTGAACAGAAGCAGTATTTCTTTGTCTGCATTTTGTTCTTTTCATTTTATTTTCTCTGGAACATAAACTCAACTATTTTTATTATTGTTGTTGTTGTCAATTATTTAAATAATTATATTTCTCATGTATATAAAATGTAATTATCAATTTATTTTTGTTCAAACGTTTTGTACGAGCGAGATGATAATATATTGGTATAGAAATGTTTCTATTTACATACCAATATGTACGTTAATTTTATATCATGTCTGGCTGTGAATTTAAATTGTGGAAATCGCAAATTAATTTCTATTATGCTTGTTATTGTTCTACACTTAGAAACTGTGATATTATATGTATTGACTAATGTTAAACGTTAAACTTTAAATTCAAATAGGATTTTTTTTCATCTTTCTACTCGTACAGTCCAAGAGAAAGGTTGTAGTATCTCTAAAGCGATTCGCGTTTGCTGTCTCCATCTTAACGCGAGTGTGCATTTTGCAGAACTAGAATTTTGTAGCTCTGACTTCATTTTTTATGTATCACTATTTTTAAGCAATTTTTAGCTAGAGACAAAACTTGATGAGTTTAGACAAGATGTAGGAAATTATCTTCCGCAACTAAATATCTGATTTTAATGGGAGCTGTTACAAACGAACCAAGAACGATGACTACACACGATCAGTTTTTCTCTCGTATGTATGAACAGCATTTTGCCCTTTCAGTTTAAATCCCCTTTCCATTCTTTTCAAAGACTGATTAATTTTAATATTCCTTATTTACTTGAAACAAACATCCTCAACTATTATTTTGTGTCTTAAGCTTCTAATAATTAATGATACCCAATAAGTTTTCATCCAAATATTTATTTTCCGACCATCGAGTCGTGGGTATCTAAACTCTAAACTTGGCCTCTCATTTTGGCACAGGAATACCTATTGTTTCACTGCATTGGGTCAAATGGTGGTTTAATTTATATGTTGATTTCAAACCTATTTCATGGATAACCCATCTTTTTTCTAATCTTGAACCCAATTCAGAAGCTGAAAGTATGTTTAACGAGAGATAATTTTCTTTATCGTTCCAAAAGAAAAAGGAAAAAAACTTTTTCATCGTTTTTCAATTTTTTACGAAATAGGATACATGTACAAAAAAAATTGCAGAAGAATAGTGATATTAAACAGCAGGAATAAAAGTGTCTTCAACGTCCTGTTAATTATTCTAATTTTACTAAATATTTGTCAGAAGTTAAAAGAATTGTCTTAATTCGCCAGGATAGTTTTTCTTTAGTCTGGTGATCATAGGATATGTTTTGCATTGGTTTTGTGGAACATCTGTTTTGAATTGATATATTATATCCACCTTTCCTCTTGGAAGATGAAAGTTTAATGTATGGTAATACGTATTAATGTACTCAGATTTTGAGGTATTTGTTCAAATCAATAGTTACTTCATGTACCTTAGCTGTATCAATAAATTTAATAGCGGAAATAATTTCCTTCAGTTCAGTTGTTAACAGTAACAGCAAAATCCATCCTCGCCTTTCCTGTTGGTGGGGATACCATTATCTACTAAGCAGAATTTTGTAGGTTTTCTTGGTCATTTTTCTGTCTACGGATTGCTTTCGAATTATGTATTGTTTTGATCCGTTCATCGTAAAATTTTTCGAAAATCAACCCTGTGAAAGAATGAGGACTATAGTAGAATCTGGTGTTGAAGCTGAGTAGCATCCCGTTTGACCTTGGCCTTCATCTCTTTTTCAATTATTGGAAACCCCTCCTCTGGCTGACGAACGTGTATTTTGTGGAGGGCTGTTCCCCCTCCACTTTCTTTGTCATGGTTGAATTGCATTTCCAAATTTATAGTTCTTCGCCAAATGTAAACAAACCTTAGCGTTGTTTCTCATGCCCATGACAATGTCAATGTATAGCGACCCTTGTATTCAGTGTTGGATGTATTGATGTAATCTTTGCCTTTTAAAAAAAAATTTCTCAGTAGTTTTTTTTCGATTGTTTTTCTTCTTTTTAGAGATGTGCAATAATCTAGTCTTCTTATACATAAGCTTAACTAAAACTTCTACTGATTTGCAAGAATTAAGGAGAGTTCATGTTAGCTGTTCAAAATCAATTATTTTAAGAAACTGTCTTTTTCATTAGCGCAAAGACTATTTTTCCACCAGTCTATCTAGCAACTTACATGCAATGCTAGTTTTTTTCACTTTTTTCCCATAATTATCTCTTCTTTTTTCTTTTTTCTTTCCTTTTTTTTTTTTTTTTTTGAGAAGTAAATTTGCATATTTTATTTTTACGTTTCTATGTGAACATTACATAAGTATTTTTTGGGGTTTTGTCTCGAAGCATTGCCTCCAAGAATTAAACTTCAAGTAATATTGAATACCGGTTTAGGAGTTTTTATTCCATTGAAAGCCTAAGAGCAGAACAGTGTTAAAATGATTAAGATAGCAATTGACCTTTCATCATCAGTCGTACATATTTTTCTAATCCTCTCCTAACAGGATCTGCAACTCACTTTTGAAGAGCAATCAGTACTTCTTAATCCTCAATACTTGTACTTCTATCCTGACTCTTTAATTTTATTTTGCCTGATGCTTTCTGTATCATTGTGTAATTTATCTAATCAAAAAGATCTAACTGCACATCTCTAAATTTTTGGTTTTGTTTCTTTAGTTTCTTTGAAGTTAATAAGTGCATTTCTGATTGATCGTATTTGCAGTATTATGAATTCAAGTAAAGGAAAAAATAATAAGTGCGAAAAATAATTAAAATGTATTGAAAAATCTACCGTAATTTTTGTTGTTAATTAAATTATCAAACCCTTCAAACTAACCCGTGTTGATTTTTTTATTTTCTAATATGTTAATACCTTTTTATTAAGCCATATTTAAATTTAATTTCAAACTAACTTAATCCTTCTTAACCAAGTATCGGCCATGCCAGCAAAACCTCGAGTGAAACGAAACTTGAGAGATAATGATATTCGAATTCAAGTATCATGAGGTAACGATAGCCAAAATGCGGAAGCTTATCTCAGTTGCCAACGTTGCAGACTTCCTGTCATACTTCATTGATTCCTTGGTAAATTAGTTAACACGATTTCTAGAAAACCTCAGATTTTTTCTCTCCGTTAGTAGAATATTCGGTAAAAATTTCAAGATACACAGTTGTCTTTTTTTCTCCTCAAAAAAATAAAATGCGGGATTGAACATTTTGAATCACGCAATGGAGATTCGTGGCTTTGCACTTTAGCCATCATTGTGCTCTCTCATTAAAATTACCAATTAAAAATGCTAAACAAACAGAAAACTTCCTGAATCATCTCACAAATGAGAGGAGATAACCCTTCATTTTTGACTTTTAAATTAGTCCATCAATGAACTTGTTATTGGTCAATGAAAGCTAATCAATTGTTCAGCAACAGGACAGAGGTTTTTCAGAGAAATGGACCCAGTTCATCAGAAAAGAACCAACCCACATTAAGTTCAAACCGAGAAAAAAGGGTTTGAAGTGTTATTTCTGCAGAAAGTTCAATGTAGGAAGTAAACTCATACCCCTCATTTTACAGAACTACCTAATCTCTGTTTTTCGACTTCCAGTTTTTGGCAGGAGAAAATATACGGCTAATAGAACTCGTAACCATTCGTAACTCAATTTTTTCGAAAATGTAGTTTGGTTCCTTTCTGATAAACTCTGTTCAAATATTCTAGTGCAAGCTCTTTTAAGTTTTCCAACAAGAATTGAACACCCAAACTTCTATCCTTTTTTAAATTAATTTAGTGGCCAAATTGGTTCATTTAGTGGACTTCGGTCGTCTGAAGTTGGAATTTACAAGCTTATACCTAAATCGTTCAATTCTTTATTCTCTGATGTGTCGACGCGGCGGCGCCGCGCAGACTGCACCGTGTCGCAATGCGTGAAGTATTCCGACAGTTTTGTAGGCGCTCTGAGTTTCACGCCGACCGCTGCTGAACGCACTGTGTTTGACGCAATGCCTGAAGTATTCACGCAGTCTTGTAGGCGTTATGCGTTTCACGCTGACCGCACTATGTTTGATGCAATGCGTGAAGTATTCGTGCAGTCTTGTAGGCGCTAATATGTGTTACATACCGACCGCCAAGCCGAGGGCTTCTCCTTTTCACCTCAAGTCCTCGTCATCATTTCTCTCTCAGTCGCGCCGTTCCAAACCAAATTGCGCGTTTGGTCTCTCTCTTCTTAACTCGACTAATTAAAGGTGCTGTCTCTTGTATCACTGAAAAAGGACAGAATTAGAAATTACTTCATTCTTAGGAAATAAGAGATTTTGTCGCCTTTTCTCGTTTGTAATTTTTTTTCCTAAATCCAAATTTTTTTATACCTACATTTAAAAAAATGTGCCGCCCCCTAGATTTGCCGCCATGAGCCGCGGCCCGTGTGGCCACCCCCTTAATCCAGCCCTGAGTAGTGGTTAAATCAACGTCCTGTTAGTTTTCAGGCAACACAGACCCCCACAATCCCACATGGTCGTATATTGGTATCATATCATCCACCATTTATTAGTCACACGGTCCCCGTAGGCGAAATCAGTAGCAGCACGATACCATAAGACGAAGAAAAAAAAAGGAAAAGAAGTAAAAGAAAAGATAAAGAAGATGCAGGGAAAGAATAGCGAGGAAGAAGAAGTGCAGTAGAGAGGGGAAGGAGGAAGGAGTTCACAGAAAAGAGGATAGGTGGAGGAAGGTTTAGAAAAGGGAAGGATGAAGGTTAGAACAAGATGTCAGTAGAAGGAGAAGGACGCAGCAGAAAGGAGAGAGGAAGAGGTCGATGAAGAGAAGAATAAGAAGAAAGAACGAAATGCAGGAGGATGATGAGGGAACATGAAGACAACAGAGAGAGAAAAAATAGAGAATAAAAGGAGAGAGTGCAATGGAGGACGATGAAGGAAACAGAAAGATGGGGGAGAAAATCAAAGAAGAAATGAGAAAGGAGATTAAGATTTGCGTATGAGGGAGAAGAAGAGAGAAAAATATGTAGTAATGGTATCATCGAAAATTCGCTGCCTTACCCAGAAAACTTCAGTGATATGGCATTTTACCATACGGGAAGAGTCCAATTTAACGGCATGTCGGTTTGCCTTCAACTTTTTTGTGTAGGCAACCCCAGCTCCCTCGTGGTCGAATAGTTGTATCATCCTCCGTATACCAGGCGTTCTTTGTCGGCGAGATCGTTCTTAACAACATGAGACATCGACAGAAAAAGAAAGTAGAGTAGGGAGGGCAGAAAGAGGAAGATAAAGGAAAAGTAAAATTACGTGGACCCAAATTTTAGGGTCAAAACTGAAAGTTCTCTGAGACAGCTGAAATTTACTCCAAGTAAAGCTCATCGGTTTTTCTCGATTTCAGACGGGTAAAAAACGTTTCGAAACAATGGGCTCAGCCTGGTTATTTGACGTGTTGAATCGATTGCGCCTATATAGTACAAAAAAGCTGCGAAACTTTCTGAACCGAGTAACGAGTGGTTTTGACCATTTTTTCCTGTTTTGACCGTGTTCGAGGATTCAAACCCTTACTTGCCAGTTATGAGCTTCAAAGAACTCGTGCAGTATTTTAGACCAAAAAATCTGACTCAGCGGCTCATTTCCGAGCGAGGGGACTAGCTTGGTTTCAGTCCGATCGGAGAACTTTCGAATTTGACCCCGAATTTTCAGCCGAAAAACAGTCAAAAAGAGTGTTTTTAAAAGTTCACCAAATGCGCGATTTTCGAAAACCATCGGACTTTTTAGACCAAAGAATCGGACACAGTGGGCCATTTTCCTCTCTTAGTTTCAGCCCTATCGGAAAACTTTCGATTTTGACCCTAAAACTTCAGTCCATGTACCTAACCTCTGTCGATTTGTCTGGATCTTGAGTGGGAAATTTTTTTAAAATCGATCGCGCACGGTCCTGAGGCTTGGCGAAACTTTCTGAGCCGAACAAACGTGTTTTTTTTTTTTACCGTTGTTGACTGTTTTAACCGTCTCTGAGGAACCACGCCCGTATTCCATAGTTGTGAACTATAGTGAACTCATGGAGCATTTTAGACCAGAAAATGGAGCTCCTGTGGTAACTTGAGGGGACTAAATTGGTTTCGGCCCGATCGGAGAACTCTCGATTTTGACCCTGAATTCTTAGTAGCTATTCCCCCGTGTAACAAGTTGAGGAGTTTGAGTTTCCAGTCCAAAATGCACAACGAATCGACCTGTACTCGCAATAAGCATAATCGCAGTTTCTGCTGCAAAAAAAAAAAAAAAAAAAAAAAAAAAAAAAAAAAAAGTTCCTTGACTCAGGATGCAGGAAGCCTCAGTCCGTCAGTTTTCCTTCAATTTTTTGTGTAGGCAACCCGAGCTCCCTCGTGGTCGAATAGTGGTATCATCCTCCCTAGTACGGTAAAGCGGTTTTAGTCGGCGGAATCACCGTAGACAGCACTGGACAATGATGCAGAGAGAAAGGCGAACAGGGAGGAAGGACGAAGTATAAACAGGAAAGAGTAGGTAAGCGGGAAAAAACAAGAGCAAGTAGAGGAGGAATTAAAGTTCTTCGGAGTAAAATTTTGGGGTCAGTTCTCCGATTCGGCTGAAATGAAGCAAGTCTCCCGTAGAACGAGTTGAGGAGTTCAAATTTTGATTCAAATCGCTTCATGATTTTCATTCTCACGATCAGCTCATGCGCGGTTAGTTCCCTGGGGCTGGGGTAATAAGCGTGGGATTAGCCAATAGGCTATTTGCAACTTATGGTTTAAAAAGAAAGGGGAAAAAAGGGGAAAAATCAAAATCACCATGCTCAATGCAGTCAAAAGCCTTTCTCGACTCGGCGAGCTTCCCCGAGCCTCGGGAATGAGTAATCGATTCTATTCTCTTTTTTGCGTAGGAATAGGTTGGTTACCTCGAAATTTTTTCCCGCCCAAAATCGAGAAAAATCGACAGGATTTACATGAACTAAAACTTTCGGGTCAAAATTGAAAGTCGAAGTCGACTAAAATGAAGCAAAAAAGCTTTATGCTACTAATTGAGTCAACAGTCCGAATAGACGGTCCAAAACGCTGAAAGGGGGGGAGGGGGGCTTGCCCCTGCCCCTCCAGCCAACGCCCACAAATATGGTTCAATTGCTCTTGGAATGTTTGATCATATTTTATTTCCTTGAAGGAACACTGCTTTGCTTCTCTGCGCAACATTTTCAGAGAATATTGGCGACATGACGAAGCAAAAGCAAACGAAATTTGGTGCCAATAGCAATGACCAGGACTACTTTTTAGGCGGATCCAACGAGGAGGTTGGGGGTGGAGGGGAGACCGGGGAGCTCCCATCAAACATTTTTGAAATTTTAAATGCAACCACCAACCAATCAAAATGCAGTTTGAGTCAATTTAATCATGGATAATTACCAAATATAAAGCGGCATTCCTTCTTCTTTCCTCCGTTCCTTCCTTCTTTTTTCTTCTCCGTTTCTCCCCTCTTTTTTCCGGGCGAACAGGGAATGCTTACGCCCCGCTATGACCCTCCCCCTCTTCTGGATCCATCTATATTTTGAGAGGTAAAATGAGACATAACATTTGCGACATTTGCGGTCAATGAAACATATATAATATATGTTAGGTACTTTCACCCAGCACCCTTCCTCTTTAACATGAAAACTCGATTTTTGCACATTACTTTTCGTCTAAACTGCAAATATCCAATAAAAATAATCATTGTGAGGTACGCAGGCTTTACCTACTGAGCACGAGTGCATTGGAACTTGTTTGCTATACCTATCCTCACCTCTTGTTAGAGTCGTAACTTTTAATGAGAAAAATGAAATCTTGAAATTTCATATTAA